AATTATCTCCTTCGTAATACGTTAAATTGCATCTAAAATTTTCGGGAAAATAATTCTGAATTCCTCGTAATTTCGAAAAGACTCACGTTCCTCTAGAATGGCCGAACACTGAGATGCAAATTTTATAGCGCCACTTAGAATGCATTTCTCACTGATTTCTATAGAGCTAAAAGTACTTTATGAATAGCTATAAAAGTGTTTTCAAAGTATTTGAGGAAACAGTCGTTGGGTGCCCCTATCTCGTTGCCTTCTCCGCTTAGCATTACACGATATATTTTAAATTTAGTATGAGCAAACTATACATCATTAGCTTCGCTTTTAGCCCTCCAGACTAAATTTATGTAAGCGCTGTTTAGAATGCATTTTTAGATCAAAAGTACTCTGGACAGCCTTAAATGTGTTTTCAATGCATTTAGGGGGAAATCATCGTTGGGTGCCCCTGAGTTTTGAGAATAATAATACTAAAAAAAGATATCGCGCACATAAATTTAACTTAACGGTATCTTCAGCTGTATCTTCTATTCAGCTGCATAGCCGGGACCTTTTTCCTGGGCGGAAAATTCTCGTCCTCCTTCAACAGTTTGGACAACATATTACGGAGTAAGACGTTGTTAATCTACGCAAATAAGTCTGGTAGAGTCAAGAACCTATGCAAGCGGCTGGACGAACAATGTGACAGCAGCTGAGACAGCGAACGTTAGAAGAATTCGAACTTGAAAACCAGAGCCGCCCTGTTGAAAACTTACGGACGGTCCCCCGATCGCCTTTTGTTTTCAGGTCAAAACTAACACAGCGAGCCTTCGGTCAGTATCGATTGACCTAGAAGCAATAGTACCATCCCTCCCATAGCAAGTGCTGCATTGTTGCGCGAACGCGGTCGCTAAGCTTGAATATTCACGTCGCGTATTATACCTGGTAGTTTGCGGTCATATCGAAGCGTAAAGGTCAACAGTGGTTGTTGATGAGCGACCAATTATTGTGCAGTTGCGATGGGTTTTGTGAAGCCAGCGAACCAGAAGCAGGAGCACACGCTACCTGCAGATTAGCCGATGGCAATTTGGAGCGGATTCGTCGATTATTCTCGAATTTATAGCGCTTCGTGTGAAGGCGCGTGGAGATGGTCTGTTTGTTTTGTAGCCAGCCTTTAATTCTTCTTTAGTGGATAGTACCTACAATTGCAAAACTCAACAAAATGCCACTTAAACCGGCCAGGAAAGACAAGGATACGTTCAGTTGATGGTATCTTAGCTTTGTTTTGTTATATTTTGACTTTTGGACTATTTTAGTCCATGGGAGTTTCGACGACTCATCGCATTAATTTGTCCATGTGAATATTAATATATTCATTCAGTGACACATACTACGTCTGGGCCGCCTGTGGTATTACATAAGAAGGTAATACCGCTCAGAGGGTCACACTAGATAAGTAAGGAAAATGACCTCCATTTAGTCTCTCTTGGATTTTTATGACATACCTTAAGGCTTTTCTGCATAGGTTTGTCCAGATGTAAACAACGTTGGACATGAGATATGATTGTTGTTTCTGTTCTGTTGTCTTGTCCCTCTGACCGGTATAAACGTGGGAAGGTAATACCGCTCAGAGGGTCACACTGGATAAGTAAGGAAAATGACCGCCATAGTCTCTCTTGGATTTTTATGACATACCTTAAGGCTTTTCTGTATAGGTTTGTCCAGATCTAAACAACGTTGGACATGAGATATGATTGTTGTTTCCGTTCTGTTGTCTTGTCCCTCTGACCGGTATTACGTGGGAAGGTAATACCGCTCAGAGGGTCATACTGGATAAGTAAGGAATAGGACCTCCATAGTCTTTGTTGGATTTTTATGACATACCTTAAGGCTTTTCAGTATAGGTTTTTCCAGAACTAAACAACGTTGGACTTAAAATGTAATTATTGTTTTCACTCTGTTGTCTTGTCCCTCTGACCGGTATTACATCGGAAGGTAATACTGCTCAGAGGGTCACTCTAGATAAGTAAGGAATATGACCTCCATTTAGTCTGACTTGCATTTTTATGACATACCTGAAGGCTATTCTGTTTAGGTTTCTGTTTATTCAGAAAATAATGAAAAAGAAAATGTACTTTGTGCTGAAAAATGGGTATATTGCTTTGATAATGGAAAATTAAAAAAAAAATTCTATAATTATTTCTGATTGTTTTCTTGAGTCAGCAGCCCACATTCTAACATGCAACTAAATTTTTGTGGAGAGGGTGGCAGAAACAAAAAAATGCCTGATTGCAGGTTACCTGCATTCACACCGTGCTGTTAATTACACATTGTTTATGTATTATAAGGCCCCCCCTAAATAACTACCATTGCTGGATCCAGACTACTTTGTGATGAGGAGCCCCCTCAAAAATTCATCCTTTAGGCCTTAACCCCTCCCCCCTGATTTCCCTCTTTGCACTCTACCCTACCTTACCCTCATTTTGGCTGAAACACCTTTTAATGGGAGCTTCAGTAAATGTAGGTATGTATGTATAAACCCCTCCCATCCCAACTTAAAATAGTATCAGAACACATTTAACTCATACAGTTTACAAGAACTGTTGCAATGGTGAGCACTATGTGGGAATATTTACTATCAATTAGCTGTTCAAGGTGCACAAGCAGGTGGGTGGTTTATAGCATTTTACTGAAGCATTTGCAATGAGGTGGACCTCTCAGTATTTGATCAAATGTCGAAATACTGTCCTCAATTACTTCCTTAAAGAGACTACTCCAGTAGGACTGTCAACATTCCCCATGACCCTTCACCTATGACCCTAGATTTGCCACTATTAATGCTTTCAGGGATTAAACACTGGCCATGTGTTTATATTCTACTGCATTCATATTTTTATAATTTTCCACTCCAAAGTACAAGTGTCCAGGAGCCGATCCAATTAGCACTCCTGAAGTACCTTGTTACATAAATATCACTTTCAGAAAATCTCCAAGACCATACTTCCCCTACACTTCCTACTGGAGGTACCGGGAATTCCTGAGGGTGGGGGGATTGTCAAAGCCCAAAACAGAAGAGAAGAAATTTCCAGAGGAGTGCTGCAGGTGTGTAAAATCAATAAAAGTAAGGAGAGAGCAAGAATCCAACATTCAATTAGCCACTTCATTTCCAAAAATCATTTCAGTTTTATAACAGGGCCAAGTGCACAATCAACCATTGATATGAAAATGATTTTTTATTCTGATGCAAATAAAGCTCATCTCCATACAAATGGTTCTGCACTAAGCCTCGTTTTTAAACCAAGATTTTTGTTCAACATGCTCGCCATAACCGCAGAAATTGCAGAAAGGATTTGCCCCATGTTAGGGAATCCAAGACAGTCTTGGATTCTGGATTCTGGATTCTGGATTCCACACCGTGGATTCCAGATTCCAGTTACTGGATTCTAATCTTTGTCAATGGAAATACGATTCCGGATCCCAAAATTTGCGGGATTCCAGATTCCTTGAGCTATATTCCAGATTCCAAAACCCAGGATTCCGGATTCCACAAGCAAATTTTCCCAGATTCTGGATTCCACAAGCAAAAGTTTCTTGCATTCCGGCAGAATCCCTTACATGAGGCGCAAGGATTTTTCCTGATGTTTAGATACACGGATGAAGCAATCAGTAGACAGATAAAAAATAAATGAAAAAAATGAATAAATGTTAAATAGAAAGAGCGACTGAAAACCTTTTGCTGATGGTACTCTCATTGTTATTTCTTTAAATTTAGACTGACATGATGAAGAAACAACTACAGCAAAAGTGCCTCTGAGGAAATAAAAAAGACAGTAAGACAAGTCAAAATCATCATGTAATAAAATATGTCATAAAAATCCAAGAGAGACTAAATGGAGGTCATTTTCCTTACTTATCTAGTGTGACCCTCTGAGCGGTATTACCTTCCCACGTTTATACCGGTCAGAGGGACAAGACAACAGAACAGAAACAATAATCATATCTCATGTCCAACGTTGTTTAGATGTGGACAAACCTATACAGAAAAGCCTTAAGGTATGTCATAAAAATCCAAGAGAGACTAAATGGAGGTCATTTTCCTTACTTATCTAGTGTGACCCTCTGAGCGGTATTACCTTCCCACGTTTATACCGGTCAGAGGGACAAGACAACAGAACAGAAACAATAATCATATCTCATGTCCAACGTTGTTTAGATCTGGACAAACCTATACAGAAAAGCCTTAAGGTATGTCATAAAAATCCAAGAGAGACTAAATGGCGGTCATTTTCCTTACTTATCTAGTGTGACCCTCTAAGCGGTATTGCCTTCTTATATAATACCGGTCAAAGGGACAAAGTTTATGCACAGAACTGGCATAGAAGCTATACGATCTCATCCGATACAATTCTATTAAAGAATGCTTTCCAAACGAACCTCTAAGTGGTTATGGAAAGGGATTTCAAACTAGCACATTACAAAGTCTTACTTTTCTTTGTATTATACCCCTTCTTCTCCAATACGAGCTTGTGGACAAGTCGACAAACAAGTCAGGACTAAGACGCCATATTGGATTTGAAGAGAATTTCCGAGAGGCAGCCGAATCGGAAAGTCATCTCCATTACCTCTCGTCTGTCCTTCTGACCGGTATTATTTAAGCACAACCCTGTTAAAGGGGTTTCTGAGGGATCCGCCATCTTGAATGAACCATCATAGATAATTATAATACTATTAGGCGAGGAGACCTGGGTAATAGTTAGCAACAATCCTTGTTGCTAAAATGATCAGTACGATCATTTCTGACACATTTGACAAATGCTTGTATTGATCATTCTCTCACTTGCTCTCCCAGACTTCGCGCGGACAACGGCTCTAAAGAGAACGCCTGGGGACTAGGCAGGGTCAGTCGATTACTGCTTTCGATCAGCCTCTTTGCGACATTTAAAAGCCGTTTCTGAGAAAATTATCATCCAGCGCCCTCTACGGAGATCATAATGGCACGGCTACTCCTTTTACTTTGGATTTTGTGTAGCATGTTGATCGCATTCTGCAGTTGCAGAAATTTGTGCTCAAGGATTTTCTTTCAAAACATCGATGAAGAAACTATGCCCTACAAAATCACTGAAGGTGTATACACCAAGGAGAATTACAACCACAACAACTTCCCGGTGTATAGGCGAGAAAATGGCAATCTGCTGTTTTACTTTCATATTTCCAAGACAGGCCAGAAATATCTGTCTTTTGGACTTAATCTAAAAGACTACTTTGGCGTTGCCGCTGCTGTTTTTAGCCCTGTTGATCCTCTGTATTGGCTGACTTCCGGGAGTTTAAATAGAAGTGATGTCTTTGGAGGATTGATATACAAGTGGCTGTTCTACAACACGCGTGACAAAACCAATTACTATGTTACAGTTAGTAGTTCGTCACCTATGATTAAAGCTGTATGCGTGGATGAAGATTTCAGAGAATGTAACTCGGACAGACTCTACCTGAATGACAATTTCACCGATGGAAAGGGGAATGTTGTGAACGATCTCACTCGAGATTATTTCTTTCGCAAGCAAGATGTCTTCCAGAACCTTCGCCCTGTTTATGAGCATAGTAGACAAAAGTGGTACCTTGAATACATAGACGGCCTCTGGATGATAACAGAGTATTTCCCGGGGCAATCAACAGTTTTTAACATTTTATTGAAGACTAAAGATTTCGCCCTACGACCAGAGTACATCAGTAAGACTTGGTCGGTCCGTTTCAATGGATGGCGCGATATGCCTAATGTCAGACTCTTATGTAGAGGGGTGAGATCGATGTCGAATACATGTCCATCGAAGCCATGTAATAGCAAAGCTTCATGCATCTACTCTTCCGGTAACGAAACACTTTGTCTCTGTCCTTCCGGTTACACCGGCGTTACATGCTCTACCAACAAAGAGTGCCCCACTCCCTACCCCTTAGCAGGAACAGAACTCAATTTTGCATACTTTGGAAAAAGGCCTGGCGATATCGGTTTTACCTTCTGTAGTGGATCGTATCCTTCTGTAAGGTTTTCCCTTTGTAGGGACAGCAAATACAGTAATCCTTACTGGTTTAGACTGGAGGGCGACTGCCATAGAGTGAATACTGGAAGTACTTCTCCCCCCTGGTCATCTTGGAACCCAGGAAAAGCCCTAAGTCCCTGGAATCCTACCACGGCTCGAGCTCGCCATAACTTTGATAACAATCCTATAATCGTCTCCATGGTTCTTACTTCCGTCGCACTCCTGGAATTGCTCCTGCCATTTATCATCTACTGTTGCGCTATGTGCAAGAAAAAACGTAAGAAAAGAAGAGCAGAACAAGAAGATCAGAGGAGGTTACAGGAAGTTGGCGGGGAATTAGAAAGGAGACTGGAGCAAGTTGCTAGGGCCGGAAGCCAAGAGGAACTCGACCGTGATGTTCAGGATTACCAACGTACCGTACAGGAATACCAACGTGAGAACCAAGACAAAGAACTGAGCCGCAAACGAGGCTTCCACAAAAATGCGGGTTTATGGCGAATCATTTCCATGCACTTGTTTTTTTCCTTTTACTTATGGATCGTATATCTGGTGGGTTGTGAAATCTCCCAGTGTACTCAGTACGGGCGTATTTGCGTCTACTTAAAAACTTTTGGAATTGTGATGCTGTGCATCTCGTCTGTTTACACTTTTATAGAAAGCATCTTCTCTCACGAGCTGGATTACTTAAGAAACATCATGCAGGACGAGACCGCATGGGGTTACATACAAAAAATGCATCAAGTCGCACCAAGGATTGGCATGGTAGTGGAGTGCTATCATTTCGAGACGCGCACGCGTGCCGTGTACTACACGAACGCATATAGCAACACGCAGTCCCGCACAGAAACTTATACCGTGAGGGTTGTGACATTCGTAGACGACGATGAATTCTCGTTCGGCTCGTGGGTTGATGTTTCCGAAAGAGAAATGCCAGCACTGAGTACAGTGTCTCTTACTCGAGTAAGAATTGATCCGTATGTTTTGTTCGGTGATCAGGAGACAGCAGATGATTACGAGAGACAAGCAGCAGCCATGATGGAAAGGAATCGTCACCGAGATGCCTTTACGGATTTCTCAGCGAGTAGAGAAATTCCTGGGCTAAAGAAGAGATTCTCTGCTTATGTGGATTTGAGGGTAAAGCCATGGTGGATTCGACCTCTGTTCTTTTGGCTGGCCACGCTGTTGCAGATGAGTTGGCCTTATCGCTGGCTGTTCCGAGCCAAGACAAGTAAAAGTTACTATGCCTTAAAGAAGAAGCTGTACAAGAGTACCACGCCCCCAAGAGAAGTAGACATTATGGATCCAATAGCAATGCTGACGAGTGGGGCAGCTTCCAATGACTCCAGCCTCCCGAACCAAATGTCTTATCAGATGACAGAGATCGTCAATCCAGGCATTGGTAACCCCGCCTTCCAACGCGGCTGCGCACCTTATCCACCAGGTAATCCAACTTTGGGACCTGAATATTCGCCTGTTCCCCAACCAAGTGAACCCCCTGCAACATACGACACAGACACCCCACACCCTCCGCCTCCTGTGTATACTCCTTATCCCACCGGTGGAGCTACGTATCCTACCCAGCCACCCGGACCTGTCTACCCTTCTTATTCTGTGGCTCCGCAGCCAGACGAACCCCCGCCGTCTTACGATGCTGCTGTAGGATTCACTCCTGAGATGCCCCAAGCAAGTGACCAGGAAATCGCCCCTGAAACTTGAGGCTGCCGAGAAAATATTAGAGAAAAACAACTTAGTGTTACCCAGAAGCTTTAAAGAGTTTGTTCTTTTCCCTTATGTAATTGAACGAAATGGAAATGGAACAGATAAGCAGTTTGATTAAGAAATAAGCAAGGAGCAGCGATGTAAACAACCTCGTTCCCAGGGTTCTCTCTCTTTCAAGAACTCTGAGAACGAGGTTATGGTGTGAGAATTCCGCCATTGTTTTTTAAAAGAGCTAAATTTGTTTTTTCACCTAAGGTCTTTTTAATCATTTTAGGCATTTTAAGTACGAAAAAAACCAAAACGTGTCGAAACGAAAAGTCACTAAACATCAGGTTTTGCTTTGGGCCTACAATAAAAACTTTTAAGCATGTAATGAACCTTTGATAAAAAGAAAACAAAGTTCTGTTTTCAAAAGAAAGGGGCGCCAATTCCCGGGATTGTTTGAAGGGGTAGCAGTTTAAAAATTAGCATTTATTCGATGACATTATTGTGTTGTGTGTTTTTAGTGATCCCTAAATGTCAGTAGAGGACAACAATACTTAACAACTTGTTTCTGTTAAATAACTAAACGGAATGTCTTTCCTCTAGTCACCTGGCATAAAATTTTTTTCAGGTTAGGTTATTTTGGTGGAAAGGATATAGAAACAGGTCGCCTTTGGCGCAAACAAAAACCCTGAACTGAGAGATCGAAAATTATATACAATATTATAAGGTTTTCCATTATCTTCTTTCAAATTAAGTAACTGGAAATTTTCTGTAATATCGTACCCGGACCGATCTCGTACCCAGAAATCAAGGAATATCATTGATTTTTAGTGTGTTACGTATTTCAATATTAATTTTAAAAGTTAACTATATCACGTATTTTTAAATGAATAAAAAATAAACTGAAAGGTGATTCCTTTCAAAACATGATTTAATTTTAAATTATATATTTTTTTGATTTCAATAAAAATTGTCCACAGAACACTCCCACCTCTCCAGCACTGAGAAGGGCTCCTTATTTCCGTCCACATCAGTGACGGATCCAGAGGAGGGGCCCGGGGGGCTCGGCCCCTTAGTTATTTTTTGACCAAACTGAAGCCCGAAGGGCCGCAAAAACTTTTGGGGGACCCCTGCCTTATCGCGAGGTCTGGATCCGACACTGCACATGCACATGCACGATGACCGCTGTACAGTGAATTGTCTGTGACCAGGAGTCCATGCTGTGACTCTGTAAAACATACAGATGGTTTTGCTGGCTTATAAAAATATTCACCAATGTTCAGAATAAAAAATAAGGGAAGTTTCCCTTTATATTCCTTATTGTCAGTACAAATCGATATCAGAATCTAACTAAAACGTCGAATAAAACGGCTTCTAAATGGCTTTAGAAGCGAAAAGACAGTGAAAAATAGAACACCACACAAGGAGAGTTATTTTATTCCTATTTTTGTCCAAAATGGAATTTAGGACGTATTTTATTTATTTTCATACATTCTCTTATACAAAGCCCAGCAAACTCCCATAGAGTCTGGGCGGCCTGTGGGTACAAAGGCTAGTCACGAGAGAACTGAAGAGAACATAGGAAAGAGGATTTCATTTTACATGTCATTGCCATCGAAAGACGTGAACCGAAGAACGAGATTCGTTTCCTTTTTCTAAACTGAGATAAAATCATTAAGAATTGACTAATCAATTAACCGTAATTCGCCAACATTTGACTGTTTGAACCATATGTGGGCTGAGTTTGTTGTTGGTTCTCTTCCTTGCACCGAGAGGTTTTTATCCGAGTACTCCGGTTTTCCCCTGTAAAAACCAACCCTTCCAAATTCCAATTCGATCTGGAACGCACGCACACATTTCAACGAGTTTTTAAGAACTCCTAAGAGCTCCATAGCCGAACAAATTACAAATCCACAATTTTACAAAATTTAAAACCAGATGAAATACACAGTGATGAAATTTGAACAACACGAATTGACTTTTTATTTAAGAGATGTTTTCACTTTCTTTAACTGAACCAAGTTCGTGATTCCTAAAGGAAGCTTGAGGCAAGGCACGTGAGAAGCAGAGGAAAAAATTGTCAGTTGCATCTTGTCCGAGAAACGACGGATTGTTTTGCGGTTGGAAAAGAAGACCATGAAAGGATTGCATTTATTTGGTAATACAAGATGATTTAATATGGTAAACTAAATCTATCTAACGTTTCGATACATGCAGTGCTCGGTAGGCAACACTAGAATACATTAAGGTGGACAAAATCCTACGGTGCCTGCACCGTTCAAATGAGACCTCTTTGGCAGACCTTAGGCATAGTACTATTTACCTTTAAGAATTTATCAAAAAAGATATTTGGAATTTTTTAGCATTTACAGTGCACCAATCAGCCAGGTGAAAGAGCCGGTTAACACCGTTGTTTAATTTATAGAGGAAGAGAGCACAAGACAAATGTTAACGCTCTTAACGAGAAACTCTTAAATTCAATACACGTGTACCAGGTAAAAACTGCTTCCATATATTTTTTCACTCACAAAATTAAAAACGTGTGATAGGTATCGTACATCACAAAATATCCTTTGTGTTTAGCCACTTCCGCTTCAATAAATGCCAGGTGGTTTAGCTAAACTCATTCAAATCCTAATATACACTGACTGTCACACCGGATAAAACAGTATGTGTCAGTCAATTTCTTCTTGTTGCGACATACTGTAGTCCTAATATAGGACTACAGAAATATTTTCGCATTCATTTACTTCAGTCTGCACCCTGAGTAGATTATCGTAAGAGATCATGATGCAGATGATTGCACGACTACTTCTTTTACTGTGGATTTTGTGCAGCGTGTTGGTCGCATTCTCCAATTGCAGAACTTTGTGCTCAAGGATTTTCTTTCAAAACATCAATGAAGAAACCATGCCGTACAAAATCATTGAACGTGTATACATCAAGGAGAATTACAGTCACAACAACTTCCCTGTGTATCGGCGAGAAAATGGCGATCTACTGTTTTACTATAGTAATACATCCATGGATGTCCAAAAACGTTTGATTTTTGGACTTAATCTAAGCGACTACTTTGGCGTCGCTGCTGATGTTTATAGCACTGTTGATCCTGTGTCGTGGCTGACTTCAAGGAGTTTGGATAGAAGTGATGTCTTTGGAGGATTAATAAGCTTTTGGCAGTTTTGGAACATGCGCGATAAAAGGAATGGCTATGTCACAGTTAGTAGTTCGTCACCTATGATTAAAGCTGTATGCGTGGATGAAGATTTCAGAGAATGTAACTCGGACAGACTTTACTTGAATGACAATTTTACTGATGGAAGAGGAAATGTTGTGAACGATCTCACTCGAGATTATTTTCTTCGCAAGCAAGGTGTCTTCCGCAACCTTCGTCCTTTGTATGAGCATAGTAGGCAAGAGTGGTACCTTCAATACACCACAGACGGCTTCTGGGTGGTAACAGAAAAGTACTCACCAAGCAATTCAAATGATAAAGTTTTAACGAAGACTAAAGATTTTGCCCTGCGACCGGAGTACATCAGCAAGACTTGGTCGGTCCATTACAATGGATGGCGCGATATGCCTAAACTAAGAGTCTTGTGTAGAGGAGTAAATTCCATGTCGAATACTTGTCTATCAAAGCCATGTAATAGCAAAGCCACATGCATCTACACTTCCGGTAACGAAACACTTTGTCTCTGTCCTTCCGGTTACACTGGCGTGACATGCTCTACCAACAAACAGTGCCTCACTCCCTACCCCTTATCTGGCAGAGAACTGAACTTTGCATATCCAGGAAAAAGGCCTGGCGATCTCGGTGTATCTTTCTGCAGGGGACCGTATCCTTCTGTAAGGTTTTCCCTCTGTGTGGATATGAAATACAGCGCTAGTCCTTACTGGAGTAAACAAGGGAAAGCCTGCCGTAGAGGGAAAACTGGCAGCGATTCTTTTCACTGGAAACCTTGGTATGCACCAACCCTGGAGGTCTGGACACCTTGGAATAGACAAACGAGCGAGAGGTCCTGGAGACCTTGGTATGCATCTACCCCCGAGGTCTGGACACCTTGGTATAGAGAAACCACCGAGAGGTCCTGGCCTCCTTGGCATCCACGAACTCGAGCTCGAAGTGTTAACTTTGATGACAACAGTACTGGTGCAATCGTGCCCGTGGTTCTTACTTCCGCCGCACTTCTAGAATTGTTCCTGCCACTTATTATGTACTGCTGCGCTGTCTGCAAGAAAAAAGTAAGGAAAGAAGAGAAGAACAAGAAGATCGTAGGACGTTAATAGAGGTTAGCGGAGAATTAGAAAGGAGACTGGAACAAATTGCTAGGGCCGGAAGCCAAGGGGAACTCGACCGTGGTGTTCAGGATTACCAACAAACCGTCCAGGAATATCAATGTGAGAACGAAGGCAAAGAACTGAGCCGCAAACGAGGCTTGTACAGGAATGCAAGTTTATGGCGAATCATTTCCATGCACTTGTTTTTTTCCTTTTACCTATGGATCGTGTATCTGGTAGGTTGTGAAATTTCCCTATGTACTCAATACGGACGTATTTTCGTCTACTTAAAAATCTTTGGATTTGTTATGCTGTGCATCTCGTCTGTGTACATTTTCATAGAAAGCATATTCTCCCACGAGCTGGATTACTTAAGAAACATCATGCAGGACGAGACCGCTTGGGGCTACAAACAAAATATGCAGCAAGTGGCACCCAGAATTTTCATGTTCGTGGAGTGCTATCATTTTGAAACGCGCACCCGTGTCGTGCACTACACAGACGCGAATGGAAACACGCAGTCCCGCACAGAAACTTATACCGTAAGGGTTGTGACATTCGTAGACCACGATGAATTCTCGTTCGGCTCGTGGGTTGATGTTTCCAAAAGAGAAATGCCAGCACTGAGTACAGTGTCTCTTACTCGAGTAAGAATCGATCCGCAGGTCCAGTTCGGTGACCAGGAGACAGCGGATGATTACGAGAGACAAGCAGCAGTCATGATAGAAAGGAATCGTCACCGAGATGCCTTTACGGATTTTTCATCGAGTCGGGAAATTCCTGGGCTAAAGAAGAGGTTTTCTGCTTATGTGGATTTGAGGGTGAAGCCTTGGTGGATTCGACCACTGTTCTTTTGGCTGGCCACGCTGTTGCAGATGAGTTGGCCTTATCGCTGGCTGTTCAGAGCCAGGACCAGTAAATGTTACTATGCTCTAAAGAAGAAATTGTACAAGAGTACCACACCCCCACGAGAAGTAGACACTATGGATCCAATTGCAATGCTGGCGGGTGGTGCATGGTCCAGTGACTCCAGCGTCCCGAACCATATGTCTAATTGCATGACGGAGATCGTCAATCCAGGCATAGGTATCCCCGCCTTCCAAAACGGCTGCGCACCTTATCCACCTGGCAATTCAACTTTGGGACCTGGCTTCTCGGTCGCACCCCGACCAGCATCCTCTGCAACATACGACGCAGGTACTCCACACCCATCGCCAAATGCACCGAATGTTCTCGGACCTCCTGTGCATAGTTCCTATCCCACCGGTAAAACTGCGCATCCTACCCAGTCATCCGGACCTGTCTACCCTCCTTATTCTGTGGTACCGCAGCCAGACGAACCCCCGCCATCATACGATTTTTCGTATAATAGGATACACTCCTGACATTCCCCAAGCAAGTAACGAGAAAAACTCCCCTGCACCTTGATGGCTCAAAAAAAGGCTGTCGAGAAAATATAAGAGAAAAACAACATATCCATAGTGTTACCCGGAAGCTTCCAATAGTTTCTTTCTTCATTTATGTAGTACAACGAAATGGAAATGAAAAAGATAAGTAGTTTGATACGCTAAGAAAGGAGCAGCGATGGAAATCTGTTCACACAAAACACTGATTGTTTTCATCGAAACGCATCCATTTGAAATCGCTCTTGGAAGTGGACGCTCGAAAACGGAGTGAAAACGAATCAAAATGAAACGATGTCGTCATTCAGAGGACAAAGGGATATCCTGACTATTCTTTGCGTTAAAACCCGATTTTGTCCCTTCAATATTAAATAGCGCAAAATGTCGTCAAGGCATACAAGTTTGGACGGAAGAAGTGTTAAATGATTGGCCATAAACGTCCTACATTTGTGGTACCAACAATATATACATTTTTTTAAAAAAATCATATTCCATAATCGAAGTAGCCTAAGAAAACAGCCGACATCTCGCTGGGAAACCAGTAGTGGCGTCGCCAAATGTTAACCTTCGAACGCAGACGTATAGCGACGACCGGAAATACGTCTGCTTTCGCAGGCTACGAAATGCCATCTGTTTCCTCGTTTGCTAGGCTATGATTAGCCTGCTTAATAGGGGCGAAATGCCCCGTTCGCCTCGCTTGGCTCTTAAGCGCCTGTTATGCAGCTTAGTATGATCACAGTTTAAATAATTGCCTAACTGATTGTATGCGAAACAAAATGAACCAGAGTCATTAAATGAGGTCTCTTGTTTTAAACACGGTAGCCAAATGAACAATTCTTGCATGTATTTTACAGGGATTTTAGGCCTCAGGGACACACCTCTACCCACCTTTCCCTGAGTCTCCCCCCCCCTCCGCCTCCCCATTAACCCCATGTAAGATGAAGTTTTTTTCCGAGAAACGGCGTGGAGAAATTAATGTTTCATAATTTCATGCTTTGTTCAATATATCTAGGTTAAGCTATTAAAGACCGTTTACCAGTTCTTAACGAGATAGAAATTCAGATGGCTAGAACAGCAGTAACAATTAACGTTACAAACTGTGGGGTCATCTGTTTCGTCTCGGCTTCTGTTACAAACAAGGAAATAGAGGAGACGTCTACAAGCAGGCTAGGTCCTCACTCGTTGCAAATTGATACCCTACATATCAGTAACTTCCGCTAAAAAATGGTTCAGTCGATTACTGCTTTCGATACTGCATATTGCGACATTTGAAAGCCGTTTCAGAGAAAATTATCATTCAGAGCCTTCTTCGGAGATGGCACGGCTACTCCTTGCACTTTGGATTTTGTGTACCATGTTGATTGCATTCTGCAGGTGCAGAAATTTGTGCTCAAGGATTTTCTTTCAAAACATCAATGAGGGAACCATGCCCTACAAAATCATTGAAGGTGTATACACCAAGGAGAATTACAACCACAACAACTTTCCAGTGTATAGGCAAGAAAACCGCAATCTACTGTTTTACTTTCATATTTCCAAGAAAGGCCAGAAATATTTGTCATTTGGACTTAATCTAAAAGACTACTTTGGCGTTGCCGCTGCTGTTTTTAACGCTGTTGATCCTGTGTCTTGGCTGAGCTCCGGGAGTTTAAATAGAAGTGATGTCTTTGGAGGATTGGTATACAAGTGGATGTTCTACCACGCGCGTCACAAAACCAGTTACTATGTTACAGTTAGTAGTTCGTCACCTATGATTAAAGCTGTATGCGTGGAAGAAGATTTCAGAGAATGTAACTCGGACAGACTTTACCTGAATGACAATTTTACCGATGGAAAGGGGAATGTTGTAAACGATCTCACTCGAGATTATTTCTTTCGCAAGCAAGATGTCTTCCAGCACCTTCGCCCTGTTTATCAGCATAGTAGACAACAGTGGTACCTTGAATACATAAACGGCCTCTGGATGATAACAGAGTATTTCCCGAGGCAATCAGCAAGGTTTAAAATTTTAATGAAGACTAAAGATTTCGCCCTACGACCAGAGTACATCAGTAAGACTTGGTCGGTCCATTTCAATAGATGGCACGATATCCCTAATGTTAGACTCTTATGTAGAGGGGTGAGATCGATGTCGAATACATGTCCATCGAAGCCATGTAATAGCAAAGCTTCATGCATCTACACTTCCGGTAACGAAACACTTTGTCTCTGTCCTTCCGGTTACACCGGTGTGACATGCTCTACCAACAAACGGTGCCCCACTCCTTATCCCTCAGCAGGAACAGAACTGAATTTTGCATACTTTGGAAAAAGACCTGGTGATATCGGTTTTTCCTTCTGTGGTGGATTGTATCCTTCTGTAAGGTTTTCCCTTTGTAGGGACAGCAACTATAGTAATCCTTACTGGTTTAAAGTTGGGGGCGACTGCCATAGAGTGAATACTGGACGTACTTCTCCCCCCTGGTCATCTTGGAACCCAGGAAAAACCCAAGGTCCCTGGAAACCTCCCACGGTTCGAGCTCGCCATAACTTTGATAACAATCCTATAATCGTCTCCGTGGTACTTACTTCCGTCGCGCTTCTGGAATTGCTCGTGCCATTTATCATCTACTGCTGCGCTGTGTGCAAGAAAAAAGGTAAAGAAGACAGAGAAGAACAAGAAGATCAGAGAAGGTTACAGGAAGTTGGCGGGGAATTAGAAAGGAGACTGGAGCAAGTTGCTAGGGCCGGAAGCCAAGAGGAACTCGACCGTGATGTTCAAGATTACCAACGAACCGTACAGGAATACCAACGCGAGAACCAAGACAAAGAACTGAACCGCAAACGAGGCTTCCACAAAAATGCGGGTTTATGGAGAATCATTTCCATGCACTTGTTTTTTTCCTTTTACTTATGGATCGTATATCTGGTGGGCTGTGGAATTTTTCAATGTACTCAAAACGGACGTATTTTCGTCTACGTAAAAACCTTTGCAATTGCAATGCTGTGCATCTCGTCTGTGTACGTTTTCATTGAAAGCATATTCTCCCACGAGTTGGATTACTTAAAAAACATAATGCAGGACGAGACCGCCTGGGGTTACATACAAAAAATGCATCAAGTCGCACCAAGGATTGGCATGGTCGTGGAGTGCTATCATTTCGAGACGCGCACGCGTGTCGTGTATTACACGGACGCAAATGGCAACAGGCAGTCCCGCACAGAAACTTATACCGAGAGGGTTGTGACATTCGTAGACCACGATGAATTCTTGTTCGGCTCGTGGGTTGATGTTTCCACAAGAGAAATGCCAGCACTAAGTACAGTGTCTCTTACTCGAGTAAGAATTGATCCGTATGTCCTGTTTGGTGATCAGGAGACAGCGGATGATTACGAGAGACAAGCAGCAGCCATGATAGAAAGGAATCGTCACCGAGATGCTTTTACGGATTTCTCAGCAAGTAGAGAAATTCCTGGGCTGAAGAAGAGGATCTCTGCTTATGTGGATTTGAGGGTGAAGCCTTGGTGGATTCGACCTCTGTTCTTTTGGCTGGCCACACTGTTGCAGATGACTTGGCCTTATCGCTGGCTGTTTAGAGCCAAGACAAGTAAAAGTTACTATGCCTTAAAGAAGAAGCTGTACAAGAGTACCACGCCCCCAAGAGAAGTAGACATTATGGATCAAATAACAATGCTGACGAGTGGGGCAGCTTTCAATGACTCAGCCCTCCCGAACCAAATGTCTAATCAGATGACAGAGATCGTCAATCCAGGCATAGCTAACCCCGCCCTCCAACCCGGCTGCGCGCCTTATCCACCAGGTAATCCAACTTTGGGACCTACTTACTCGGCCGCTCCCCAACAAAGTGCACCATCTGCAACATACGACACAGACACCCCACGCCCTCCGCCTCCTGTGTATACTCCTTATCCCACCGGTGGAGCTGCGTATCCTACCCAACCACCCGGACCTATCAACCCTCCTTATTCTGTGGTTCCGCAGACAGATGAGCCCCCGCCATCTTACGATGCTGCTGTAGGATTCACTCCTGACATGCCCCAAGCAAGTAACCAGAAATTCACCCCTGGAACTTGAGGCTGCCGAGGAAATATTAGAGAAAAACTACTTAGTGTTACTGGGAAGCTTTAAAGAGTTTTCGTTTTTCCCTTATGTAATTGAGCGAAATGGAAATAGAACAGATAAGCCCGGGGGGTACTTTAGGAATTTTTGGGTGGGGATGTACCGCTGGGACACTGGAACCCTTAACCTATACCAGAGGTACTTCAGCTGAATTTTGCTACCCCATACTAGAGTAAACTCCCTAAATCCTCCCTATCCTAGAGTAGCTGTTTTCCAGAAACTACTGAGGTCACTAGCACAGTCTAGCCAAAACAAAATCTTATAACACAATCCCTAGTCTAGATAAAATCTTCAACCAACTGATCAGTTTCCTGAAAAATGATACCCTATTCTAGACCCAAACGCTGTGATTTATATACCCTATCCTAGAGTAAACTGCTTGAAAACCATATCCTTCACAGCGGCATACACCTATATAGCCCATATATGGCAATTCCCCCTGCACCCCCGCCCCCGGGCAGATAAGCAGTTTGATTAAGAAATAAGAAAGGAACAGCGATGGAAACAACCTCGTTCCCAGGGTTCTCTCTCTTTCAAGAACTCTGGGATGGAGGTTGCGATGGAAATCCGCCATTGTTTTAAAAGAGCTATTGCTTCTTTCACCAGGGGCCCGTTTCTCGAAAGTCCCGGTAACTTTACGGGCCCGAAATCAAATATTCAAATCGAAATATAAAGAATAAGAGCGCGGGTCCTGGCTAGCAAACTACTCCATTTAGTTTCATTAACTGACAGTTTGATCATGTTAGATGCAAAACTATTGAAACCTCGATCTTTACTGTAAACGGAGACAGCTTACCGGGCCCGTTAATTATCGGAACTTTCGAGAAACGGGCCCCAGGTCTTGTTAATACTAGGGCAAGTAATACCAAAAAAACCAAAACGTGTTGTACGAAAAGCCACTTAACATCAGGCTTTAGCATGTAATGAGCATGTAGTGAGCCGAAAAATATCTTTAAAAGTTCTGTTTTCAAAAGAAAGGGGCACCAATTCCCTGGATTGTTTGAAGGGGTAGCAATTTAAAAATTAGCATTTATTCGAGGACATTATTGTGTTGTGTGTTTTTAGTGATCTCTAAATATCAGTAGAGGACAACGATACTTAACAACTTGTTTCTGTGAAATAACTAAACAGATTGTCTTTCCTCTAGTCACCTGGCATAAAATGTTTTTCAGGTTAGGTTATTTTGGTATATTTTTGTATAAAGGATATAGAAACAGGTCGCCTTTGGCGCAAACAAAAACCCTGAACTGAGAGATCGAAAATTATATACAATATTATAAGCTTTTGCATTATCGTCTTTCAAATTAAGTAACTGGAAATTTTCTGTAATATCGTACCCGGACCGATCTTGTACCCAGAAATCAAGGAATATCATTGAGGTTTAGTGTGTTACGTATTTCAATATTTTAAAAGTTAACTATATCACGTATTTTAAAATAAATAAAGAATAAATAAAGGTTATTCCTTTCCAAACATAATTTAATTTTAAATTATAATTTTTTTGATGTCAATAAAAATTGTCCACAGAACACTCCCACCTCTCCAGCACTGAGAAGGGCTACTTATCCCCGTCCACATCAATGGCGAATCCAGGGGAGGAGCCCGGGGGGGGGGGGCGGACCCCGCCCCCTCAATTTTAGACCAAACTGAGGTCCGAAGGGCAGAAAAAAGTTTTTTGAGAGTGACGGAAGGTTTTGCCACGTTGAAACGAATTTAAGACTCAACGGAACTCGGTGCTTGACTCACGATAAAACTGGGGAAAACTTGACTCAAATGGGAACTCGCTTGAGGGAAAGAGTTGTCACTTCTCTTGAGGTCCGGGATCTGACCACTAACTGTTACAGCAGTAGATAAAACAGAACTAAACTTGGTTCCAACAGCGTTTATTTTTGTACACGCAGCGTATGTAACCGGCGATGTAATCGGCGATGTAATCGAAAAATCAGTTCAAAGCAACTTACTTATATATGATTTTTACAACCATTGAAGACAAAAGAATACAAAAGAAATATAAACAGAAATCACTTAGAGTTAAATGAAAACTAAATACAAATTCTATTTTCAACCTGAAATCTTTTGTTACTGTTGCCATTTTAGAAAGTAAAAGTACTGAGACAAAGACCTAGCCAGGTCAGCAAAACAGCGTTCATGTACAAAGTGTTACAATATGAATTAAACTACAAGGTCAGCTATTGGCTGTTTAAACAGGAAAAGGGCAGACTAATTGGAAGTTTTCACCTTAAACAAAAACCGATCTATTTTTAAAATTACAAGACAGCAAAACCTTTCATATTCAAAATTCGGTTATCACCTCTCCTTAACTAACAACTTAATGAAATATACTTTTGCAAATAAATATAACTAAGTTGCAATTAGAACGAGGTACACCTATATCAAAGGCGTTACTGTGAATAGATGTCGTCTGGTAGTTAAAATCACGAAAAATAGACTGAAGTCAAATAAACCATTATTAAGAAATTAAGTATTCTTTCAAGAGTCAACATTGACGTAAAATGTATATAATTGAAAGGAGAACGAGCAATTAGTTTTGTTTGTTAAGGAACACTGTTGGCTTTTTTTGCGATTATTACCTAGCGAACGCAAAGCAAATGAAACAAAGGATGATAAAAATGGCACGAGCCCTTTTTGCGGAGCTTAAACCAACAACAAAGGTTTTTAAAAAGATGTTATAAGAGGCGTTATACGTCGGTCAATTACAACATATATGAACTTTTGGAGAAAAGCGACAGACGCCTTTTTTATAACCTCAAACGCGATGACCATCCACTAAAAAGCTTGCTCCCAAGGTACAAAGACTGTATTGTAAACCTTCGAAGGATATCCGTTGTCAGGCCCAGCATTAACACTGAACGTTTCAAAGATAGCTTTTTTAATAGATTAATTTTTAAATATAATCTAGCTGTGTAAATACCCCATATGTATTTTTAATCAATTTAATCTTTTTTTATTCATCTTGTCATTGTAATTTTTTCTATCGATATATATTTTTACTGTAACATCAGATATGTAATTTTATCGGATGCTTTTTAATAAAGACGTTATTATTTTATGCAAATTCAGTATGGATTACTAAAAACAACGTCAAAACGAATATTTGAAAGCTATATATGACACTCGAGGCAAACAAAGAATTCATGGAGAATCTCTCCTTACATGAGACCGCCCCACTTGCCTTATGTCAGGGTCTGGATGTCCCTCCCTTATCTGCAGGTCCGAATCCGCCACTGAATTGTCTGTGACTCTGTAAGACATAGAGATGGGCTTGCTGACTTATAAAATTTTCACCAATATTCACCATAAGAAATAAGGGAATGTTTCCCTTAATTCTTATTGTCAGTACAAATCGATATCAGAATCTAACTAAAACGTCGAATAAAACGCCTTCTAAATGGATTTTTGTCCAAAATGGAATTTAGGACTTATTTTATTTATTTTCATACATTCTCTTATACAAAGCCCAGCAACCTCCCATAGAGTCTGGGCCGCCTGTGGGTGCGAAGGCTAGTCACGAGAGAACTGAAGAGAACATAGGAAAGAGAATTTCATTTTACATGTTGCCATCGAAAGACGTGAACCGAAGAACGAGTTTCGTTTCCTTTTTCTGAACTGAGATAAAATCATTAAGAATTGACTTATCAATTAACCGTAATTCGCCAACATTTGACTGTTTGAACCATATGTGGGCTGAGTTTGTTATTGGTTCTCTCACTTGCTCCGAGAGGTTTTTATCCGAGTACTCCGGTTTTCCCCTGTAAAAACCAACCCTTCCAAATTCCAATTCGATCTGGAACGCACGCACACATTTCAACGAGTTTAAGAACTGCTCAGTGCTCCGTAGGCAAGCAATTACAAATTACAAATCTACAATTTTGCAAATTTTACAACCAGATGAAATAAAAGTGATGAAGGTTGAACAGCACGAACTGACTTTTTATTGAAGAGACGTTATCACTCCCTTTGCCCAAGTTCGTGATTCCCTGAGAGGAAGCTTGAGGCAAGGCACGTACAGGAAGTAGCAGACGAACAAATTGTCAGTTGCATCTTGTCCGAGAAACGACGGATTATTTTGCGGTTGGAAAAGAAGACCAGGATTGTAGAAATTTGGTAATACAAGATTATTTGATATGATGAACTGAATGTATCCAACGTTTGGATACATGCAGCCTGCTCGGTAAGCATCACTAGAATACATGAAGGTGGACAAAATCCTACGGTGCCTGCACCGTTCAAATGAAACCTCTTTGGCAGACCTTAGGCATAGTATTATTTAACAATTAATGAATGAGGGTGAGTATCTTATGAAGAATTAAGGAGATCGAGGAGGGTGTTAAGGCCTCGACGGATAACACCCTCCGAGATCTCCATAATTCTTCATATGATACGAAAGCCTCATTTAATAATTGTTTTATTATTCATTCAAAATAATTGCTAGTTTAAAAACAAAGCTAAAACATGCTTACCTCGATCGATGTTAAGTTCACCTTCGATAGTGCACGTTTAGGGTTGTTCATCTCCGCAAATATTCTCCAATTTATAGCAGATGTCGCTCTTCGAGTTGTTTTCTTGCTGTTCTTGCCATGTTTTTAGCTATAATTTCGCCTGGTTCTTACTCTTGAAACGATTGAAATGTCCGCCATTTTTTGTTTTCACAACCAAAACAACTCAACCTCGTCCCCAGGTCTTTTCGGTTAACGGTGCATTAACCTGAAAGAACGCTGCATTTTTGACGTCATTTCCTCGTTAAACACAAAATTCTTCCAAATTGGTCATCAGTAAATGGTTATGGTGAATTATGCATGTGCTTTTAGCCAATCAGAATCGAGAAAATATTTTGAAGGGATAATGATTACCTTTAAGAATTTATCAAAAAAGATACTTGGAATTTTTGAGTATTTACAGTGCACCAATCAGCCAGGTAAAAGAGCCGGTTAACACCGTTGTTTAATTTATAGAGGAAGAGAGCACAAGACAAATGTTAGCGCTCTTAACGAGAAACTCTTAAGTTCAATACACGTGTACCAGTTAAAAACTGCTTCCATATATATGGGCAGTGTATTTGAGGATTTGAATGAGTTTGGCTAAATTGCCTGGCAAATATTGAAGCGGAATTAAAATAAACGTGTGATAGGTATCGTACATATAGAATACTTCATGGAAAGTGCTGGCGTACGGTATTTACGCACGAGTTGTTGACGTATCAGAAATCGAACGAGTGAGCGCAGCGAACGAGTAAGATTTCTGATACAAAAACAACGAGTGCGTAAATACCGTACGCCAGCACTTTCCATGTGGTATTGTGTTTGTTTTATACATACTGAGATATTCATCATGCATTTTGGCGGCCTTTTTATTTCAAATCTTTCAAAAATGCTAAAATTTGCCGCTACACACTTACTGCAAAATGACAACGAAAACGAAGTATCAGCTTTTTAGCAAAAACGTTTGTTAAAAACATAAATGACGGTGAGGATATGAGGTAATCCAAGAACTATAAGTAATCTTCACTGTTTGTTCTCAATGCACAATTGAAAATGAGTGAATTTAAGTAAAATGGCCGGTTTCAATATAAGCTTAAGCTTAAATGAAAGGCAAAGTAGCTCCGACAAAAAGCACAACAAAAGCTTACGTCTCGTTCTGTTTATCCCTTTCCGCTGTTGTTTCGCCGGCTCTCTACCGTTTTCTTTATCGACAGTGAAACAAACGAAACTATTCCACTACATTGTTTTCCGAAACGTTTTTCACTTTTTTAGCGAGAAAAACTCCTTGAGTAAAACTTTCCTCGTTGAATGTGTGAAAAGCGGCGCTGCAAGCTGCAATAAAAGGCGGGAATTTTGGCGCGAAACTCACACACCTCTGTGGCTTCTGATTGGACGTATCATTTTTCTCACACGTGAAAAAACATCGTTCGCGATTCTGATTGGACGTATTATTTTTTTCACGTGTGAAAACCATCGTTCGCTCCTCTGATTGGCTAGAACTAATCTGCGTACGAAAATTTACGACATAGCTTTTTGGTGAGTATTTCTCAGTGTGTATATAATAAATCACAATATATCCTTTGTGTTTAGCCACTTCCGCTTCAATATTTGCCAGCTGGTTTAGCTAAACTCATTCAAATCCTCATATACACTGACTGTCACACCGAATAAAAAAGTATGTGTCAGTCAATTTCTTCTTGTTGCGACATACTGTAGTCCTAATATAGGACTACAGAAATATTTTCGCATTCATTTAGTTCTGTCCCTGAGTAGATTATCCTAAGAGATCATGATGCAGATGATTGCACGGCTACTTCTTTTACTGTGGATTTTGTGCAGCGTGTTGGTCGCATTCTCCAATTGCAGAACTTTGTGCTCAAGCATTTTCTTTCAAAACATAAATGAAAAAACCATGCCTTACAAAATCATTGAAGGCGTATACACCAAGGAGAATTACAGTCACAACAACTTCCCTGTGTATCGGCGAGAAAACGGCAATCTACTGTTTTACTATAGTAATACATCCACGGAAGACGAAAAACGTTTGATTTTTGGACTTAATCCAAGCGACTACTTTGGCGTCGCTGCTCATGTTTATAGCACTGTTGATCCTGTGTCGTGGCTGACTTCCGGGAGTTTGAATAGAAGTGATGTCTTTGGAGGATTAATAAGCTTTTGGCAGTTTTGGAACATGAGCAATAAAAGCATTGGCTATGTTACAGTTAGTAGTTCGTCGCCTATGATTAAAGCTGTATGCGTGGATGAAGATTTCAGGGAATGTAACTCGGACAGACTTTACTTGAATGTTATGTTTACCGATGGAAAAGGAAATGTTGTAAACGATCACATTCGAGATTATTTTCTTCGCAAGCCAGGTGTCTTCCGTAACCTTCGTCCTTTGTATGACCACAGTAGACAAAAGTGGTACCTTCAATACAACCCAGACGGCTTCTGGGTGGTAACTGAAAAGTACGCACCGAGTTGATTACTCGATAACCAGTCCGGAATATCCCTAAATTTAAGGACAGGGCCAACTGGGTCACGCGACACTTTTCAACCAATGAGAAGGCGCGCTTGTGTTAATCCACGAGGAGCCGCAAGGGGTGATATTTTTGCACGGCATCTGGCGGCACATCAAAGAATTTGGAATTGAAGGGCAAATTCCTAGAATATCTTCGCCAGTTAAGCTAGAGAAAAGGTGTTAGAAAACCTCAGGATCCAAAACAACACGTCAATCAAAATATCACTTGGACCTTTTCGCTAATGAAGAGCTATCACGCGGCTAAGCTTGAATTAGACATATATTGAAATAGGAACTCGTGTCAATAAAGTATCAGAAGTGAGCGGGAATCGCTCCTGGTTAGAAAACTGGTTCACAGGGATATGCATCTCTTCTAGTTAAGAGAAGGGAATCAGAACTGCTTTTCATGCAGGAACAGGTTTTCTTCGGGCTAACTACAAAACCTCAGCTTATTTCACTCCTTGACATTGTCAAAGCGCATTTTGTAAAGATAACTTTTTCCGCTTTATGAGCTTTTTTTATATTCTATTCCATAAATGTTTAACCTCCCTCAAAAAGCCAAGTAATATAAATGCTGTTGTTAAAAAAAGCGTTTTACTTGTTTACGTGAATTCGCTACCCAAAGATCACTATGCTGAAAGGACAGGGCAAAATTTCCAGGAGAGAGGCATTAATTTTTTTTCCCACGAGGTTACAAAGAGAAAATGCAATGATTATTATTAATGTAACCATCAGGTATACTCTACCCACGAGTTTACGGACAGCAAATGCAGTGATTATTATTAATGTAGCCATCGGGTATATTCTACCCACGAGGTTACAAAGAGAAATGCAATGATTGTTATTAACGTAACCTTCAGGTATGTTCTACCCACGAGGTTACAGAGAGCAAATGTAGTGATTATTATTAAATGTAACCGTCAGGTATATTCTACCCACGAGGTTACAAAGAGAAAATGCAATGATTATTATTAACGTAACCTTCAGGTATGTTCTACCCACGAGGTTACAGAGAGAAAATGCAGTGATTATTATTAAATGTAACCGTCAGGTATATTCTACCCACGAGGTTACGGAGAGCAAATGCAGTGATATTATTAATGTAACCATCAGGTATGTTCTACCCACGAGGTTACAAAGAGAAAGTGCAATGATTATTATTTACGTAACCTTCAGGTATGTTCTACCCACGAGGTTACAGAGAGCAAATGCAGTGATTATTATTAAATGTAACCGTCAGGTATATTCTACCCACGAGGTTACAAAGAGAAAATGCAAAGATTATTATTATCGTAACCTTCAGGTATGTTCTACCCACGAGGTTACAGAGAGCAAATGCAGTGATTATTATTAACGTAACCTTCAGGTATGTTCTACCCACGAGGTTACAGAGAGCCTGCAAATGCAGTGACAATTATTAGATTTTAGTGCAACTATCAGGTTGAGTTCCTCCATTAAAAGAGTTTTTTTTGCTAGGGTTAAACAAGTTTGGCTTTCATGAGTTTCAAGGTGCAAGAAATTATCAGTATAATTATAGCACACAAACATTGTCATCTAATTTTTCGCACGTAGCCGGAATAAGCCAAGAAATGAAGCATATATAACGAAAAATCGTTCTCAGATGATCTCCATATTAAATAAATTATACTAAACGTTGCGAAAGAAATTATTGTTCGTATCCGTCTTATCCATCGTAAAAGCGAGGGGTCATCGCATGACATCCGGTATATTAAACAGAGGTAATACTCACGGGTTTCACGAGTTGTATGCACTATTTTTCGCCGAGAAACAAATTTAAACTTCAATTCTTACCTTACAGTAGTCCGTTCTTTTACCTTGCATTCGACAACAAATCTGTTAAAGGCGAACAAAGCGATTCCGGCACTCTTCTTTATGATGAGAAGCAAGCAGCAGGAACTGAAGCCGCTTGACTGAAGTAAAATCCACCGATATGCACGGCATTCTCACTACAAATATAAACAAACGTTGCGGGGAAAAAAAGACGAGGAGGAAAAAATGCCAGATCTTCGCCTTGGCAATGTATTCCAGCTACCATGCCGGCGTATCTCCAGAAGGTGGACTCGAAGTGAGACAAACCTTGTGAATTTTTTTAGACGCCCTTTGCGCGCAAACTAATTTATTCTGGCGCGAAATGAAGATTAACAATAGGTATACTGAAATCTAATCCACGACAAGAAGATTTTCGCACTGTAGCGCGACATATTAAATGCCTATTTTTACAAGTATGCGGAGAAAGTGGTCCACTAGTTTAACTTTTTTAAGATGAATTTACTCCACAAAGGCAAAATGAATGTTTTATCTCTATGTTGTTTACGTGCCGGATTAGAAGGCAGAAGTAAATTCATCATACAGACCCCATCAAAATGAAAGTACACGAATGAAACGGAATAAGTCTGGAACGGTTTAGTTTCTACTCGGCAGCTTCTTTGCTTTTATAACAAAAATTTAATGTTGCAGTCTGTTTTAAACGTTGGCATATCAACGCGTACAGTCACTGAATGAAAACAACAGTCACGATCACGTTCTTCGAAACCGACCAGACGCGCGCGACCTACCACTGTTATGGCAAGCAATTATCCTGAAGGTGTTAATGTTCCCGTGACAGTCTTCGCACTGAAGGTGTAAATGGTAAACCGAACGGTCGCTTTGATCATCAGAAAGACCTGTCAACTTTGATGATTTAACTGATTAAATTACGGGACAGAAATTTTACTCCTTGCGGCTCCTCGTGAAACAAATCAAAACATCGTCCCAGTGATCAAAAATTTTCAAAACAACGGACGGAGTCGGACAGAATCAGTCATCGTTTCGAGGCTCTCAGGCATATTTTTAAGACTTTTCATGAGGCATACACAATTTTTTTAAGTGGACAGCGTATCGGAAGCCATATTGGAAGTGTCTCGTGAAATATTCAGCACATTTTGTGGCTTATTTCTTCTTTTAAACAACGCGATGTATAGGCGAGATTTTGGTCGGTTTTCAAGGTAGGTGAACAAGTATCTATTATTTTTTCGATTCACAGATTTTTTACGAAGTTCTAGATATTTTTCCTCGATTGTCATATCGATTAACTTTTATCATGTCAAATGTGGGGATGGTAGACAACCTAGAATTTTGGTAGATAATTTTTGAATTCCGAGATCCAAAACACGTACGTTTTCCACTCCCGGGTTTCTCACAGAGCCGTGTTATTACTTTTTTCAAATTAGTACGAGCCTTTGCCTTTTTTCTTTTCAAGGCCAAAACAACTTTATTAGTGTTATGGATATTCACGTCCAACATCTCGCCTCACTTTGCCGAATTTGCGGGCATGAAATTGAAGATCATTAGCGCAAGGTAGATATTAACCGCTTTGTTTCTGAAATTCACTAATCTGGAAAGATTTATGTTGTTGGATTCTCCAAATGTTCATCCACCGTTAAAAAACAATCAAAGAAAGAAGGCAAATCTCAATTGTAAATGATGTATTTCGCTACTCATTGAACATGCACTGATTATCTGGGATAAAATTAAAACATTGCAGGTACTGCAGCAAGCAAAGAAAGCACCAGATGCGTGAAGTCAACACGAAACAACACAAAAAAACAAACAAGAAAAATTACTAAATTTGAACTCCTTTCTATTCTTGTTATGATGACTGGTTCTTTGATTCTTGTCCTGTAGAAGTTAATAGGTAGTACCAATCCTGTTTTGTACGATCTCAACAAATTTTCACACTCTAAGGCTATTTTTACACGGGACCAGTTTTGCTTCTATCAAAAATCTTGCAAGCCATGCCAGTGAAGCCACGACCTCTTCGATCGGTCCGGAATCAGTTCCAACACCCCAATGATTCCTTGCAATGATTAATGCTCTTATTCTCTTACATGAAGTGTTTTCTTTGAAATATTAAATGTGAAACCTAGACGAGTACTGTAAGCTCATCTTCAATTCTGTCCGACTCTGTCCGTTGTTTTGAAAATTTTTTATCACTGGGGCGATGTTTTGATTTGTTTGTTGATAAACACAAGTGCGCCTTCTCATTGGTTGAAAAGTGTCGCGTGACCAGTTGGCCCTGTCCTTAAATTTAGGGATATTCCGGACTGATAACGTTTTTATCAAGACTAAAGATTTCGCCCTGCGACCAGAGTACATCAGCAAGACTTGGTCGGTCCATGATAACAATGGATGGCGGGATATGCCTAATCTTAGACTCTTGTGTAGAGGAGTAAATTCGATGTTAAATACTTGTCCATCGAAGCCATGTGATAGCAAAGCTACCTGCATCTACACTTTCGGTAAGGAGACACTTTGTCTCTGCCCTTCCGGTTACACCGGCGTGACATGCTACACTAACAAGCCATGCCGCTCGAACATCATAGCTGGAACAGAGCTGAAATTTGCATATTTTGGAAATAGGCCTGGCGATCTCGGCTTATTTTTCTGCAGGGGAAGGTATCCTTCTGTAAGGCTTGCCCTCTGTGTGGATAGCAAATACAGCGCTAAGTGGAGTAGACAAGGGAGAGCCTGCCGTGGAGGGAATACTGGCAGCGATTCTTTTCCCTGGACACCCTGGTACAGAAAAACCACAGAGAGGTCCTCGTATCAACGAACCGACACCACAAATCAACTTCCCACTGCACAAACTAGTCGTGTCGACTTTGATGCCAACCCTGTAATCTTTCCCGTGGTCCTTTCTTCTTTCGTGCTTCTAAAATTGCTCGTGCCATTTATCATCTACTGCTGCGCCGTGTGTAAGAAAAAAAGTAAGGAAGACAGAGAAGAAAGGGAAGATGCGAGGAGGTTACAGGAAGATGACGGGGAATTAGGAACGAGACTGGAACAAGTTGTTAGGGCCGGGAGTCAAATGGAACTTGACAGTGGTATCCAGGATTACCAACCCACCGTCCAGGAATACCAACGTCAAAATGGAAACAGAAAAATGAGCCGCAAAAGAGGATTGTACAGAGATGCAAGTTTATGGCGAATCTTTTCCATGCTGTTGTTTTTTTACTTTCACCTGTGGGTGGTGTACCTGGTGGGTTGTGAAATTTCCCAGTGTACTCGATACGGACGTAGTTTCGTCTACTTAAAAATCTTTGGAATTGCAATGCTGTGGTTCTCGTCTGTGTACATTTTCATAGAAAGCATCTTCTCTCGTGAGTTGGATTACTTAAGAAACATTATGCAGGACGAGACCGCTTGGGGCTACATACAAAAACTGCATCAACTCGAACCCAGAATTGACATGGTCGTGGAGTGCTATCATCCCACACGTGATCATTCAAAAGTTCTGACATTCGTGGACCGCAAAACATTCTCGTTCGGCTCGTGGGTTGATGTTTCTGAAAGAGAAATCCCAACAGTGAGTACCGTGTGGCTTACTCGAGTAAGAATCGATCCTTATGTCTTGTTCGGTGACCAGGAGACAGCAGATAGTTAAGAGAGACAAAGAGCGGCCATGATAAGTAGGAATCGTTTCCGAGATCTATTTACGGATTTCTCAGCGAGTAGAGAAATTCCTGGGCTGACGAAGAGGATCTCTGCTTATGTGGATTTGAGGGTAAAGCCTTGGTGGATTCGACCTTTGTTTTTTTGGCTGGCCACGCTGTTGCAGATGACTTGGCCTTATCGCTGGCTATTTAGAGCAAAAACTGGTAAAAGTCATTACGCTCTAAAGAAGTTGATCTATAAGAGTACCACGCCCCAAATGAATCCAATAACAGTGCTGGCCGATGGTGGAACTTCGACCACTGACTCCAGCGTCCTGGAAAACAGCCAAATATCTTATCCGATGCCAGAGATCGTTAATACAGGCAGAGGGAGCCCCGCCTACGGAAACGGTTGCCAACCGAATCCACCAGGAGATCCAACTGGGAGCCCTCCTTTGCCGGTCGCACCCCAACGAAGCGCATCCCTTGCGACCTACGACACTGGCACCTCATATCAACCTCCTGTGAATAATCCTTATCTCACAGGTGGAGCTGCGTTTCCTACTCAGCCACCCGGACCTGTCTACCCTCCTTATTCTGTGGTACCGCAGCCAGACGAGCCCCCGCCATCTTACGATGCTGCTGTACGATACACTCCTGACATTCCCCAAGCAAGTAACGAGAAAATAAACCCTGGGACTTAAGGGTGGTGGAGAGAATATTAGAGAAAAATAAACGTATCTGTGGTGTTACGGCAATACAAAAAAAAGAAAGAAACTAACTATTACACTAAATTGCATTGTTTGATTTTTATGGTCGAGATAAGGCGTTATTTTCCGTTAGATTTCTACTTTAAAAGCCACTTAACGTCATGCATATTGCTACACAGTGAAAACGAACATATTGTTTGGGTCGAAAATTCTTTAGAACTTCTGTTTTCCAAAGGAGTCGCCCATTTTCCAGGCTTGTTCGTTCGTAGAGGTAGCAGTTTAAAAATGAGCGTTTATTCGAGGACACACTGTATTTAGCGTTTTCTAGTGATTTAACAACGGTGCTGAGAATAACAGTACCCAACAACTCTTTTCCGTGAAATAACCGTGAAGCGGAAGGTTTCACTTGTTGTCACCAAGCATGAAGTTTTTCAGCATGTTTTGGCCGTGGTGGTAAGGACATAGCAACCCGAATAGCCTTTGGTGCAAAGAAAAACCCTGAATTGAGAGAAAATTATATATAGTCTTGTGGTTTGACATTTTCTCTAATGTTGTAACCAGAAATATTTTGAAAGTAATTATGGATGACGCATTTTGCAATTAAGTTAACTATACTAGGCATTTTAAAATAAAAATAAATGAAATAAAGATAAGTGGAAGTTATTCCTTTCAAAAAAATTACAGTGTCACGCTATACTCCTACGCCTCAGCCCCCCCCCCCCCCCCCCCCCATAACGGCCACTTAGCCCGTGGTGGCCGCTGCAAAGAGACTTGAGCCATAATTGTAACTCTGTGGAAGTGATGTTACACGGGACAATTCGCAGCAACGATTTTTAACCCAATCTCCATCAGAAGGAGTTGTTGGAATAGCGCGAGCGTTAGCACCAGGTGCACGCTCTGTAACTTACATTTAATGGTGGGAAGAGGTAAACCGAGGGAAGTAAATCTTGCAGTGGTCGTGATGGACAACTGAGTCCCATTCCAAGTAAATTCCAGTTCCAGTGACCTGATTTTCCTAGAATTAGCCATTTGCACTCCTCCCACAATACACCTTCCCTGGGATTTCCCCTCGCGCCGTTTCCCCTTCTTCTGAGAAACTGTGATAGTAAAGAAGACTTAACGTCAAGCACCTACAGGAAGTAACAGACGGCCTTTTGTTTTCAAGAGTTTGTCCGTTGAATTTCTTTCCGAAAAGTGAGGGATTTTTTGCGGTAAGAAAAGAATAAACTCTTTCACCCTTATACAATGTAATGGCAGGATGTTTTGCCGCTATAACTTTGCCCACCTTTTAGGTATGTGGACAAAATTCTTTGCTTTACCATCGAAATGAAACCTTTTTGGTATCCTGGGAAAACAGACGTTTGTCCTCGCTCATCGCCGCCGGGGGACGTTTCGCGAAAGGTCCCAGCGGCGAAGAGCGAGGAGAAACGGCTGCTTTCGCAGGCTACCTTTTTGGCAGAATTTTTGCATCATGTTATTTACCTTTTAGGATTTTATAAAAAGATATTTGGAATTTTTGAAGAATTTTTTAAAATGGCCACTATGAGATTGTAAGAGTTAACAAAGAGTTGTTCAGTTTTTGTAGATAGAGTGCGGTAGACCAACGAAACTCCTAAGTCCAATATCAGTTTCGAAACCTTTTCATCTATTTTGTCACTGGCAAAATTTCGTCTGATACGTGTCGCACTTTATCCATAATATTCTGTTAATAAACTTCCGCTTCAATATTGGCCTGTTGGTTTACCCAAACTCACCACCTCAAAACCTGACTTTAACGCCGACCATTGCAGTATGTGTCTGTCAAAAACGTCTTATTGTTACATTATATACGACTGCAGAAATATTTCGCATTCATTTAGTTTTGTCCCTGAGGAAATTATCCCAAGTGATCATGATGACACGGCTACTTTTTTTACTGTGGATTTTGTGTAGCATGTTAATCGCATTCTCCAGTTGCAGAAATTTGTGTTCAAGGATTTTCTTTCAAAACATCAATGAAGAAACCATGCCTTACAAAATCATTGAAGGTGTATACACCAAGGAGAATAACAACCACAACAACTTCCCTGTATATAGGCGAGAAAACGGCAATCTACTGTTTTACTATTATATTTCCAAGGAAGGCCTAAAATTTTTGATTTTTGGACGTGATCTGAAAGTTTACTTTGGCGTCGTTGCTGATGTTTATAGCGCTGTTGATCCTGTGTCTTGGTTGAACTCCGGGCGTTTGGATAGAAGTGATGTCTTTGGAGGATTGATATACAACTGGCGGTTCTACAACACGCGTGATAAAACCCATTACTATGTTGTAGTTAATAATTCGTCGCCTATAATTAAAGCTGTATGCGTGGATGAAGATTTCAGAGAATGTAACTCGGACAGACTTTACATGAATGTTAATATCACCTACAGAAGGGGGAATGTTTCAAACGATTACACTCGAGATTATTTTTTTCGCAAGCAAGGTGTCTTCCGTAACCTTCGTCCTTTGTATGAGCACAGTAGACAAAAGTGGTACCTTCAATACACTGCTGACGGCTTCTGGGTGATAACAGAAAGGTACTCACCAAGCAATTCAAATGATAAAACAATTTCCATGAGGATTAAAGATTTTGCCCTGCGACCAGAGTTCATCAGCAAGACTTGGTCGGTCGCGGAGGCGGTCGGTTATGTCGAAACGGGATGGCGTTATATGCCTAAACTTAGAGTCTTGTGTAGAGGAGTAAATTCCATGACGAATACTTGTGTATCAAAGCCATGTAATAGCAAAGCTACATGCATCTACACTTCCGGTAAGGAAACACTTTGTCTCTGCCCTTACGGTTACACCGGTGTGACATGCTCTACCAACAAACAGTGCCCCACTCCCTACCCTTTATCTGGCACAGAACTGGTTTTTTACCATTCTGGAAAAAGGCCTGGCGATCTCGGCTTTTCCTTCTGCAGTGGATCGTATCCTCCTGTAAGGTTTGCCGTGTGTGTGGAAAGCAAATACCGTGTTAATCCTTACTGGAGCAGACAAGGGAGCGCCTGCCGTAAAGGGAATACTGGAAGCACTTCTTCTCCACGGACGCCATGGTATACACAAACAACCGAGAGGTTCTGGACGCCATGGAATCCACGAACCTCCTGGAAATCTCCCACTCCTCGAGCTCGTCGTGTTAACTTTGATGACAACCCTGTAATCACCCCCGTGGTCCTTACTTCTGCCGTCATATTGGAATTGCTCCTGCCATTTATCATCTACTGCTGCGCTATGTGCATGAAAAATATTAAGGAATGCACGGAAGAACAGGAAGATCAGAGGAGATTCCAGGAAGTTGGCGGGGAATTAGAAAGGAGACTGGAGCAAGTTGCTAGGGCCGGAAGCCGAGTGGAACTCGACCGTGATGCTCAGGATTACCAACGAGCCGTCCAGGAATACCAACGTGAGAACGAAGACAAAGAACTGAGCCGCAAAAAAGGCTTGTACAAAAATTCGAGTTTATGGCGAATCATTTCCATTCACCTCTTTTTTTCCTTTTACCTGTGGATCGTGTATCTTGTGGGTTGTGAAATTTTCCAGTGTACTCAGTACGGACGTATTTTCGTCTCCTTGAAAAATTTTGGAATTGTGATGCTGTGCCTCTCGTCTGTGTACATTTTCATAGAGAGCATCTTCTCCCACGAGCTGGATTACTTAAGAAACATCATGAAGGACGAGACCGCTTGGGGCTACATACAGAAAATGCATCAAGTCGCACCAAGGATTGGCATGGTCGTGGAGTGCTATCATTTCGAGATGCGCACACGTGACGTATACTACAAGGACGCGAATGGAAACCCGCAGTCCCGCACAGAAACTTATACCGAGAAGGTTGTGACATTCGAGGACCACGATGAATTCTCGTTTGGCTCGTGGGTTGACATTTCCAAAAGAAAAATGCCAGCACTGAGTTCAGTGTCTCTCACTCGAGTAAGAATCGATCCTTATGTCTTATTCGGTGATCAGGAGACAGCAGATGATTACGAGAGACAAGCAACAGTCATGATAGAAAGGAATCGTCACCGAGATGCCTTTACGGATTTCTCAGCGAGTAGAGAAATTCCTGGGCTGAAGAAGAGAATCTCTGCTTACGTGGATTTGAGGGTGAAGCCTTGGTGGATTCGACCTCTGTTTTTTTGGCTTGCCACACTTTTGCAGATGACTTGGCCTTATCGCTGGCTGTTCAGAGCAAAGACCAGCAAGAGTTACTATGCTCTAAAGAAGATGATTTATAAGAGTACCACGCCCCCACGAGAAGTAAACCTTATGGATCAAATAGCAATGCTGGCGGGTGATCTAAATTGCAATGATTCCGGCGTTCCGGAAAATAACCAGATTTCTTATGAGATGGGGGAGATGCTCAATCCCGGCTTAGGTAACTCCGCCTACCAAAATGACCTTGCACCTTATCCACCAAGCAATCCAGCTATGAGGCCTTCCTGCCCACCCGCACCGGAACCAAGTGCACCCCCTGAATCATACGTCACAGGCACCCCATACCCTCTGCTGAATGCACCGAATGCTTCTGCGTCTCCTGTGTATATTCCATATCCCGCCGGGGGACCAACGTATCCTTCCCAGCCATTGCAAGGACCTGCTTACCCTCCTTATTTTGTGAGACCACAGCCAGACGCACCACCGCTGCTACCACATGAAGGTGCCGTCGGTTACACTCCTCAAGCGCAGTGACCAGATATGTCACGCCCGCCTGCAACCTGAGAGAATGTTTAGAACTTAGTGATGCAAGTAAACTTTAGACCATTATATTTGTCATGACCTGGAGCCAGGAGCCGATACTGTAATTCCTGCCTGGGACAGATTAATACCCTAATAATCTTTAAACAGGAGTAGTAAAACAAATGTTGAATTTTCGTTGTAAGTTTTCTCAGAGCTTACACTTGTTTAATTAGGTCGTAACCAAAACCTTGTGAGAGGTGAAGTTTGTCTCGATAGTAGTCAGACATTGCGCTCCTTGTTCATAGCTTCTTATTTACCTCCGCTTAGGTCTTTTGGACAAAGTCTTAGCCGCTTGGTGCATTTATCGATTTTTCAAATATCTAGTAATACAGTACAACTCTCTCTTAACGGACACCTCTTTATGACGGACAGCTGGCGTTGGTCATTTTACTGCCATTATAACTCTCTGTAAGACGGACGCCTCTCTAAGACGGACAACGGACACTTTAAAACCGTCAACGGAGACCTGAGAAGTGCTTTATACAGTTAAAAATACCTCAAAACTGAAATGTAGGTGCTCTACATGACAGTAAATTGCAACTTTTTAATATTTTGTAGTCTAAATCCCCATTTCGCATATTGTATATTGTTACACTTTTAGACCAGGAAGCCGTGAACGTTTGCATGTAATCAAAGATTGTACTGAAAGAAAATGATTCCACTTTTCTGTTACAATTGCAATATTCCAGTTTTAGCTGTTTTGCATAAATTAAACAGACGTGTATTCATTGCGAATGGGTTGAGCTTTTACTGGTGTCACGTTACCTCGACTCTCGAAAGTCGGGGCCGGTCCCGAAATTGTCCGTCTTAGAGATTTGACTGTAGTCTTCATACTAACTCTCTTTCGTAGCCGCGTGACAGGTGAAAAAAGGGAAGGGAGGAGAAAAACGCAAAAGCGAAAAGGGAGAGGGAGCCATATACTCTCCTTGCCCCATCTCCCTCCCTTGATCTCCCACTCCTTTGGAAGCAATAGTCGCGTAGCAGGAGAAAAAAGGGAAGGGGGAGGGGGGGGGGCGAAAAAAAGCGTGAGAGGGAAAAGGGAGAGGGTGCCTTTCCCCTTTCTCCCTCATCTCCCGGCCTTGATTCCACCCCCTCCACTTCCGACGCCTGCCGCGCAGGCTTACTCTTTCGCTATGGGTTCCTGTCTTTCGCAGGTTTCACAACTGACATTTTTTGAAAGTGAAATGCTATTTATTCTGTCAATCCTATTTATACAATCGGAATGCATGGCAAAATTATTTAGGAACCCAACCGTAAGCTCGTTCGAATATTGTATCCTGCTTTCTTCATTGTTTCTGAACGTTACTTAATCATAACTAATAGTTCCTGTAATGCATTCAGGTGAGGCGTGTCCGTGCAGCTGGTGTTGCGACCAAGTGTGTTGGAACGGCGAATTTTGTGAATTTTCACTGAGTCCTTGCCAGTGTCAGCACTTTCTCTTTGTGTAATAAGCATAAGGAAAAAATGTTTTTTCCGTCCATGGTAACGTTACGGCAGTTTGTTTTCAAACAGCTTTTTCCTAAGATGTCACTCTACTAGCCTTAAGTCCCAATATCTGGCTGCACGTGCCACGCAGATCTACTTTCAACACTAGCTAACACGGCACCAGACGAAAATTTCGACCGGTTCGAAAATTCGTTCGTTTAGGTGTTCTGTTCGCACGCGTACGGAACCACCTTGACTGAACGAAATTTAGACGCCTAGTCGTTTAAAGTTCCGTGAAAAAGAGAAAATATATTGAGCGGTCTCTTGTGAACGAAGTGTCCCGTTCGGTGCCGTGAGAACTATAGAAGCGAGTAAACTTGAAAAAAACCGACAGGTTGCATCAGCGTTAAATGTCATGTCTAGAGTTACGGGAATTGTATGTTTTGGTTCCCATTAGAGCAAATTTAAAGATTTCACGCTGGTTCAGAGAGTTTGGAGTGTTAGCTCTCCGTCCGTAGTCACGGTTGTTCGATTCCTTTGTTTCAATGGTGCAACGAGCCTTGCTCTCGCCACAAGCTTGATCGCTCTGAGTTGGATGATTTGCTTGCTCAAAATATCCAGTTGCCCGTCAAAGTTCCGTATTCGATCCCGCACACGTTCAACATGCAAACTGATCTTCATTTCCGCGTTTTTGCTTCTCGTCACAAGTTTTACTTCCGTGTTTTGCCTCTCATCACAGGTTTTAGTTCCTTTTTTTTTGCCCGTCATCACAAGTTTTAGTTCCGCGTTTTTCCTTATAGGAATCGTGAAACTTCTTCTTCCCATAACTCGCGTAAACGTTAACGTTCCATGAACGGTCCACCACAAAACCCTTTCTCTCTCGGGCAGGATCTTCATTGGCGGCACAAACAACGCCACCACCAAGAACATCAGTAGACTGCACGTGTTTCACGTGCACGTGCCTCCTATCCGTGCAACAGCAACTGACCGAACCAACTGACCAGGGACAGTTTCATTCCCTTGTCACGTGCCTTACTGCTGCTGATCACGAGCCCTCTTTCTCTCTTGAAAGCGTTGTCTGGCAGCAGTGATGGTGTCCTCTGTGTTTCTTTTGGAGATTTTCGGACTTTCTTCGGTTGATCCTGGTGGGATAAAGAGAACGTTTTGAAATGCATAAAATGGAATACAATCAGAAAGCTGACTATTATGTTCTCTTTACAGACCATCGAGTGCACTTGCGAAAATAGAAAACGTAAGGGACTTATTGGCCGCTAGCCAGGGTCCCAACGGGGAGGGGGGGGGGGCGGTGACCGGAGCCCTGGAGCCCTAAAATGTTTGCTGCAGAGCCCGGAGTATTTGCGGAGCCTGGAACCCTCGAAACGTTTGCCGCGGAGCCTGGATTCCTAAATACTAGCATTTGAACATTCTAGCACACCTGAGATGGCGGTTCTTTCCTGGTTGATCGATTTGGATAAAGTACTAATAAAAAAATTGGAGCCTGGAGCCCTCGATTACATTGTTGGGAGCCCTGGAGCCCTGTTAACTTTGGCCCGGAGCCTTAGAGGGCATCTAACCCCTTTTGGAACCTTGGCTAGATCAACGGCGCGGGGGTGGATAAATGGTAATTTCCGACAACAAAGGAAAAGGTCTGGAATACAGACAAGGAATTAGATGGGCGGTTATTGCCCGGGGGTTATTGTAATTACTTTACTGTTACAACGAGTTGATCCGTCCCCCTTCTCACCGTCTCGCAAGGATTACTAACTTCACAGTTTAAGACACACGTACACGAGTTTTTCCTTGACAAAGAAATGGGGCTTTACCCATTTTAGAAAATTTTGTAGGCGATATTATTAACGGCTCAATACCATTTATTACTGTACACTACACAGGGCAAAAAAAGGCCAGAAACCTGCTTGAAGAGCGGTGTTTAGTTTACTCTCATCTGCCTCTTGTTTCCTGGTTGTAAGTTTTCCCTCTGCCCAGCCTGACAATGAATAGCTATCTACTTCATGTAACCTTGGAAGAAGGTCTCTCACCCACTCGTATCGTATCTGATACGGAATGGAAAAAAAGAGAAAAGGAATCAATTTAGTACATAGCACAGTAAGTGGCTTCATTCAACAGCACGAATTCAGTAAATCACTCGATCATTCAACTGAAAAACTGTTGCAAAGCCAGTTACAACGACATTTGTATTCTAACTAATAGATCAGCTATCCTTCCCATTAGTGAGCCAGTGTGTTAGTAAGTCAGAAGTCCAGTTTCGAATTCGTCGCTGCCGCTGCAGTAGTTATTGTTAATCAACAAATCATCCAGTCCAACAGGCAGACCACTGAACGCTTTTTCAGTCAACAAAACCTTTAGCAGGTAAGACGGCTAGTTAATAGGCGATAGGTAGACCTGCTCGTCTGTCAGACCGTCAGTCAACTTGCCAGTCAGTCAGATAACGGTTGGTCAGACGGCAGTTAGCCGTTAGCCTACGTGGCAGGCGTCAAATGGGGAAGGGGAGAGGGTAAAAGGGTCCCGCATTTCTCCCACCCTCGCCTCCCTATGAAAGGCTAGTCAGCTAACCAATTCTTTGGAAGTTCTATCTCTTAACCAACTCTGCCGGACGCCACTGACAATTATGGAGAACGGATTAACAGTCAGACGTATGAACATTAATTCTTCAGTCGAGGCAATTTCTTTGTGGTTCATTAAACCACGTGAAAAATAGGTTACTCACCGGACATACTGTTCTGACATAAATTTTCGAGGTCCATATGATATCATGAAATATTATCCACTCAAGCTGATCTTCACAACCAAACAACTATAAAAAAAGCAGAGACGCAACATCTAATGAACTTGTTATACAGGTACTGGTATCTGTAAATTAAGCTTCTTCGGGTATTGGTTTTGTTCGCCTCAATCTCCTTGCCGCTTCAAAGCCGCCAGCTGCGTAGGCTAATCGAGCAAAATATGCTAAGTCCAAAGAAAGAAGACAATGAACTTTATCTTCATTCAACAGGTCCTCACCGTGGATGATGGGTGAATGTATACTTGAGTACCATGTCCATCCATGGTGCGAAAGCTATTTCCAGCGCTGCTTCTAGGAATGAAAGAAAACATGTACAGTTATAAACGAGTGGTTTCGGATCCTGTGCTTTCATGTTATGTACTGCCTCAGTATACGATGACGCGATATGCTGCCAAACAGCAGGAATTCGGAATGTTTCCTTTAAAAATCTGGTTATTCTTAAGACACATATCTGGCACTCATTTATTAAAAGGGTAGCCATGGAAACCGAATGGTTGGTCCTGCCACGAAAACCGAATGGTTAGTCCGCGTGGCAGGCGTTCGAAAAGGGAAGGGGAAGGGAATTCGCGCGTGCGCGAGGGAGAAGAGAGGAGGTTCCTCTCGCTCGCCCTAGCGCAACCTTCGCGCTTCTCGCGCGCCCCAAATCCCCTTTTTCTTCCCTTTAGAACGCCTGCTATGCAGGCCTTCGAATGGTCATGTTTTGCAGTTATGTGGCTGTAAAGTGACATATTTCTGGTCGCCGCTTGAACTTTGAACAAATTCCCTCAATTAATTCTATAAGGAAAAGTATGGATACCAGTTTGGAGAATTTGTACGTAGATTTAGGGGCATAAAGGTTCAAGTTACAATGGGTAACAATATAATCTACAAGAAAAAAAATGATGATATAATCTTAGAAAAAAAGAAACATTCTTACTTTCGCGCGACATTGCAAAAGTAACCATTACACAGGGCCCTTCTTAGCATCTCTTTGGAGTTTTGTCCGGTGTTGTCTGTAGCATGCTTACGAAGAGAATACTTGACAATCTGTTGATATAGGAAACATATACAGTGTAGTGACAAGGATTATGAAATGATCATACATCACACAGGTTGCTAAGAAAGCATCTCTAAGCAGAGGTAAAGTTGGTATTCTACTGCTAAGTCAAAGAAAACTTAAATGTAGTTTTTGGTAGTTAAATACTGAACTTGTTTAGCTCGAAACACAGGTCTATGAAGCTTTTAGGGAGTTTTTCAGTAAGTGTTTTGGGATCCACTCATCGAATTAGAACCTGGAAGGATTGGGAATGGTAAAACCAGGGGACGTGGGAAGACTGGACTACCCTGAGAAAAAAACTCTCCATCACTGGAAGAGAGCATACGAAACCAGCTAAACCACATATGACCGCATACGGTGCTGAATCGAGCAAAAGCCACAATGGTGGAAGGCTAGTACATGTAAGGGCATATAAAAAGTTCGCGGCCATGTAGGGATAGCTCCGCTTTTTGTTACTTAATTTGTGTTTTCATGTAGAGCGAGTCACATTGAATTAATTTGCACTGAATCCATAGTTACGTTAATTTGCCAGGAAACTCCATTGACATACTCTTTTCGAAATCAGTTGCTTGGATAAGTCAAGATCGAAATGTTTGCTTTCGCTGTGTTGAGGCCGGCGCCCCCCCCTTATTTTTAGACTAAACTGAGGCCCAAAGGGCAGGTGTAATTTTGTTTTTTCATTCTCGCTAGTTTAGCCCTTAAACGCCTTGGAGAGAGTTAAAGAATGTACCAGGATAAACTTGCCTGTTTATGTAAAATCATCTCCAGCTGCTGATGAATGTTATAGGCCATTTTCAGCGCTCTCCAGTGAATAAAATGTTCACGGCACCATCGTGGAGGGGACGAACTAAAAGACAGAAAGATGATGTATTCACTGCACCTCCGCGACGGTGAAATGTGGTATGTTCAGCAACGCTCAAAAGTAAGTTCCTCCCCTCTCGCGAGTCGCGTTGCGCGCTACGCGATTCTCGTAGTAAGTGCGCGACGCCCTAAAAACTGTTAGTATCATGGCTAAAATTCTTGCGACGATTTTAAGAATACATTGTACATGTAAAGCTTTACCGTGACTAGCACGCGAACAAATTAATTTTTAACCACTCCCAACTGTAGACTGCTGAATATCTCTAAATTCGCATTGTGAAGAATCGACATGTCGGCATTTTACGTATCTTATGTTAGAAACATGCTTTAAAAGCGCTTTTTTAACACTGCAGAACCTTTAAAACTACCGTTTTTAAAAACCTGAGAGACGATAGCTTTGCTTATAAGTGCCTACTGGTTTTGTTAAACGTTTCAAGCTGAAACGACTAGTTCCTTCGTTCCTCTAAATGCAGTAATCGTTTTTATTTGGAACTCCTTACTGCCACACCCATTTGTCCGATGGTTAGCGCTATCCATTTTTTGAGGGACCAGGGCCAGGATGAAGAGAGACATGGTGGAGCAAAGTTTCCTTTCTAAGGAAAAAACGCAATGGCAATGCTTGTCTTTAACCTGTGTCTCACCCACCACGCCTCCTTAAGACAACAGAGAGTATATTCCCACTCCACAACATCGTCCCCAGGGACTTTTGCTTGTATATCGGATAACCAACCTAGAATGACATTGTCTGTAGATGTACAGAAGCGTTGCAAAGTCGTTTGTTCCGCCTGCTTCCTCGGCAAGTTCTTTATGAACTTGTGTTGCAGAAGACAAATTCTTCTTTCCGCCTGGATTCACAAAGACATTTTCCACTGACAACATAGCGGCCACAGCAAGTACAAGATCCTCGCAACCAAGACTGACCGAGTGGATAACAGTCCTGGACAAGCCTGGAGACAGGGGGAATTCGGTCATCTGGCTACCAAGGGAGGTAACATTTCCACCCCTGTAAAAAGAAAAACGAAACAAAATAAGGCAACAACAGGAGATTATCAATCCTTTAACTCTTGTGAAGACAAGCAATGCAGCTTTAAATTTTTTGAAGTATTATATGGACAAAATCTTTTAATTATCTTTTATAAAATAACTAACATAACATGTCTGTGAATGTCTTCTTCCTTCATCTACTTTCATTACCTGTCCAAGGCACCAAAAAAGTAAAGTTGCTTCAATGCTTCCAAAATCATCCTATCTTCTGGTGGGTCTATGTACTGAAAACTAGAAAACATTCAATTATATCAGAAACAAGTCAATACAGGGGGTGTAATAATATACAATTGCATGTAAATTATTTGTTTGGACTAAAGTTAAAAAATTCCATGATGATGTCCTAGTTTTCAAAGCAAGTCTGTAGAAAAGATATAAATCAGTGTGTGGGTTTTCTTTAATCATCAACATTAGTGTCAGTCTGGGTGAAGCTTAAAAAGGCCCCTACCCCCTTGTCCCTTCCCAACAGCTTTGCAATAAATTATATTCTGGCCTTTCTGCTGCTGTTTCCAAGTGTACCCATTTCTAGGAAATTCTAACCCTTACAATGATTTCTGCCACTTTTTCCAGGCCAGTTTTCCTCTCTCATACCCAGAATCATGTTAATTTAACCAACTGAATGATTTCCTATTTACGTTGCTAGATGTCAGTTCAAATTTATCGAAAGAATTTCACATACTTTAAATTAATAGTCCGTACCCTAACACATCATGTATTCCCATGGATTTAAGATACAGGATCACATGACCCAGACTTGTCCGCTGTATTTCTGGGATTGTGTCTTCTGTCATAGCTGTATCATACACCTCTCTAAAATAGCAACAAAACAAAAAAAATAATCTAGCCCTTGAGAATGTTTACCTACAAGACCTAGTACAGGGGCTTAACTTACAGATCTGTTCTTTAAAAAAACCATCACACTTAACACAGAAAGAATGGAGAAGACAAATTCTTACTTCGAGAAAAGTCGAAAGCATTTTCCAGGAGCGGTTCTACCAGCCCTTCCTGTTCTTTGAATAGCCTCAGACCTGAAATGTACAAACAATGTACGTACATGCATGTTAAATTATAACAGTTTGTATTCTTTTATTTCCCCAGCTTTGCATTTACTAAAAGGACATTATTTTGTGCAATGTAACATTGTAATAAAATACCGGTAAGCTGGTTACAACATTTTATGGCTTACAGTTACAACTTCATTTCTTAGTGCCAAAAAATTTTATAATTATACTATATATTGAATGATTAATATTAAATATGAATTAATTTTGTGAGCTTCAACAGTGACAGCAAATTCTTAAATCACCTTGATATCAAGACAACATTCAGAGAGTCAAGCCTTGTGCGTGGGTTGTAAGACAACTGCTTTACAAAACCACTGTCCACAACATACCTGCAAAATACAAACAGGATTGGTGGCTCTGTATGATATTACACTTTCCAAATCAACAACAGTGCATTCAGCCAGTAAGTAGTGACCTAATGCAACCACAGTGTCTGAGATGTCAGGTAGAATAGCATAAAGAGGTAGTTTTTAGCCTATTATTAGTTTACCTAGTTTATTTAGGGAGTCTTTAGATCAATTTTTTGTCTAGTGTAGTTACTTAGTTGCCTAGTCATTCTTATCTTATTTTAGTTTTTATCCTTATATTATGTTATTATGACAGGACCCCTTTGATAACAGTGCTCTTGCACTGAAGGGCTATCCTGTATAAATATTCATTATTATTATTATTATTATTATTATTATTATTATTATGTAATGGCTTTGCAAGCACAGTTCACATTTGGGTTCATTTTTCTTTGGTCAAATAATAATTAGCTAATAATTTAAAATTTTCAATTGAACCCATGAAGGTTGACTTTGCACAGTGGTAGAAGGGGAAAAGGAATGAGCTAGCCATTCACCTGATCCCTTCAATAGTAAGTGAAGTGGCTGCGATGTTGGTCGCCACAACAACTTTCCGCACAGCTGGGCTGGGAGGATCAAACACTCTTTTCTGCAGTTCTAAAACAAGAAAGCACTATAAAGCATATTAAGTATGGATTATGACTATTCTAGAGAAAATGGAGAAGATAAAACACAAAATTTATGCTACTAGTTGTCAATGAGCAAAAAAAAACTTTTCACATTATCTTCATATAGAAAATTGACACTTCATAAAATTCACATTAATGTCAACAACATTTGTATTGAACAGTTTCAGCCAAAATTCTAGAGTGTGTATGTGTCTGTGCACAAAAAAATCTAAAATAAAAAATATAATGATCAAGAGTAGTAAGATTTCAATTCATCGTTTTATTGCGACAACGATAGCTGTTTTGTGTGGTCAAAGAATGGCCACACTCATCAGGCAATCATTCACGAATGACCGTTAAATTACAAGAAGTGGCAATAAAAGCTAACTTGGGGTTGCTATGGTATTTACAAACAGTTGCTATAGTAAAATAGTAAAATAAAAAATACATATAAATGAAAGTGCAATTACATGTACACTATTACAAGAGGCTGCCCTCCAATCCTATTACATAAATAATAATTATCCTACAAGTACCTTCAGAGTAAGTGTTTATTTCATCCTGTACATTAGCGAATGTCATTACTTTGCACATGCACAGCATAAAATATCGATCAACTTCTCTGAAAACAAAGCTATGTTTAATATATTACACAAACCTGTTGTCATGGATCCATAGAGGGGTAAAATAAGCATGGCCTCTACTTCATTATAATAGACATCATGGCTGTAATCCACATCCTCTGCAGCCTCAAACAACCTGTCACATGCATGCTCAATTTCCTCCTGACCAGTTAAAAATACTAAAACATCTCCAGGTGGTTCTTCAAGATGAATTCTCATCACTGTTTCTATCGCCTAAATATCAGACACAGCAAATAGTAAAGAGCTTAGCCATGCACTTCACTGTCACTAGTCAATACTGTTATATGAATTCCCAAGGAATTTTGTGAGAAAAATAATATTATGACCATAATCTTGCGACTGAAAGGATTCATGGTATATACCTGCCAACTTTTTCTGAGATATAAGCGTGAGATTTTTATCCTGGGAGTGCTGGGATTTTTGAAGACGACACGATCATTTCCGAAGATTCCCGAAGAAGTCCGAAGTCTTCCGAAGACGTCCGAAGCGAAGAGACCACTTCAAAAATTAGAAATTGCCATTTATTTATTTTACACATGGTTTTCGTTCCTTACATGGGTCTGAGTTAACATATTTTTGGAAATTTATTTTTCAATCAGGCAAATATCGAAGTTTTCAATGGGACGTGAGGTTGGCAGGTATACATGGTATTGAATACTGGGCAGAGACCATTAGAAAGCTGTATAATAATTTATTACAAATATTATGGGACAGGTGTATCATGGTATCTCAACTTTGCCCTATGACTGGTCTCTCCACCTATCAACATTTTGGACATTTTGGATATTTTTCTCTTTGTGATCATTTTGTTAATTCTCATAGACTTTGTTCATGATAGTCTATGGATATAGTAAGGCCGGAGAAAATTGACTTTGAGCACTATTGGGAGTTAAAGTGTTAAGGACTATTCCTTGCTATCAAAGTCCACTTTTAACGCTGAAACTAGCAGATAGTCAAAAATTGATATCGGTTTTGAGAAAACAATAGTTTTTAAGCAATTTGTCTTCAATAACAGTTGTAGGTAGTCTGCAGATAATAAATTAACAACCAGATTATTATGAAAAACGAAAAAACCCAGAGAGCAACATTTATAGATAATATCTGTTGTTAGTTTACTATTAAAATTAACATAAAATTTTTATGTATTTTCCTTTTCCTACATTAAGAGCCACAAACTTACACGTTTCAGATAATTAGGTGTCTGTAAGTCTTTAACACCAACATAGTTTAGGAAGACACTTTCTACAGGAAAACAACGTCCAGGAATTTCAAAGACAGGACAACCACCAAGGAATTCAGAAAACTTTTCATGATTTAAGGTGGCAGACATAATCACAATCTTCGGTAGGCGATTAACAGGTTTATTATATGTATCATCTGATCCTTCTCTTCGATTGTGAAACAGCTTCCTTACTAAACCAAACAGTATATCCTGAAATAAAGCATACAGAAGATACCATTTTTTCAGTACTGTGGAAATAATAATATTGGACATCTGACTCGTCCCCAGTTGTCTCTCATTATTAGTATTTGGCGTGGAAGACTAGAATGGGCTCTTTAACTAGTAAATAATAATGAGAACTTAGAGACGACTGGGGACGAGTCAACTAGATTATTTGGACATTTAAAAGAATAAAAACCAGGTTTAGGGCTAAACAGGCAGAATTCACTAAAGCATCTCAGAGAAATTGGTTTATCTTTTTAGTAAACATAAAGCAATAACTAGTTGAAGAAATTGTGGTTGCACCTTGATTGCTTCAGTTTAGATTTAAATAGCCAGGGACCAGTCTCCTTGGGGGGGCGGGCAAAAGAGAAATAACTGACAAGTGAAGTGAGCAGAGCAAAGGACTGGGCAGCGGGAAAGGCCAGGGGAGCTCTCCCCCCATTATGGAACATTTTTTCCCTTGTATGCTGTCTTCTCATGATTGTTAACCCCCTTTCCCCCAAAACAGAGAACCTATTCACTGGCAAAGAAATTCAGAGTAACTGATACCAACTCTCTTGGATTGTTCTACTAAAGTCTCCCTGACATTTTGTACTAGTAATATAAATCTCACTATATTTGTCTGTGCCTGTGATGACATTAATTTTTGTTTATAGAATAGATCCAATTTCCTGCAAATTTTCAGAAAGGAGGAGGGCAGTTTAAAGATGGGAGACTTAAGTGAAGGAAAATTAATAATCAGTAGACTAGAGATCACAAGGTCTTGAACTCACAGTGTCCAAACTTCTTTCATGAGCTTCATCTAAGATAATTAAACTGTATTTGCTAAGCACAGGATCATCAAGAAATTCTCGTAACAGGCAGCCATCAGTCATGTACTTGATAAGAGTTTTGTCACTGGTGCAGTCATCAAACCGCACTTGATAACCAACAGTTTCTGAAAACAACAGTAAATTTTAATGTGTGAGAAAAACACCAACAATTAAATGGTTATAACAATTATTTTAGACCTGTGCACTTGTTTTTATTGTCAATAAATGTATATGTTAAGGGTAAAATTAAATTCAGGTTTAAAATTTTTAACGTTGGTTGATTCAGGATTTTTTTTGTCATAATTAGGGCTAGGAGACAAAGAAAACTGAGAGTCACCTAGGTTAAAAATTTTAAGCCTGAATTTAATTTTGACCTGTAACGTTTACATGTATATGTAAAACACCACGTTGTACAAACAAGTACTAGTTGTAATGTAGGTGCATGTAGGATGGATTACACTAGCTACCTTTCAGAAAGGCACTCACCTCCTAACTGACATTCCGTTTCTTCTGCCACGCGTGTCGCAACTGAAATCGCAGCAATACGTCTTGGTTGTGTAACACCGATCATTTGTCCTCGAGAAGTATACCCAGCTTGGTGAAGATATTGCGGAAGTTGAGTAGTTTTTCCGCTTCCAGTCTCACCCACAACAACCAGGAAATCATTATCGTTCACTGCTTTTACTAATTTTCTTTTATAATCCCTAATCGGTAGGTCAAACTTGCCAGTTTTCGAAAACTTCGACTTCTTCTTGTCCGCCATTTTGTTAACAAGGGGTAAATGCGCTATGTATCATTAAACAAGCTGTCCAATTTCCGTTTACAGGACAGATTGTGTAGCATACATATATGTAAGACCGTTCATGTTGATCCCACTGTAGACACAAGCGCCGGCGCGCATTGAAAATGGCGGCGGTCTTGAGCGTATTGAATCCACTGAATTTTCTTTAGTTTTCCTTTCTCTATCCAAATGAACAAAGGTGGACCAGGAGCAAGGAGACCTAAACCAGGTCCACGTGGTAAGAGATATACTTGACTGTTGTTAGTTGAGTGCAATCATGGAACATCACTCCGATTCTTTCAGCTGATGAATCAATTGTTATCATATTAGAGCTAAACTTCAGAATACCTGGCCACTTATTTTCGTCATGGAAAAACAAGAGTGCCTATTTTTACAAGTAGCTGGGTATTGCAAAGTTACGTTGCTTCTTCAATCATTGACTTTCAGAGATGCCAACTTCTGGAAATCTAAAATCTGGACACTCTATCTCTTGCGCTATCTCCCCCCCACCTCAATGTCAACAAACATAATCCGGGAGAATTGGTATATATGAACTTTCCTGTTGGGAAGCTGTTAATATTAATACAGTCCATCCCCCGCAGAACGGATTTTTCGTTAGACCCCCCCCCCCACCTCTCGGGAGGAGGGTTTCCCACAGGACATGTTCAGCAAATTGATACAAAGGTAAATGCAATAGTTGGTTGTTAAATTTGCCAATCTCTAGTATTGTCGGTAAGGTACAGTGTTTACAGGAAAAAAAGGCCAGTGATGCAATCAGAATTATGGAATAATAAAAGGGTACAGGAAATACTAACACAAAGACAGCAATATTGTGTGAAAAATCTATCAGTCCTCCCGATTTAATAATTAAAAGATGCTTTTTCAGAAAATGAAAAATGTATTTTTTCTCTATTTCAGCTGTACAGGTACATGTACACATGGGTGTTTGTGCGTATATGGTTGCTATGCTCCTGCCTGTTCTGTTCTGTTATGGGTCAGTCGTCCCCAAATTACCACTTTCTTGGGTGGTACATGACTGTATAGTTATTTTGGAGGATTATCTGCCTGGGATTTTACACAAATAAAATGGCATGGTTTCAAGTTGCGGACTATTTTGGCAGTTAGTTGGAAGGGTCTTGAGCAGCTACAAACTTCTTTTGGCTCTGTTTCCCTTTTGTCTCCTTTGAAAATAGCTGGGGGTCATACTCAAAGTAGCTAGGTTTCTCAATCAGAGCCAGTGGCCAGCAAAATTCGCCAGCTATTTCATGTGAACTCTCTACCTACTTTTCTTCGGAAATTATCCTCAAAAAAGCCAAAATTTAATGATGTTTGTGTTCTGTTCAAACACTATAATTTTTACTCCAGAATGCTGGAAATGCACTCTAAGAGGCCCAGCTTTCAAAATTCTTTATTAGGTCGCACTTTGGGCGCTTGCAAGTCAGACCTGTGGCGCAAGTTTTTTCCTCCTCTGCCTACTCCAAAGCTTTTACCACCTACTTAAAACCTCATTGGAAACCCTGAGAATCTGGGGAAAATGCCCTGCTCCCAGCCCTTAGTGACATCCCTGCTGATGTGTCATGTATGATCTTTGCAAAACAAAGCTTGCATAAATCAGTACATTTTCCTCACTTGTGAATTAAATTTGGCTAAAAAAATCTTTTATTTTATCATTATTTTTTTAGGTCACCCACCTCCAGGAGATTTCATTGCCCTTGGTGAGTTTTATAAATATGCTGTACTGAATTCCAGAGCAGAAAGCAAAAAGGTCACAAAAGACAATCGTGAGCAAAAAAAGAAAAAAATTACCTTGGTTGTCTTACTATGAGAAAGCATGATGTCCAAATGCATGTTAACATCCAGCATTCCTCCACATGTAGGGTTTATGAGGCGCACAAACTGTCCTGCCTTAATAGGTTGGCGATTCCATCAAGGCAGTTTAGGTTAGTGTCCCTTCTTGGGAATTATACAAAACAGGGAGGGAGAATGAAGCTTTCCTGTGAGAATCTGTGACAGTCATGTGCTTTAATAAAATTAATAGTCCTTGTTATCTCATCAGATACATGTACAGTTGTACACCTTTATTCTTTTTATTAACATATTATTGTTTTGTGTTTTGTGTTTTTGTTTTATTAACAGGAAGCCGAGGCACCAGGACCTCTGAGAGTGAGCTAAAACCTCTTCAGCCCCTTAAACCATTACAACCTCTTAAGCCACCTCAGCCTTTACCACAAAAAAAGCCAGGAAGTTCGTCACTTTCTGAGCGAAAGAGAGAGCCATCCAGCCCTCTGACGGCTCTTGGGTCATCAAAGAGGCCCAGGCTCTCTTCTTCTCCTTCATCAGCCCATTCCTTCAGAGGAGGAGATGGTGAAGGTGGGAAAAGATCTGGAACAAGTACACAGTCTTCACTACATGCACAGGTTGCTCCTATTGAAGGTGTGTTTAGGTTATGGATAATTATTATAATTTCCAAATATACATGTAAGCAATTCATGAAAAGAAATCAATTTTAAGAGATTTAACAGTCAGTTACTCACCAGTTGAGAATACTTATGAACTGGTGTTAAAGAATGAAAACTCAATTTAGATTTTTGCTGTCTTTTGACTTATACGATCTGACACTATTACATGTACTTTTAACCTCTTTTCTCTATGAACCCATTAAGGCAGTTTTGTACGACCAAGATAAACTTGTACATTTTACCTTTCTGTCAGTTTTAAAAATGACCTCCTGTAGATCCATTACATTTAGGTAAAAAGCAAGCCACCTCAGTTTTCTTAGATTCTATTGGAGATGGTTAACAAGGTTTGCCTTTACAGTGTACATTGTACATCTTCATCACTTGCTACGACAAATCTTGTTAGTGGTCTTTAAAATTTTCACCCAAATTAATCTTCACAAAATATATGTATTTTGTTGTTGTTGGAATAGACATTCATCATCATCATCATCATCATCATATCATTTTCCCCAAGCAGTAAACAGGGCTGGAAAACACTCCTTTTGGTTACTTAGATAATGATTTGATGATTGCAGTTGCTCCATCTGAACTCGAGGATCAGGTTCTTGATGCAGATGCTAGTGGGAATAAGTTAAGAGTTGACGCTCTCCTCCTTGGAGCTATAAAAACCCTTAAATTGAACAAAGCTAAACCTGATGCTATCCTTTACATGAACTTAATTTACCTGGCAAAGAGCAAACCCGAGTTGTTCTTATCCAGCAGAATAGTTGAGGTGAGTCTATTACAAGCTAAGAAAGCTTTACTTTTTAAACCCTGATGTCAGAATGCATAATCTCTTAACTGCTCTCCATTCATTACTATAATGGTATTGATCATGAGAAGAATTTGTTTAACAATCAAGACCTTTTTCATATGTTGATTGTTTCCTAATGTTTCTCACAATGTTTATGTTACGGTGCACATTGAGCAGTGCTACTGAGAGAAGTTAAGTGTTGGTCACTCTGAGTGGTTAAAGAGTAAAGCAATAATGCCATTGACAATGGAAACAAAAACATAAAAAATTAGTAGGGTTTATAAAATAAGCAGAACAACTACTGTGCATGGGCGTCACATGTCTTGGTACATGGACTTTATTAATTCTTCTTTGCAATCAATCTGCTAGCATGACATAGAACTTCCTAGTATAAAGTTTTATGAAGGGCGTAAACATGCACAACAACATGGAAGTTAAGATTATGTCAGGAATCTCAGAAGTGTAATTAAAAAAAAACTTATTTAAGGGAAATTTCATCCACCCCCTCCTTGCACCATGATGAGGTACATGTATGTTCTGTACATGTATTTTCAGGATGCAAAACTGCACAGACAGTGATACATAAATTTTAGCCTTTAACATTTTGTTTTGTCGCAGGCACTTACAAATATACTCAAACGTGAGGGCGGTGGTATAAAGCCAGCAAAAGGAACAAATGCTCTGGTACCAACAATGGCTTGTAACATTCTACTCTATGCCTTCCAAGATGAAGATGATTGGCCAGAGTCATTTGTTAAAGTGTATGTTGAGGATGCCCTTGGCGACCGAGTCTGGGTTGATAATGATCATTGCCGCAGTTTTGTGGAGAACATATGGACAGCCTTTGGAACAAAAACAGTGCCAAGAGCAACATTGGCAAGGCAGCAAAGTGATCCCACTGGCAAACAATCAACATCTGAACAGGCCCAACCTGGTGGAACTCAAGCAGGAGGTTGGCAATGATCAGTTTTATTTACAGTCAGCTCTCTCTTACTGGATGTCTAGACAAAAAAGCAGACATCTAGAGTTGATGCAGGCCTTTCTTATTCCTCTTAGTTGACTCCCAGTAAGACCGGCATGTCTCTAAGACAGACACAAAGTGCTGATCCCAAAGGTGTCCATCTAAGAGAGAACTGACAGTATTTTTTCTCCTTTTGTAAATATAATGTTTTTATGATGTTTAATTTATTGTAAGTGCAATTGGAGATAAAAATGTGACAGTCACTTAATAAACACTCACTGTGAGTAGTTTTTATTACATGTATATCTTTTTTATTTTGCTCTGTACTTGTGTGAGCTCACTTACACAAGCATCTAATTGTGTCTTCTGCTCTGGTTTATTTTGTTTTACACTTAATAGTTCCACCTAAGGATGAAGAAGAAGTTGTTGAAGAAATGGAAACATCAACATCACTTGAAGAAGATTCTATACCTGTCATATCCAGGTCATTAAGCTATGAAATTTACTTTTAATATTATACCTATACTTATGCAGCATACTGTAGCTGGTCATTAATAAATAAATTATGCACAACAAAAATGAATCTCAAGACTCCAAACTTTAAACTTGAGTTTTGGAACTCAAGACTCAAAGACTTGATTAATTCTTACCTCTCAAAACTTAAAGTATTTGAGCTTCAAGGCATGAGATTGAGTGAATTTAGTCGTACTGTGCATTGAATATTATACCAGAATCAAGTAAAGTAAAGTATCAACTAAAAAACACTTAAGATGTCCACTGAAAAGGCTGTGAATGAAAATTTTGCTGGGAATCCAAATTTCTCCAATATGTTTTTTTTTTTTGGTGGAGACTAGCTGTCATGTAAAAAAATGCATGAATTACATGTACGTACTTAGCTTTGTGTTAACTGGTGTATTAGCAAAAATAGCCTGCAACCTGTCTTCAGAACTAATGCCTTTAGCAACAAAGGAGGTGAGCACAAAGAAAATATTAATGACTTACTGTAAATGACCCTATTTATTGTATAGACTCAATTCTTGGGCGAAATTGGTAGTGGTTTAATAAGTTCGTGGTTTCCTTGCCAAGAAATATTTGACAGAATTACTTTCTTAATCTCAAGAAAACCACATAAAACTATCTAAAATTCACTGTTTACTTGTATTATTTTTCCTATTATCGGGAAAATAATAGCACAATGTATTTTTTTATTTGTTGAACTTTCAGGTTCATGTCAGCTTCTGTTGAACACAACATCCAGACATACATCCTTGAACTTGTTCATGACCAGTTAACAAGACGTCAGACCTTAGACAGCATCACACGTAACCTATTGAAGTTGCTGACAGTCACTTGTGGGTACAGTCAGATCAGGCTATTAGTCTCCCAAAGGCTGGAAATGTGGTTGCAGAACCCAAAGGTATGCATTTGTTTGTTTGTTTGTTTGTTTGTTTTTTTTTTCACCCTCATGTTTTATCCCAAGTGGTGGTTTAACTGAACTTAGTACATTTATCAGTAAAAATATCCTTGCAAGGATTTGAGCTGGAAAAAAGACTGGTTGACCAGTAACCTTGTGAAAAGAATTCTTCACTCATAGTGTTGATCTTGTAGTGTTTCTACATGCCGTAGATTAAGCGCCTGTCATGAGGATCACTGATGGCCCTTCACCATTGTCACCATCATCGTCATCATCTTCATCATCATTATCATAATAATATTGTTGTCACCTTTGTCTTATTAAATTATTAATTCTCCATAACTTAAACATGTGAATTACACAGTTAATGTAAAATTAATGCACTGTAAATATGTTTTGTTGCAGCTTACCCGGCCAGCTCAAGACTTGCTTATGTCTCTTGCTCTGAACTGTAACAGCCACAGTACCGAGGATGTGGAAGTAATTAGCAATCTAATAAGGATGAGACTTAAAACTAAACCACTTGCTAACCACTATGTGACTTGCATCAAGTACGTACACTTTCTTGAGTACTTAATACTTTTTTCAGTGAAGCCAAGTTCAGGAATTGAGGTCAACCCAAAGTTCACTCACATATTATTGTTGTGGCTTAATTTTTGTTATAATACGTGATTCAGAAATATTTGAAGAAACAGCATTTTTTTGAGGGCAAAGTATACCATCATGTAGTTACATTTACATTGTGAGGCATAAAATAATTATTTGACTGTAAAGTAAAACTTTGTTTCCTTATATATCACCCTGGCAAAACATCTGTACCATGCTGAAATAAACATGCAGTTGAGTTACTTAACAAATAAAGAAGCCTTGACTGTGCTTTGTTCTGTTGTAAAGCACACAGCAAGCGGCTATAGAGCACGAAAGAAGTGTAGGGGGAAACACAAGACATAGTCGTCAAGTGTTTCTGTCTACTTTGGGTGGTCTAGCCGCTTCCTTGGTGCCCTTACAACAGAAAAGAACAACAGAATAAACTAAATTCCCCATGTGTTACTGTCTGATTTTTAAAATAAACAATTGGCAGATGGCTTGACAGCTTTAGCTCCATGTTTTGTACTCTCATAAAGCATGCTTTTCAGCCAATCAGAGTGCACATTTTATCTGAACTTTATTTTAAAAAGTACTAGATGTTACGTGTGCATTGCCTCACAGATGTCTCACTCATGTTTCATTGCTTGCATACATCTATGTGTGGAACTAGGTGTTTCATGAGTCTTAACGTGTAATAATTACAATTTTGTTATTGTCTTTTGTCTTACTTACCAGGGAGTTGGCTAACCAGCACTCTGAAAATTTAGGAACAGTACTGAAGTATGTGATCTACAATGAACTCTCCAATACTCGCAATCCCAATAACATGACACTGCTGGGGTCTTTATTCCAGAACAACCAGGAAGTGGCAGCCAAGGTTTGTGAGTCATATCAAAACTAGATTATCCGTTTTTAAAAGCCTCATTATCCACTTTCAAATTCTCCAGACTGATCACCATAATATCCTTAAAGAATTCCTCAAGAGAATTTGATCGAATATCAAAGCAGTTCCCCTGTGGTGATCAATTTAACAAATCTCATAACCTTTTTCCTTGATTAAGAATTGATAGAAAAGAATTCTTGGAACCATTAATTTTAAGGGTTTAAGACGAAATCCATCAGGAAATTGAGTAATTTTAATTTTCAGTGGACAAAAACCTTGTATGGAATAAATTCAACTTTTTTACATTTTTCAAGGGCTAAAGATGTAATTAGTTATCTGTAATGACACCAAAGAAAATTTTTTATGGGAGCCCGAGAAAATAAAAGTCAAATTTCACAAAATGACATCTTACGCATGAAATTTTCAGAATTTTACCTCCGTTTTCTCAATTCTCGTGAAATTTGACATTTGTTTTCTCGGGCCTTGAAAAATGCAAAAAAGATTGCAATATTTTGTCCACTGAAAGTTAAAATTTCTCAATTTCTTGGTGGATTTCGTCTTAAACCTTCCACTGTGGCCATCATTGATTATATTTCTTTCATTTGCAAAGTTCTCAATAAGAGCTGGCGGCCGGCAAAATTCACCAACTATTTCATGTGAACTAGCTGCCTTTTGCTCCAGAATGCTGGAAATGCTCTCTAAGAGGCCCAGATTTCAAATTTTTTCTGGCATGTTCCTGGACCCCCTGGTAACTCATGCTTTTGGCACTTGCAAGTCACACCTGTGGCACGAGTTTTTTCCTTCACTGCCTACTGCAAAGTTTTTGCCACCTACTTAAAACCTTATTGAAAACCCTAATGTGACAGTGTAAATATGGTAGAACAAAAATTTGTAAGTTGCTTGGTTAATCTAATAATAGATTAATACGTAATAACTTTTTTTCAGCTGCTCGCCATGGTGTTTCAAGACTTGTTGACCAATAAGTAAGTATGCAAACGTTTTTATCATTTTGCAACACAGCTAGACACATTCAGTTTCAGGTTCCTTTTCAGACAGTTGAAGCATGTAATTCAAGAGCATAGTATCCTGTGTTTTGATTTATGACTGTTTAAATCAAATTCTTTCTTCTGTCAAGTGCAAAATACTATCAAGTCAGAGTAATTTGTTTTCTAATTAAGGCACTTTACCTTAATCATGTAACTGGTGATTATTCAGTGACATTCATGTAAGTATTGGTATATGGAGGAAATAAGTGCAATAAGTGGTCAATGGGTGTTTAGTAAATTTTCTCCTCATAAAAATTGTGCGCAGTAATAAAATCACCCATCATTACAAAAAGGTTTTACTTGTTTTTAGAGATGACTACCTTCGAGCATCACGTGCCCTTCTTAGGGAGATTGTCAGGGCCCTGAGACATGATATAGACTTTGTTGCCTTGTGTCGTGGATTCATGAAGGAAAGGACAGAAAGTCAGTTTAGGGACCTGGAAGCTCCCATAAAGGTAAGCAGTGAAGGCTTTGCAGTTATGGCAAGTCCACAACTAAAATGGCTTATTTATGTGTGATTTTATTAATATTTTTTACTTATTCTTGAGGAAACATGTAAATAAAAGTTGAATTGCCTTATATATACTGTAGTTACAAAACAGTACTGTACCCAATTTCTTGTGACTGCAGGAGTAACAAATTGTTAAATCCATAACCTTTAAGTAATGATCCAGGTAAGATGGGAATTAATTTTTTTTTTGTTATGGCACAATAATTATATAGGCTTTCCTAACATAGGAATATTTTCATTTTCACACAGAGAATTTATAAACCTACAAATAGGTAGTTCATGAGATGAAATGTATTTAAACTCCACTTTTAAAGGGTGTTTTTTTGTGTGTTAAAATATTTTGACCAATCATAAGAGTTGCAAAATAATAATAGCTGAGAATAGTTTTTAATTATACATGTTCCTAACATGGGATTTCTGTGTTACTTAGACTCAGACAAGATTTTGTTATATGGAAGTTGGTTAGAAAACAGGGGATTAATATACATACTGCTTTGTGAAGATTTCGTTAAAATTTTATGTTTAAACCAATCAGAAGTGTATTAGAGACAATGGTAAAGTTAGCGCCTTTCTGCATTTCAGCATGTTCTTTGCATATGGTTCTTTCCTTCTTATCTGGACCATTACTTAACCTGAGTAAAACTTTGATATAAGGCTAACATTTTTACCTTTCTCTCGTAATATTCTACAATAAAAAAATTATTATTATATTTATTGTTGTAGATTATTATTTGCATTAGCAACTGTGTTCAGCTATATGAAGGGCACAACTTGTAGGCATACAAAACAGTGTACTTCTTACTATGTGATGATAATAATTATTATATTTTTATCATATGTTGTAGAATGTATTTGTATGTCTGTTTCAGGAACGTATGCTACTATCCTTAGCTGATCTAATAACAATGGCAACCTTTCTTAGTGTCACACCAGCCATTAAGGATGCATTCAGCTCATCTGCAAGAGGAGAAAAGAGAGGTACAGCTGTACATTGACATTGTGTTTCCTTGCTTGCCATATTTTGTACAGCCAAGGACATAACTACTCCACAGAAAGGCTTGTGGTGTCCTTGTGTACCCCCTTTTCCACCATGAGAAGGTGGTGTCCTATTTTACATTTTACAGTTTTAAAGACATTCATGACTATAATGCTCAGAGCAAAAATAACATTTGTCGGCCCTCGTCATGTTGCTCCGGGGACAAAACAGTTTCATCTACCAAGCAGTCAATGACTGGAACATTTTATCTAATGAAGCTAAAAACATTTCTGACATTTTACCTTTTAAAAGATGTATTAGGAGTATTTTATATTTTATTTTTATTTTTTAATTCTTAAATTATTATTTTTTAAAGTTTTGACATTTTTATCATCAAATATTTGTATGCATTGTTATATCTGTAATTTTATTTAATGCAGCGCCCGGCTGAAAACAAACCTTGTGACGTGGGCTCCCTGTTTAAATATCTTAATTACTTACGTACTTACATATTTTGATAGCCCCCTCTTTATCAATAGTAGAAAATAATAGCAGAAATCAAGGGTACATGTGCATGTAGAGATCTTTGTTGTTTTCATTTTTTCTTTCAGACATGTCAGGGCTGCAGGAATTTCAGAAGTCTGTGTCCACAATCCAGCGAGATGCTGTCTGGTGGCTCCATGTTGTTGTTCCTAAAATGTTCAGCCCCAGTGGAAAAGATTTCCTTCATTGGTGAGATTCTTGTTTGTTGTACTTGCACAGTACTTAGATATGGCATTAGAAATTATATAAATTACCGGTATAAATAAAAAATAAATTTGAAAGCCAAAAGAGTCATGGTGTTTGTGTATAGTTTAATGCAGCAGCTGGCAAACTAATACTGGCATAGAGGTCTTCTCTGACTATTTGTATCTTTGGCCGTCCATTATCGACTTCACGCGCACTTTAAAGCAGCTTCTTTCCTTTAATTCATTTGTTGCTTAAAACACATTTTCTTCCTGCCATATGTGACCATTTACCAATGTCACTGTTTACATGTACTTGATCATATATGTTTTCAGCATGAATAAGGTACTTTTCCTTGATCCTGTGGAGACTTATGTTGGGAAAGACAACTGGCCACCAGAGAATGATCGAGGGTAAGAAAAAGAAATTTATATGAACTAAGCAGTTGAGAGGAAAAACGACTGGCAGCAGTATATAATGTTATTGCATCTCACTCTTATCACAAGTGCTTTTATGTGTACTTAGATTCACTTGAAGTTAATATTGATCCATACACTCAAACTACATGTAAGGACTACTTTTAGACATGTCAATTATTGTGCTGTATTTGACACTGGTCAGTATTCCTTGTTGCAGTATAGATACACTATGTACAGGGCTGTGCTATGGGAAAACTGAAAGGGAGCCCAGTGATCTGAAGCCGTTCTCTGAAATCCAGGGTGGTCAGGATATGATTTCTATAAAGAAATACAGTTGTACAATTTTCTAGTCGTCCAGTAGAAAAAGTTAGGCGTCAGTGGCTATCAGGCACTGTTAACAGAACAGCCCTAAACTGTGTGTCTGGCAAATCCAGATGTATCTATCATCATTGCTCTGATTCTTGCTGGTACATGTATTCCACATTTTCGTCTAAGTCACTTTCACTTCACTAGTTGACTATGGTGTAAATTTGTGTGGAGGAAATTTACATAGTAATTTAGAAAGTTTGCTCTTCTTCCTTTCAAACTGTTTTTATTACTCAACTCTTCTTCATCCATCAGTTTATTACTGAGTTTAGTCACAGAGGTTCCCCTTCAAGAGGATACCTTAATGAGGACCATCATAATTGGTCTGTCTAACGAGCTGCCCCTAACTGCACCTGAGACCCTTGAAATAGCTGATTCACTGGTGAGAAGAGTAGCAGCTATAAAAGTACCATCAGCGTGGATGCAAGGTTCACAGTCAGGTCAGCTGATCATGGTTGATGTTATCCATTACATGGAATCCCAACCTCTTGGTTCTGATTTTGAAAGTGCAATTACTTTTGTTCTTGAAGTGGATTCTTTTAAAATTTGTCAAATTTATGTGTACATGTACTTGTGAAGCTAGGGAAAGGCAGTTCAAGGTGTTGGTTTAAATGTTCATCATATTATTCTCCACATTATTTATAAGAATTTACTCAGGTAATTTTTAACTCCTTTTAAACATCAGGTCATTACTGTGTGCATTTAATTTTTCAATAGTCCTTAAAATTTTGAGATAAGATGAGGTAAAATAATTTTATTAGTATTTTACAATGTATTAATATTTATTGATATCTATACCACTTATTCCCTGCTTTAGAGACGACAAGGAGACTGGGCCGAGTTAACTTTTGCAAAGGCTTCTGGGATGGTTACTGGGGACATTTCGGTCAGCCATTGGCAAATTTTTCCCCTGTACCCAGTAATCATCCCAGAAGTCTTTGCGAAAGTTAACTCGGCCCAGTTTCCTTCTCATTTGTAAAGTAGCGAATGTCTGGTCATGCCCCGTATCTTTCACAGGGAACCCATTTCTTTCTGTTAGTCGTTTGGAGCTGTTAGATGCTGTCCTCAATCTTTGTGCTTATCACCATCCCAAAGACATTATCCTACCTGCAGGGTATGTAATTAAATAATTGCTAAGAACCTTTTGGTAAATCTTTTTGGTGAATCTAACTGGAGTACTTGGAGGCATATTTGACATAACAGGGAGCTTAAGCAACAACAGGGCGATGCTCAATATACTAAGTCAATATATGTACTGTTGTGTTGTTCTATTGCATGAAGTTTATTGTGTTACGAAACCTGTATTAAGCGGACACCGTATTAAGCGGACACCCTCTATTAAGCGGACAGTAGCCGAAGTCCCCAAATTTATTTCCCTTATTTACTTTAAATGAAACCTTTATTAAGCAGACACCTCCATTAAGCGGACGCGGACGCCTAAAAAGTACCTGAAATGGTCATTTCTATTGTTGCCAACTTGTATTAAATGGACGCTTGTAATTAAATTCCACCACCCAACACGCCAGACACTGGAAATGCGAAAGATTGCCTCCAATTGCCACCCACAAATTTTTCGATTTTTACATTAAAAAACGTGACTTGACGAACTTATTTGATTAGTTCCACAGTACAGGATTGTTTTCTATTTCGTTTTGTTTGTATAGAGCTTGTTTCACTCTTCTGATTTCTTCAAATTTGAGTTGCAATCCATGTTTATGGTACTATGATCAATTGGTTCACTTTGATAAAGAAATTAATGCAAAAGTCTATCGTCATAGTCTCTGGGAGTATTATAAACGCTTCCACTGTTCATTTGAATGGCATTTGACACCTCATATGACGTTATCTATCGAAACCTGTATTAGGCGGACACCCTGTGTTAAGCGGACACCACAGCATTGCCCGAGGTTCGCTTAATACAGGTTTCACTTTGTGTAACAGCTCAGGATCATTATTGTGTTCTTTGTGATGTAACTCGAGACTTACTGTTCACCTGGTATGTGGTGCACTAGCCGAATGACGACTACAACTGCAATGTGAATGGCAAAAAAGCAATAGGTTTAGATAAGCAAAACAACTAATCTACATGTGCAGAACACTTTTTTGTACATTTCTTAGGTATCACTAAGTGATGTTTTCATAGCCTTTGCTGTTGAAATGTCCGTTATTCATAGGGTAGATACAAAACTCAGACTGGATCAGGTCATTTACATATAGGGAAACAATGGGAACTATTGTCTGGTAAGTATGTAAATGAGGTGATCCCGTCCAAGTTTTGTACCTACCTGTTATTCATGCTCACTTGTCTTACATGTTAAGTCACTAAGTTATATGTGATTTAATGTTTATTTGACAGCTATACTGCTCCTAAATTAGCAATTGCTAATTTATACTGGAAAGGCTGGATTTTACTTGCCATTGTTGCATCACTCAACCCATCCACCATAGGTAAGAGTTACTAGGTATTCTCGATGCATATATGATGAGCGTGTCTCAGAAACATGCCTGCATTTTACCAATCCCAGAGTTCTCGGCAGTTGGGGTCGATTATGATCCTTTGCAGTCTTCTGCACCAAATTTGGGCAACATGGTGCGAATTCTCGCAGTTTGATGGGATTGCCTGCAGGAAGCGCTTTTCGCACCTCCCACCTCCCCTTATGGCAGTGACCATATCATCAAGGTTCACTGCATGTCTTTACCAAGTTAGCTGTGGATTGTTCCCATAACTTAGTTTAGCGTGATGTTACAAAGATATGGAGTGACAATAAATTACTAATAAAAGGCAGCTGATGCTTTTAGAACAATGAAAAAATCCTGTGGTTAGTCGTAACTATCAAATGGAGCAGAAAGCAGTTTGGCATCCTACTGATAAACAGTTGCTACAGTTAGCATTTTATTTTGCTGGAGCAACAAGGATTTAGTCTGTCTGTAGAAGGCACAAGTGTAATAACCCTTTGTGGACTGTATAAACAATTCTAAAGGATTTGCTATGGGTAGGCTATGCTATAGCAATTTTCTGTGGCCTATCATAAATTTTGCTCTTGAACGGTAAAGACAAAAATTAATCTTTTTGTTCTTTTCTTTGATGAGCATACTAAATTTTGTGGGTTGAAGCTTTTGGGGTTCATTTTTTTCTGTAAGCACAGCCTTGATTTGTATAGAATGTCACGGTAAAATCCATTTCATAGCTCATTTTGCAACTACGAGCAAAAAATGAATAGGGAAATGATGAGGTAAAATATGACAAAAAATGTTGTGGTTTGGTAATTATTCAGGGTTGATTTTGTTCTTTGGATAATGTGTGGCGTTAAGTTAGAAAATTGCTGAAGTAATGATATCAAACATGAGGTCACATCCAAATACACCAGAAAGTAGAATTAAGAAACTAGGAACAGCTTCTTTAAACCGACTTCAAGATATCTTTATGGGATGAAATTTTTTTTCAAGTGGTTTCCTCTCGAGTGCTTTTCTTCTAAAGTATTCTTTTGACTGTCTTTTGAAGAAATTCAGGGCAAAGTTCTCAAAATTTTATGATGATTGAAGTGGTCTTCAAATCTCTCTCAAATTTTGGGAACCAAATTAATCCACAAAACCGTATCACAGTTACTTGTTTCATTTCCAGGTCACTCTGGATGGGAAAACTTTCCAATGCTTAAGTGTATCATGGAAATGCTGATGACTAAGTAAGTACATTAACTACCACAGCTCTATGAAATTATGTCTTAGATAATAACCTACACCGTATACAGACTTTGCTATTTATCTGTAGGGATCAAAGTTACACTCAGGTGCTATTTGAAGGGTAAGTACTTCATGTCAAGCCAACATATAGTGTCTCTTACGTGTTCCACATTTACCTACTTGAGCTTACTTAGGTGCTTTCCCTACTTAATTTGCGTTCCTAAGGAGACCCTTAGGAGACTATATGTTGGCTTGACATGAAGTACTTACCATTTCTAGTCATCCCAGTAAGGTAGAAGGTAAAGGCGCACATGAGCCAAAGGCCAAAGGTGATCCCAGATATGGATTTAACTGAATATCCCACTGAAGAAACCCGAGAGAAAAAAGGTTAAAGCTTTGGGTGCACGATTTCTGGGCTCGTTTGGGTGGACAAGCGTTAGTTATGATTGGTCGATGGTTTTCAAACCATCGATCAACCAATCATAAGTAACGTTTGACCACCCAAATGATGCCAGGAATTGTTTTGCAATCAATCGATCTACATACAGAAAAATAAATTAAAGGTTGACACTTTGCAAAAAAAATAGAAAACGACAAAAGCTTAAGATTATACACTCACTTATTGAAATAAAATAAATTATTATTAATACACAAAAATAGTTCTTACACCAATATGTTCGCCATTTTATTGTTTCTTTTCATCGACATGGCCGTCATGACGTCAATTGAATAAACTCGATAGATGAAATCTTCATGAATCTTGTGTTCTTTTCGCTTTTAGCAATTTTACATTTCCTCCGCCAACTGTTGCTGTAACAAGCGAGGAGAAAGATGAGATACTTTCTCAAGAACTTCAGGTATACGTCGTTGTAATTTACTCTTGCAACAGTAACTGCAGCACTCTTGTCTTCTGCCAGTAATTTTCTTTTGCTCTTAACATGAAAAAGCAGTGGAGACAGAATTCCTGGAATCTTTTATTTGGTTAAGACGGGGTTTTCTGTCTGTTTGTTTGTTTGTTTTTTTGTTTGCAGCTAGCTCAAGCCGAAAAGGAGGAAATCCTTTTATTTGAGTCACACCTGGCTGCAGCCACTACAAAGGTGACAATTACAGAGAGCAACAGCTTGTTACTGAGTCAGTTGATCAGTATGGACCCAGTGTAAGTCAACAAAAATGGTCACGTTTGTATAGCCTGCAGTGCAGACGCATTTTATGGGCAAGCAAACGATATTTTTTTCCTATTTGAAGTCACCATCTTTTTATCAAAGCCGAGGGAAAAGGGGAGAAAACAGGGTTTTCAGTGTAATTGGCATTACCTGGTCTGGGCATTAAGATAGTAGGGGGCGGTTTTCAAATGGTGGGGATCGAGGTAAATCGAACACAGAGAAAACGAGGGGAGTCTTCCCTCGTTTTCTTTTCCTCGTCAATTTTTCGCCCGCTCTACTATCTGAACGCCTGGAAGAGGCTAAATGGGCATAAAGCTAAGAGAACACTCCCTTTCTTGCGCCCATGTGACTCGCACATACCAATCAGCACGTAATGTAATTTGGTGCCACCCTCCTTCTACTCGCTCACATACATACTCTCTAAGGAAAAACTGGACTGTTGTAGGCGAAATTATGATAAAGGATACTGCAGAAAGGAGGTACACAATTATCCTGGGTAACCCGGTTTCAGCTTCTATGGAGTATTTTCCCAGCCTTCCTAGTTCAATAGAATTACTTTGAGTCCTATAACTTCACAAAAACGATCGATAAGTTGTATGCACTCATGAGGGGAACAATTGTTTTTCCTCCCAAAGTAGCTGTAAAATAGTTGCATATCTAACGAAAAAATGGAATGTTTACTTTGTAAAAAAGTCTTAGTTCACCCAATCTCTTCACTTTCTTTCTCTGTCACTAGTGGCCCTGGGCGACGCCCATCCCAGACTGTAATTGATCAGCTGAAAGCTACAAACAAGAGTCTCAAACTAGGTCAAAGACTTTGCCGCAGTCGATCACCTGATTTCTTGTTAGAGATTATCCAGAGACAGGTAAGAAAATTTTCATGTGATCGCCGGTGGCCAAGTATAATCAGTGTTGTTTTTATTTGGATACCATGCGTAAGAAAATGTTGTGAAACCTTTAACTGCAACTGCTACGTTACACAGGGTAACCAACGTAGCGACCCTCGTACAGTTTACCCAAAGCCTATCATATTTTCAAGATGGCGAAAATTTGGCATCGTTTTTCTTGTTTGCTTTTGTGTTCAGTAATCGTTTCTTTGTGAACGGGAGTTCAGCCTGCAAGTTTTCTGAATGTGTTTAGATCACATTAGTTTCGTTTAGGGAGACTAAAAGTTCTTTAATGTGGATCCATGAGGAGGAAACCCAATGTCGGTTTTATGCAGGCGTCCATATTAAAGCTAAGAGTCTGTATAAACGCTTGGTTTCTTTGGGACCAAATGTACAGGATGTCATAAGGACGTGTAGTGTTGCAAGATTTGGGTCTTCGATTGTTTGGACACTTGTTTATTTTCCTTGGTGGTATTCGAATCACGAAAGTTCTACATTTTGCTTATCCTTTAGTTGGTACTCTAATTTCAGGGTACATCCCAGAGCATGCCGTGGCTGGCAGAGCTTGTTCAATCTTCAGAGGGCTCGTTGGATGTACTACCCGTGCAGTGTTTGTGTGAATTCTTGCTACTGGAGAAAACTGGCGAAAAAGATAAAGAAGAAGGTTTCTCTAAAACACTGTCAGAGAAGAGAATTGTAAGTAGTATAGGACGCATGTTTTACTCCTAGTTTCTGTGTTGGAATCTCACCATAAAGTGAAAGCTCATAACTTACTGTCTTGATTTCCGTAATACAATGAGGGGGAGGTCATGGCGTATTGTCTAGATCTCTTCCACAGAATAAGGAGGAATCTCTTCTATTACAATAAAATTGACGATCTTATAGCCCTTTATCTTGATCACTATCATGAAACGAAGGGGAATATCATGTGATTGAATTTGCTAGCATTTTGGATGTTGCGATCGTGAAAAGCCTAAACACAAAACAGTTAACTATTCCCACACCACAATATAATAGGTAACCAACAATAGCTTTGATTGTCCATGGCTTCAGTTAATTAATTCGTGGCACGATAGCAGTATGTATTAATATGGGCAGGTGCAAACTTGTTCTACTCGCGATTCCACATACTACTGGGAGTTTGTCGAAGTCCGAGAATGGGTTCAAGTTCTTTTGCAGAAAGATAGGTATCTCGAGATGTCACAAAGCGTGAAAAACCAAGTAAACCGTGAAATGACCATTGATTACCAGTTTGAAAACGCCCTAAACAGTCGCAACAAGATGATTCACTGGCAAATATTTCATTTTTGTTTGTAGGGTATTCAGCGCCATGTCCTGGGTCGACTAAGGTCTTTGCTGTTTGGTGATAATGCTGATGCAGAGTCTACAGGCGAGGTGCTGGAATATTTTATGAGGAGATTGTCCAGTGTACAAACCGCCGAAAGAGATTCAGCAGTCAAGGTATAAAGCGATCAAATGTAAAAAAAAACTGTCTTATAGGAAAGTACACTTAGCTTATCCAGCATGTTTACTCCTCTTAAAAAGTTAGTAGCAAAAAATTCAAATAAAAAATACCTGGATTTAAAACCCCAACTGGCAGGCGATAACCAGTTGGTTACCGAGGAATTTGAACTTGTTACGATCGAGAACAAATCCAGCAGCAAATGGTCAGAGTAGAACTCGAACCCGGGACCGCCGGATGCGAGTCCGACGCGCTGACCACTTGACCACTCGGCCACGCTGCCTCCTTATTGACACATTTGCCCTTTTCTTCAAGGGCCTGGAACTAGTGTTATCCCAGGATACAATTCAAGTGGATGATCACGTAACGGTCGTTTGTGAGGAGGATCTGGAGGGGAGTGCTATGGTAACCACAGTGGAAGAACTATTTTCCCCATCATTCCCTGCAGACAGCACAGTAAGCAAGACTTACAAGTGGTTACTGCAGAATTTACAGAGCTTACCACACTTTGAAATTGTGCGAGCAACGTGTTGCTTTTTTCTCAGACAGGTGAGCCTTTTATACGGGCAATTCATTATTGCAACGGTTTTTGGCTGTCCTTAAAAGCAAGGGTCCCCAGTAGGTTTTTCGGGATCCGGGATTACCCTTATTTGACGCTCGGGATTCGGGTTTTCCCTTATTTGACGCTCGGGATTCGGAATTTCCTTATTTGACGCTCGGGATTCGGAATTTCCCTTATTTGACGCTTGGTATTCGCGATTTCCCTTACTTGACGCTCGGGATTCGGAATTTCCCTTATTTGACGCTCGGGATTCGGATTTTCCCTTATTTGACGCTCGGGATTCGGGATTTTCCTCATTTGACGCTTTGGATTCGGGATTTCCCTTATTTGACGCTCGGGATCCGGGAAGTTCCTTATCTGATGCTCGGTATCAAAAAAATGAGGGCGAGATGCGGGTTTGAAATGTGCGCTGGATGCAGGACGCTGGAAACAACCTTCGGGATAAAGGGATTGAACAAAATTTTGGGTCAGGATCGCGGAATCCTCAAAAGCGTCGTAGCTCTTATTGATATAGATGCTTCTCCAAAGTTAACCAATTCTCAAACTTTTAAGAGGCATGTGACACCTTTGGGAGCATAGTAAGAGGTCTCTAAGAGGCGCAATCTCTGAAAAAAGTTACTAAGATCGCATCTTTTTTTGGAGGGGGAGGGTGGTGTGGAAGGAACACGTAACGTAGCCCTAAGAAACTTTACATAGAATACAAAGCACCGGCTTCTCAGATCTCTTATTTGTCTCGTTACGCTCTGTAAAATATATGATTTATTTTTCTTGTCAATTAATTGTTGGCTACCGATATTTTTGTCGTAGTCCTGCCAAGTGGAGATAATTCCCGAGAGGACACAAGCGTATCTTATGTTTCTGGCAGAACACGCTACTGATAACGGTGAAGAGGAGTTTTTGGCAACAGTTATTGTGAGTAGAGTTGATACCTTTTACTTTTTGCTAAGAAGTGCTGAGATTCTTGTCCTGGGTCCCCAACGGACTTAGCGAATTACCGGAAGTGGGTTTCGGATTTCCTTTCATCTTGATTGGCAAATCGACGATGACATTCATGGTGCGTACTCAAATCCTGGTACACAAGTGGAGGCCCAGAACAAGGGTTTCAGTGCTGTTTCACAGACTGACTTACCAGAGTTAATTTAGTTTAGTTTAGTTAGTTGTGAAAGGCAAAGTTTGCAACACGTTGGAGCTGTGTTATTTTGCATTATTCGGTTTACATATATTCCAGGCCCCAGTTGTTCCAAAGCTGGATAGCGGTACCCATCGGATAAATCTCTACCTAGTGGATAAGTATTAGAAGAACCATTTGCACTATCCACTGGATAGAGATTGAACAACTGGGGTCAGGAGATATTTTTTTGGCTGCATGCGCATGCGCGATAGGTTTCGCATATAGTGATTTTATTGGGTAAAGTATTAGTCATTTTGGGAAAGTGGTTACGTTGCTTTCGCGAGGTGGTCGCGCTGAAACTTAGACTGCATAGATTTAAGAGAAAAGTCTTTCCCGTTACAATTTTTCAGGACATCGCCCAGTTGATAATCGAACGTCCCACAATCATGAGCCCAGTTTTGGAAGAGGGTATCGCTGGTCAAGAAACTTATCAAGCTCTGCTAAGATTGTACACTACAGCTTTACAACAAGCCGTTAATATGCAGGAAGCAAACTTCTCCTGGGTAAGCCTTTGAACCCTTTTCGTAGTAATTTTACACTCGATCTTAACCCTTTTTAGTGGTAATGAATATAACATTCTGAAAAAGAAATAGCAAACAGCGGAGAACCTTCGTGATTAAGTCAAACAATGTGAGTGCATGTTGTCTGGAAAAAAGACCTTAAATAATTTCATTGATATCAAAACCAAGGCAAAAGCAAATCATTTTGAAATAAGTTTTATCGTAAAAGTATTACTAAAATACAGTTCTCTGAAGAGAAAAATTCCTGCAATTCTGCGGTAAACTGGTAAGTCGCTTACCATTATGGTTTCGACAACCCCACTGGATTTTTCTGTCAAATGGTAAGCATCCCAGATGAGCCATTTCACTTTTTTCAGTGTTATCAGACCACATCTATTTTGTATATAAAGAAAGAAGTCAGCTTTTACCATGAATACATTTAACTAATTACTATTGATCGATAACTGGAGATTTTCTCTAAGATTTTTTTGCTCTTTGTTTTCCTTTAATAATTCTTCGTTTATACATGTAGCTAAGATTCAATTTAGTAAACGTTAACAAACGTCTCCTTGTAATCATAGGACAGGCCCTAGGGATTAAGGAAATTATCGGCCACGACAAATTCAATCTTCATCTACCTTATTAATTGCAAAAAGTTGTACTATAAAAATACGAAGAAATCGAGGGCCGTGGACTGTCTAGAGTGATATGGTGTGAAATGTTAGTTTTGCTTTTCTATTAATACAACAGCAAGAAATGTCGGATCAGTTATTTATCCAGTGGTCCAAGGACACAGAGTATGCCGGGGATGCGGCCACTTTACATGTGTTGGTTATACATGCCATGATTGTTCTTCTCACTTACGGAGAACCAAAAGGTGAGCCAGTCAGATTTGTTGCCTTGTTCTGTTACTTGCATGTAACTTTGCATCAATAAGTAATCCGAATCAGAAAGAATTGGAAATCCGCTCTTTTAAAGACTCAGGCTAAATTTACACTGTACGGGCCTCATGCAATGTCCTTATACGATAAGGCGGTCGTAACGCATTGCAGATACGGTGTCATGTTTAACAAAACTAACAGTAAGTCGTTGTTGCAGAATAAAAACTTAACTGCATTTTAATGGCATAATTTTGATACATTAAATTCATACCTGGCAACAAGGCATAGGGAAGTAAATCATACGAAAAAAAAAGGATTATTCATGCCTGAACTACGAGGTGATTTCTGTTGTTCTATTCGCCCAAGCCTTGGAGCCAAATAAGAATTCTAATTTATCAAAATTGGTCTTCTTCAGATTGGTATATTTTGTGTGTGCAACCTCGAGTTTCAACTTTTTAGTGAAGCTTTCAAGATTCGTCTTAACAATACATGGCTTACTCATCCCTACTGATTTTTTTCTTTTCCTTTTTTTAAATTCATACAGGAGACACTAGTGTATACATGGCTCTACTAAATGCTTGGTGTCCTGAAAATGGACAAGTCAAGGTTTATCTTACTGACACTGGAGAAGAAGCTGTACTGCTGCAAGAATGGCTCAGACTGCGCATGATCAGGTCCCAGGTCCCTAGGGTAGTCGATGCAGGTAAGCTTTCGGTAAACTGTGCTTATACAGGATACCCACGCGGCTAAACTGGAAAGCCAGTGCACATAAATGTAAGCGCGCTATTAAGGCGCCGTGCCAAAAAACTTTTCGTCCAGTAAGAAAGAAATAGAAAGGGATCGTTTTAAGAGAATGAACTAAATTGGCATTTTGTTTGTCAGGATAGGGCCCTCTAGATGTGAACTCAATTAAACGTTTGAGTTTTGTTTTTCAGCCTTGAAAGAGTTGATGCCATCTCAGCTGGTGTTGTTTGCCCAGTCGTTTGGAATTCCTGTCAACAGTATGAGGTATGAACTTACAGATGCTGTTTGTTTGAAGCCGGGGGTTTGAAATCATTTGGGAAACAGAATGATAGAGTTATAGTGATCATATCTGATCAAGGAAATAGTTCTGCGTTTCAGATTAGCTCAAATCCCCCGTTTAATTCTTCATAACCAAGTAACTGCTAACTTTAGAAGACGTTTGCAATATAAGATAGGTATGCCTATGCACGCAGCTGAAATTTGCAACAAAAATGATAGAAAACTCGTCAACTTAGTGAAAAGCAGTAAAAGTGAAAGATTGGAAGGGCCCTGACTAAAACTGCGATTTTTGCGAAAAATTGCGAAAAATTGGAAAATCCGCAAACATTAGAAAATGTGTTGAATCAGTGAAAAGCACGGGAAGAAGAGGTTGAGTTAAAATGTCTAAACAGTAAAAACTCAGAGCCCAAAGCCATCGAGAAAAACTGCCTCTCTGCAGTCGATTGTTAACATTTTTGTGCTTCTGCTTTTCAGCAAACTTCTCCAGCAGTTGGACAAAGCTGCTCAGGAGGACCCTGTTGGGATAGAGGAAGCCGTGTTAGACAAAGGTTAGTGAGATTGTCGCTTAAATTAATGAAAGAGCGTCATTGGATTGGCTTTGAGGGATAATATTATACCGGCTGTATCTGTTAGAGATTAAGCTCGAGTGTCCTGCCGTTGGGGCCGCGAATTCCCCTGGTATGGGATTTAGTGCGGGTGTCAATAACCAGCGACTCATTTTCATGTTCAGTATCTCCTCTTAAGTTACAGATTGTGTTTGTTTCTTTTTTCCTTAGCCAAAACAGAGAACGACAATTAAATATCCCTAGTCGGCGTTTTACGCACACATGTTTGGTTCCCCTCTTCCCTCAAAGAAAGTAATACACATGAATTCTTTTGTTACTTTTATTTTTGTTATCGAGACCTTTAAGACGAGGACGACTACGAGTCCGAGATTTTCTCAATACTAAGTAGTGCTCGCGCGAGAACCAGCGTCATTTTGGCGGGAAAACGTGATAGCCGTCGCCATTCCACTACGAGTTTTTGCGAGATTGCCGTAGTGGCAGGAAACAAGTTATCAAATGTTAGAAGTTTTATCATTCTGTGACCGGTAGAGGGCTTAACCTCCTTCAATAAAGATAACAGTGCTAAGTTATCTGGTGAATCAATAGTACAATGAAGCTTTCCGGGCTGTCTGTTTTTTGAGAATACGCGAAAAACCTGCAGTCAAATCTCGTACTCGTAGTTGTTCTCGTCCTGACAAGTTTTGGTGAAAATGTCGTTGTGTCGCAAACAAGGTATCAGCGGTTAGAAATTTTATTATTTTGTGATCGAGAAAGGGCTTAACTTCCTTCAATAAAAACGACCGTGCTAACTTTTCTCATGAAAAAAGTACAAAAGGTTGAGTTTGATCGTCCGGGTGAACGTAGTCCTGAATAGGACTGTTGTTGTTGACAGTGACTGACGTTTCGACAACCTGTGCGGTAGTCATCTTCAGAGTCAAAGTGAGTTGCATCACGTCAGTGAGTCACGGACGTGATACAAAAAAGTACAAAAAAGTACAATGGAGTTTTCCGGGGTGTCGATTTTTTTAGAATACGCAAAAAATGAAAATTCGCCCTCGTCTTCGAATCTAAGGGTCTCTCCAAATTCCAATTCGTGCTGGAGCATGGTAGACGAAGAAGCACTTTATGGGTTTTTATCACCACTGAGGCGTTATTTAGTTTAAGTCTTCCTTGAGTGCATTTATTGTCTTGTTTAGGTTACATGGTTCAGCTTGTTGAAGTTCAGCAGCTCCGTGGAGCTGTTGGTGGGGACATGTTCTGCTGTTTACTGACCGAGGAACCACCTTCTAAGAAAGAAAGTAAGTTTTCATTTCTTTGTAATAGTCGTGGTTACGCATTCAGGGGAGAAAATCAATTTCTCGAAGTGTTTTTTTTTCGCAACGCATTTTCTGTGTTGTTTAATATTCTGAGGTAGACGCGGTATTCGACTCGTACAGTGCGTCGCTTATGCTGGAAATTTAATAACTAGTCACTGATTTGTCGTGAAACTAAGAAACCCGAGACAAACATCTCGACGTTTCGGTAGCTTTCAAGGTTGCTTCCGTGGGAAATACTAGCGTAACCGTAGTTATGTCCCACAGTAAATGTTCATTGGGAAGGTGCAGTCACACATGCAGTTTTATCAGATCGTTCACGTAGTGAAAGGCCTTGTCCGCACGAAAAGGCTCATTTTAAACGCAATAAGTTTCTCCCATTGTATAGCCTTTTTGCATGTTGTTAGCTATCCCAGAATTTGGACCAAGACAATTGAGATTGCCGTCAATTAGCCTGTGAACAGCCTCTCCATTTGAGGAAACGGGGCTAAATATCGGACGGTATTGGAAGAGGGGGAGTGGGTGGGGCCTTTCCCCTCTCCCTGGGAAGTGGGCGGGGCCTTTCCCCTCTCACTGGTAAGTGGGTGGGGCCTTTCCCCTCCCTTGGGAAGTAGGTGGGGAATTTTCCCTCTCCTTGGGAAGTGGGTGGGGTTTTTTTTTCCTCTCCCTGGGAAGTGGGCTGGGCCTTTCCCTTCTCCCTATAACTAGCTAGTCTTTATCCCTTTTATCCCTACCCAGGAGTGTGGTCCCAGGCTATCCAGCAAAACGCGAACGACTTTTGATATACGTTTAAAATAGATTGGAGGGAGTAGGGATCTGTAGCAGGCAGAGATCTTCCGGTCTAAGTTGTTGCCGAGACAATACGACACAGCCCACCAGCCCACCTATCACCTAGTTCACCTATCACTAGGAAGGGTCTGTGGCGAGGAGTACATGTGTCTTCAAAGATTTGCCAAACCTCTAACTCAGTTTTGATCAGCAAAGGTGGCGGGCAAATCAAAGATGGTTCTTCCCATGCGATGACGAGAGCGAACAACATTATCTTATTATTTAACGACAATTTAGCCAATTTAGTTATTATTACACCAGAGGTTTTGTCTAATTTGCAATTCGTATTTTCGAGTTTTCCTGCCCATTCTCATAACCAGCGTTGTCTCACAGGTGCAGATTTGGAGTCCCTAGATGGTGGTATAACTCCCTTACCTCTCGCTACTGCTGCTCCGTCTCTACGTCCTAAAGACGCGTCAATGAGGTTTGGCATTTCGTATTTATTTATTTATTTTATTTTGTAGTTTGTTTAATTTTTGTTTGTTTGTTTCTGTGATAAAATATTTTATATCTTTATTGCATTTTTTGCTTGAGGCTCAGTATGACGAAGTGGTGTAATCCACTGAAGCTTTGATGCATTTCATGCGGTACTGATGAGGTAGCATGCCAATACAGCCGCTGGGAATTTTTGGCGGGGAGCGATGAGATGCGTCTGTATTGCAGGCTACGGATCAGGGGAATAGACATTTACGTTTTATCCCTCATGCTTTTTCCTTTACCGTAAACTGCCGCTTATAAACACCCCCCCACAAGTTAGGTCCATCGGATTACAAGCTCCCCTCGCGACAGGTGTCCCCCACCACTGAGCACTGCTATAGCTTGTTTCGAGTACTTTTCTTATTCTGGTTATAAACCCCCTCGGATTTTCGCCCCCGTACATAAGCTCCCCCAACACTCCTTACGAAGATGTATAAGTCTAGGGCTTAAAAGCAGCAGTTTAGTCTACAATATTCTCATTACCTTCATTTTTAATTAAGCTGTGATATTGTATGGAGAAATTACATAGCGGTCACTATTTAGCGCCTAACAGTCAGTCAAGCAAAATCTCTAAAAACATTTGCATGTTGTTTTAGTGTCGATGATACCGAAACCAATCAGCAGATGGCTGCCAAAGTAGTCAAGGTAGGACGAACTTACAGTAACAGTCGTTTAATGTGCGGTGATTTTTTCTTTCTCATTTATTTACGGAGCTGAACATTAACCATTATCTATTTACTGGGACAAAAAAGGCATTCGATGTATTTTTCATGTTAACGACATGTGCGACGCATGTCACATTTGGACTTAGTGAGTACTCGAGTTCCATGAGTTCGCCCGTAGTTCAAAGGTTAGAGTGCCTAAACGGTGTTGTGGCGATTTTTGGGTTCGATTCCTTTTATACTAGCGACGCTATTTTTCCTTCGTCCCTTCCCATGACTCCCCGCGCGCTTCAGCCTAACCGCAGTCTTCTCTCACCCCAAATACACATAAGCAGCGACTGGGTACGAGTCTGTATGCAACTCTAACGTAATAATTTTCCTCCTCGCGGAGGCTTAAGGTTACAAAGATGTTTCTCTGTTTGTCTTGTAGATTTTCTTGTCTCCTGAGGAAGTTACAACTGAAGAACAAAGGATTATTGAAAATGGTGTGCAAAAGGTGAACTCACGTTGAATTGAATCTTAACAACTGGAGCCAGATAAATAAAAAGTCGTCACGACGGTCCGACTTAACCACTAACGTCTGACGTTGAGCCCAGTAAAAGTAAGGTTATCCAAGACAGTCTTGGATCATGGATTCTACGCAGGCGTTGTGGTTTGCGGATTCCAGGAATTGGATTCCGGATTTCTCGTTTGTGGAACTTGGATTCCGGATTCCAAACGTTAGCGGCATTCCGGATTCCTTTAGCAGAAGTCCTGATTCTAAGGCCAGGGATTCCTGATTTTACAAGCAAAAATCTCCCTGGAATCCAGAGTCTAGATTGTCTTACACGGAGCGGCAAACTCTCTATTTTATTGCCAGTTATTATCGGTTACGTCTGACGTAGTATTTATGTGACTGGCCACATTAAAAAAGCATTTTTGTTAATTGTCAAGACAGTTTCGAGATCACGCAGTGAGGATGGCATAATAAACATCATTGTGCAAGTCTGCTTGGTATCTTTCACTTGAATAGTCACACTTGGGTATTTTGTTGAATAACTAGTTCAAATTAAACATTTAAAAATGTAGCACGACGTTTATCTAGTAAGTTAGAGTTTTTTCGTTGGATTTTATTCTAGGCTTTGACCAAGGAAGTCATCAGTGCGAACCGTGGGGAGAATCCACAAGACTCGCTGGCGGAAAACATCATGCACAAGTTTGTCGAGGTTGCTATCAATGAAAGTTTTTATTCACTAAAACTACTAGTTTGATAAATTTATTTTGTTTACAAACGTTACGTAAAACCATAGCATCCGCATGTTTCAGTCATAACAATGTAAGTGGCTAAAGAACCTACCACGTCTTGAAGCAGATTTCTGTCATCTTTGCTAAGCGCGGGAAAGCATGCATTTGATGCCAAACGCGGGAAACAAACATTGGCGGGTTAAAGCTTGCAAGCGATGCAAGGTGAGAAATCTGATTCGCTAATTCGGAGATGAGTGGCGTTTCTCGAGAAACCGTTTCGCGCGGGTGTGGTGTACCGTAAATGGCCTAATAAATGCCCACTTCCTAATAAACGCCCCCTGTCTAATAGACGCCCCCTATGAGAATCAATCCAGAATACTTGGAATTAGCAAAAAGGAGCAAAATCATTCAACTCATTCAGTTTTTTGCTTGATCAACAAGGCTTTGCATATTTCGTTGTGTTTAATGTCAAGTTCAAAGTATGGATAGACTAACTATGACAACTCAATAACCCTGAGCGAGGATTCTGACATCGATGTTGGGATTTGAAAGAGCTATATGGATCTCTAGCTAGACGGGCAAGACGTATCAATTGATGGGGTGGATATTCCGCTACTTTTAAACTTTCTTAATATTTTCGCCGAGTGCATATTGTTTTGTTGAGCTTGTTATAGCTAAGAGCTCTCTCTGTTAAACGCCTCCTATCTATGAAACGCTCTCGCTTGAACCCCCACAATTAAATAGACGCCCTGAGCGATTATTAGGTCATTTACGGTACACTGAAACAGATTTTGACCTCTGCTTATTTAAGTTTTATCGATCAGTCAGTCGAAAAGAGTCACAATTTCAAAAATCATTTCAAAAATCATTTCGTCATCTAACTCACTTTCTCTGCTCTTTGTAGATCCTAGGTTCAGATCATGGCCAGAAGTTTGTTGATGGATTGTCTAATAAGGCTGCTTTCTCCTGTCCTCTCCTTAGACTTTTCAAGTCAAGACAGGTACCACTCAGTCTGTTGCTGTGCTTTAATCCGTTGATTTCTGATAACCTTTTTCAGCTTTTTAAAGGCCTTGAAATTCTTTAGAATACTCTTTTATTTTTTTTCTCTGAAATTTGAAAACTTTACCAGTCAAATATTGAAACGGAAATAAAGGCAGTCAGCAACGACAGTCGACGGTCTCTCACGGTCTGAACTCGAGATTTTTTATTAGTATTTTTGAATTTTTCCACGCCTGCGCAGTATTGAAGAGAAGCATCACCCCAAAGATCAATGGAAAGAGATCCTGGCGTAATTTGTTTTCCTCGGTCTCTCGAGTGCAATTTCCCGAGAAAGCTTGCCGGATATGGACGTTTAAAAGACCTTCAATGTTATTGCATTTGCATTAGTAAGCACCAAGAAAGGCATGCTGTAGTAAAAAACAAACTGGAGGAATCAGTAATAAACGACAGTTAGATGTATACATCTATATATATTGAAATATATTACATTTTGACGTCGTGTCGTGGTTTTGAAGACAAGGAAAGTTCTTGAAGAATTAATGTTACCCGTCAAAAAGAATTAAAACAAGAAAAAATGAATGGTTTTTTTGTCTGTCTTAGGCTTGTTTTACGTACCAAAATTGAAAGCAGTACGCCAGCTAACTTTAAACTTGTTTTGATTGATTTTTAGACAGCACTGGAAAAGAAAGGTGTGGATTGTAGTTTTGTAAAAACCATCAGTAAGCTTGCCAGTTACAGTCTTAAAGGTATGTCAGTTCCGTGTGTAGTGAAGGATGTGTGATTTTCAGTTTCCAAGTATCATACTTTCATTGAGTCCTTAACCTTTCATACCGGTAATCTGTTTATAGGCGGGGCGTTAGGTGTCGCCATTTCACAGTACAAGAAGCAGCTGGGAATCACGGAACAGAAACAACCAGGCAAGAAAACTGTTCCTATTTAATTTGTATTCACATTTTGATAATGGCGTTTTTTTCCACGGTTATACCGTTTTCCACTGGATAAATTTCTGTCCAGTGGATACCGCAGTTGCTTTCCCTTATATTTGTCCGCTAAATAGTGTTCCATCCTATGGATAGTCATAGCGCTATCCAACGTTTAAACAACCGAGACCAGGCGTGAATTCAGTAAAACGTTGAAAAGCATAAGGGTAATAGCACAAGTGTAGTTGTTGTTTTAGAGTTGAGAAACAATAGCTACACTTATAAATTAAAGGTGTAGACGTTTTAATGAATGGATGCCAGTATCTACTTTCGTCTTATAAGATAGGTCCTTGGTCTTCTTAACCCTTAAAAGCCCCAGTATCCACATAAGAATTCTCAAGACTGATCTCCATACATTTCCTTAAGGAACTTATTTGAGAGAATTTGATAAAATATCAAAGCATTTTCCTTAGGTGATCGTTTTATTAATTGTGATAACTTTTTGTTTTCTTTATTACGTATGGATGTTGTCAGGAGAAAGTTGATGTTGTTCCCTCTCGGGAACAGAAGTGTTAACATAACATAAAGGTTGTGAGGGAAAAAAGGAAATGATCGCCAAAGATAAATTATATGATTGTCACAACAAGTGGCATATTCCATCTCGTTCAATTCGTCAATTTTTAACAAATTTTTCTGGAGTTGAATTCTAAAATACTGTATCGAAGTCCATGAAAAGAAAAAGAAAGTCGTTGTCTTGTGTTCACATTTTGCACAAAACGTGAAATTAGGCACTTTCACGTTGTAGTCGTGCAGTGACGGCAAAAAAAAAATGTACAAAAAAGTTTGATGCACGTGCAAAGTTGTTGTTTTGTTTATCTAAACCTGTTACTGTTTTGACGTTCTCGTTGACGTCGCCGTCATCGTTTCCTAAGCTCCCTATTGCTGTTCCAGAAAAATGAAACGGCGGCCATGTTGGCGTCCCAAACAAATCCTGTAGGGGTTCCTTAAACGCTTTCTTTTGTCGTCATGAATTTGCATAGATGCTGGCCGCGTGGGTGAAAATGCTCTATAAACCCTATTAATATTAGTTTACTGTTATACTTGAAGCTTACCAAGATTTTTTCCTCCTTCAGGTGACACAATCCTCGAACAGCTGGCTTCAGACAAAAACACTGATGACATTGCCCTTGTTAAAAAATTTATTTCCGCCTCGAAAGATCGCGCGGTTAAACCAGAATCTGTTACTGTGGATTTGGCAGTCAAAGGTTTGTTAGAAAGTTTCTTTTCCAGAATTGTTTAATTTGCATTAAAATGTTAAACAAATTTGACTGTAGTCTTCAATAAATGGGTATGAGTTTGTAGTGTTCCATCTAAGAGATTTAAATACAGGATGTGGCCTATTTTCGCGGGTCTAAAATTCTCAGTGTACCTTTGGTTCGATTTTTCGTGACGTCATTCGGCTGCCGCCATTAGAGAGTTTTAGATTCGAGGACGAGAACGATAAGGGGTTCTTCAGTACTGCAAATATTCTCCTCCGTCGATTTGTCTTCTTACTGTTCTTGCTATGTTTTTAGTTAATAGTTCGCCTATTTCTTCCTCGTGAAACGAGTGAAATGTTCCGCCATTTTGTACTCACTACAAAACAACTGAACCTCGTCCCCAGTTCTTCTCGGTTAACTGTTCAGTTTTCTGGCAATTATGCTGCACAATTGACGTGAATTTTCACATATCGTAAAATTCTTCCAAATTTGGTCGACAGTGGCAGGATATGATGAATTATGCGTGGGATTTTAGCCAATCAGAAACAGAGAAATCTTTGGAATGAATAATAATTTGTTTTAACTTTCCTTCGTGAATTATTAAGCAGTTTACATTGTTCATTTCAGCTTGTTTGAAAGTGAGAAAAACAAACTCTCCGCTTTTTGAGGATTTCATCCAGGCCATTGTGGAAACACTTATATCTGGGCACAGCAGAACTGACTCGAAGTCTGCGTCTGCAGCATGGACTCCTCAGCAGTCTCTCCCCTTAAAAACATGCTCAGAAATCCTTGTTCAGCTGTTGGAACAGTCCAATGACTCTGATCCATCGCTTGATCACTTGGTCAGTGGTCTGTTAGTAGACTGGTGCGAGATTGTGGATCCGGAAATTGTTCATGTGCATCCTCTTCTGCAGAGAATGCTCTTGTTCCGAGACAGACTGAGCATGCCCAGTTGTGATAGGTCACTGACCAGTCACGAAGAGCGCTCGCCGTCCGCCTATCTGTTGAGCTTGCTAACACACCGAGCACGCTGGGAAACCCTGCAGGACTGTTTGGACTGGCTTTTGGGTCATAACGGTGACGAAAACAGGTAAAATACGGGGCAATAGCTAAAAGGTCTCAAAGACTCGGCTAGAAGGTCAAACATTTTGGTCCAACTTGATGTTTGTCACACCCAACGTAAGTGAGCCAAAGATGATTGATCATTGTAAGCCCACATAACGCTTTAAGCGTGTTACCACTGCTATACTACTACATGAGAAATTTCTGCACTTTGATTGGCTCAGAGCAGTGGTATTTCAGCTTAATTTGAAATACCTACGTGTGAAAATTACAATTCTTTTGTGGGTAGTAGTATAGACAAATGATAGCATGATTTGTACGTGATATTTGGCATAAATACCTCTCGTGATATTTCAAAATTGTCTCAAATTTCACTCGCCCAACGGCTCGTGGTATTTATGCCAAATATCACAATAAATCATGCTATTACGTACACAAATTATGGCGTTCTGATTGGTTGATTTTACCGGCTTGGGCTTACAGTCCAACCTCTCCACAACGGCCACCTTGGAGACAGAAGAAAGTGGGCGTTGTGGAGAGGTGGCCGTTATGGGGAGGTAGGGAGGTAATATGACAATTTTTTAGGGAGTACAACATGTTTATTGTGCTAACTTCATGCTTGCTGTATCATAATAGTAATGCAACCATATATAATAATTATATACAGATACAATGCCCAAAAACTTGACTGTCATCAAAATGGTGGATGAAACAACGAAAGCCAATTATTTAAATGCGATGTGGAGATAGGCAGCTAAACGAAAAAACATGCTCTTCCAACACGATGTGGGACGAAAATGTTTGGTCTTTTATCTGGGGCGTTACAATCAAGCATTTGTCCATTACAGAAAAAGTCCAATGAAAATGTTTCATTTAGAGCAAACATGGGAAACTAGCTAAGAGCAAAGTTGAGGAAGGTAGTAAAACAGCCAAGCATGCTCGGCTTCCGCCACGATGCTGAACAAAGATGAGTGTGTGATCATTTAGCTTTGGTTTGGTTAGGAAAAAAGTTATTTGCTAACTGGATGAGTGACCTTAAAGCAGGTGGTCTGCTGTCGACGTCTAATTATTTAGTGATTGAATGCTTTATTATCCAGAGCCACCGAAACGGAAACAGGGAATAATACTTATTGTGACTAAAGGGGTCGCGCAGAAGAAATAAGTACTCTCGACTCTCGCTGTTAATTTATTTGTTTCTTTTTTTTTTTTTCAAGGCTCAACCCAACCGCCGCTTTAGATTTTGTGTGGACTTGTTTCCACAGTCCCCGGCTCTGGCAAGGAAGGGATCAAAAGTCTACTGCTGTGGGCAGCCAAGGAACAAATTCCGTACGTTCATTCACCTTTTTCTGCACTTGTATTTGTGGCCGAGTGGTTATATGAAAAAGTTGTTTTTTTTACAAGTGCAAATTAAGTCTTGCGTTACTTTATTTAGCTTACAAGTTCATAGATAACTTTAAAACCAAAAGAAATGGGGTTTTTTTTGACAGAATGGTTTCAAATACAGAAAAAATTTACAAACCTTTTGAAGAAATGTACCCGCAGTAGCTAAATCAGTGCTTTTATGTTTATCGGCAAGAAAACGTAACGGCTCTTCGGTCGTTTGCGCCGCGCCAAAATTATAATCGTTGGCAGCAATCAATGTGTTAAAAATCATCATTTTTGGCTCAATTATCTCACTGTTTTAGTATATACTAAAACAATTATTCATTTCATTGTCGATGGCTAGTGATGGATATTTACCCCACTAGCCACCTCCACTTTGGCGATTAATTGTTATATATTATTCTACAACCCTTAGAACCATTTGAACTTGTGTGAAATACTTTTTTTTTTTCTTTTTCTCTCTCTTGAAGGCTGTGTTTGAAGAACCTGTTTTAGATTTAAATCCAGCTCAGATCTCTTCTCTGACCAGTTTAATTTTATCCGAGCTTTCTAATAGTGTCGAGGAGTGGTGTTTGAAAAAAGGTACGTCGAGTTGATTGCTTCACTTTTGAAATGGGTAAGAGTCTAAGACCAAGAAGAGGTATCTTAACTTTCTTTTTTCTTTTAAGGTACCACTTACACAGACTTTCTTGAACAAACAATAGATGGCAAAACTCCATACGTGTCAGAGGAAATAAGGTACGGATCGAAAAGTTAGGGAAAAGGTGTGAAAGTAGAGAAATGAAATTTAAACTTGAAAAATAAGAAACGGTTTCATAGGAATGGCAATCGCTTAGCGCAAATCGGTTTTCGCGGATTGTACACCCCTTAACCGCTTCCATCTCAGTAGTTTTGCACTTTTTCATCAAAAAAATTTTTTGTGTTTTTCTCTGCAGAACCTTTTTAGCCTCGGTGAACATTTAGAAATGTAGTATTCCACTGAACTAGTTCGGAGAAACGGTAGTCTCTCTCCTTCTCTTTGGAGATCTCATTAATCCATCGCAATGTTTATTGGTCGACCGTGAAAACCCTGTTGCGAGGTAGTGGTACTGTTGATAACAAGATTTACGCCACGGTTAGATTGCTTTAACAATTATTGTGGGCGACAAGAGGAGCACGCAATCCTAATATCCAGGTCGTTATTACGCATGCGTCGCATGAATGTAGCCGGCATTCATTTGGACTTCCACTAAGAATTAATGAATGCATAAAACGCAAGTTGATCACGCGCGTTTCGACCTTCTACCCCTCGTAATCTGATCACGCGTGTTTTGACCATCTGTCACGTGAAACCTACACAAAGCGTAGCGTTGGAGCAAATGCGTTTGGACATCCGATCGTTGTCGCCCGCACTCCCTAACCTTTGGTTATTTATAGTTTATTCCTTCATCTCTTTATTTTAGAGAGAATGTAGAGCAGTTTGCTTCGAAAGTTATCGCAACTCGACTTCAGTTAATCTCGTTGTGTTGCCATGGTGACAAGAGGAAGATTCAATCCGTTGTCCGTTGTACATTGAACAGTAAAAGGTATTTGTGCTAGAATTTTTTTCTCTGACCTACAGATTATACATCCCAATGTAAAAATGTGATAATTTTTTTCTGTTGAATCTGAATAAGGATTAAACGATATTTGCCCTTGTGCTTTTCTCCTAGGAAGATTTAATCATTATTGTTTCGTCTACGCATCACGCAACGCCACTACTCTAGTAGAAGCGTTGCGTGACGTCCCCAAATGATGGCTACGTAGCGTACTACCTGCGTGCAGACGTGTCTAATTTATTTGTGTTTTGTTGTGTTATGAAACAGAGATAAGGAACGTCTGCACTCAGACTAAAGAGTATGGGATCTTAAGAGCTTCTTTTTCTGTCGCTAGGTGGTCGAAATGGCTAACAGCCCAGTTTCTTGTTCAACTTTATCTCGCACAACCGAGGGTGATGAGGAGTATTAAAGATTTTCGTTCCCTAACAACGTCCGGAGCAATCACTCAATCCAGTGTTTGTCAGGTAAGAAATCATGACTTTCTTACATAACTTTTTGTACTTTTTATTTTCTCCTCTTCATATAAAATACAATTACTTATAACGCCAAAAATAACGGGGAATCTCACGATATAAATTTTGAAACTAATTATTCCAGGATAAAGTAGAAAGTACAAAGAGAGGAAACGAGAAAACTTTGCTAACAATCTGACAAAGTGGTGCTAAAATCTTTTAAGATTTGTCGTTGCAGACTGACCTCGTAAGCGGACATAATGGTACCTTCTTTTATTATTATTTTTTTACCAAAGAGTAACAAAAAATAAATAACCATAACTGATAAAACTATAACTACAACTGATAAAGGATCTAAGGTTTGTCGTTTACACAATTGTTCAGAATCCTTACAGTGTTCTCATGATTCTCCAAACTGGTTCGAATATCGTAGGTACTATTAATCTTCCCTTGGTTGATAGTCCTGTAGCCTAACTTAACTGTCGTTTGACTTCTTGATTAGTTGGATGTCCTGTGTCACCGTGTATTGACAACTCTTGCTGATTCTAAGCCGGGTAAAGAATATGAAGATAGAGCCTATAACACAAGTCTGTTGCTACGGAAACTGGCCTGTCAACATCCCATGCTGCTTCTTAGGTATGTACAGGGATTTTGTTACAAATAGTTATGGTGAGTCCTGGGACTCATCTTGTGAAAAATCATGAATCTCAGTCCTGAACCAATGAGTCCCAGTTAAAAACAAAACGAGTCTGAAATGGAAAATGCTTGGGCATTTATGCAAGATAGTTAATCTGAAGACAGACTCCAAAATTCTGTACTACAGTATACTGAAGTTAAAATATAGTCCTTCATTTTAAAGCACAACAAAGGCTAAAAGAAATATCCATGGTTAAACAACAGCCATAATAACTTCCACAGAAATTACACGAACGGGCCGGATATTTCCACAAATACACATGTTCAGATCGATCGAATGAATTATTTCGCTTCTTTAGGGATTTTTATGCGTCAGGGACGCAGGACGCAGAAGTATCCGAAAATCACTGTAATGTAGGCTGATGGCCCGGGGATGGGTACTCGAGGGACGTTTTGGTAGAAGTGTGCCGCCGAGGCCTTTGAACCCTGATTCTGTTTACAGGGTTCGTACAGACTCTTCAGAAATCTTGAAAAAGTCTTGAAATTTGCTCAGCTATATTCTAGACCTGGAAGAAGTCTGGAATGAAACTGGAGATAAAGTCTGGAAAAATGACTGATATAAAGTGCTTTGTAAGCGAAATTATTGTCGTTTTGGGCAAATCTTACCCATTCTCGCTGGTAATCTTTGCACCTTTGGGTCTAAGAAAGATCCTGACAAAATTCAGGCTTGATGTGTGATTTGAACCCTATCCTTTTTGATAAGCGGACGCGGAGTGAGTTAAATGATTCGGGTAGTATGGCCAAAGTCGTTACGTTAAAATGACTCCATTTTGCTCTCTCTATGATCAGGCCCTCTGGATCATTGGGCATTGTCTACCTCCGTAAAATCTTTTTTCGCTTTATATTCTAATTCGCTACCCCGCTCAAACGAATATAAAACATTTATCTTGTAATAAGCAACCACAATTAGGGTGTGTCAACACGACCCTTGTGCAAACCTCTTTATTATGCCTTCATCAACAAAAAGGATGGGAATGATACAACAAACAGAATGAAAACTCGGAAAGGTATAAATACAGCAAGAAAACTACTCTACAAAACGATCTAAACTATGCTCGTACAACAATGAGACGGTAAACGTGCTAAGCCTTTCATATAGCAGCATGCAAAAACTACGTCTAAGAGACACTGATAACCCCTAGCCACTGGGTATTTAATTATGAGGTCGTAGTCACGTTCGTAAGAATGAATATAAATGGAAACGACTCAAATATATATAGCCTACCGTCAACGAAGCAATTGTAACAGCATACCATGTAACACCCCAAAGAAAGGGTCACATAACCCATGGTAAATACATTTCTTTTTGTTGCTCTGGTTATTTTTCAACAGCTCCTTCTCAAATCATTCGATGCATAAGTTTGCCTAAGTCACCATGATTTCAAAACTGCCCGCCACCTTGTACCTTGTTGTCAGTTGATCGTTTGTACCGGTCTAAATGCTTTTTACTTTATAATAGTTATATTATTGTTGTAGGCACCTCCCGATGATAGCTGCACAACTGAGAGGTCGAGTTCATCTCAAATCTAAAGAATTTACAAACCAGCAGCATCTGCTCGTGTTCTCTCACATCTTGGGAATGTTGGATCTTCTCAGGCCCCATATCTTCAGACATGATAAGGTTTGTCTTAATCCCCAGGCGAAAGCCGTTAAGGACTAAGAGAAATTACATGCGAAGGAGTTCATGTAATATGTTGTCGTGTATCCAGATTACCATCACTGCAGTGGTTTTTGCTTTATTGTTGTTGTTGTCATTTATTTATTTATTTATTTTTTGTTTGTTTGTTGTTTTTATCTCAATAAATTGCTAATGAGTTTGAGAGGCGAAGCCAGACTTTCAATGAAGGTCTACGTCCCTTCAACAGTCATTTTTATAGTGAAGTTCCCTATCACCAAACCGTAAACCCTTAATAAATAACCTTACAAATGCCCACTCGCCACTGAACGTCCCATATCGTATTAACACCTCCACCATGAGTCCTAGTTGGCTCATCGCTACTCTCTAGACCAATCAAAATTAAAACCAAACCTGAACGTGACTTGCTGTGACCTGTTTTCCCGCGCTTGGCACCAACTTCAAGTATTTGCTTCGAGTTCTGATTGGTTCATTTAATTGCTTTCGTGTGTTGTTATTGGTCAGTTGGTTTTCTTTCTGTTACACTCAACGGCTATTTGAATATTGTTTTAACAGCTAATCCAAGAAGGCTTACGGGACATTTTAGATGCTTACTTTGGTCTTATCCAGGTAAGACAGTAAAAACGGACGCTATTTACAACCCTGCACCAAACGGTACCACAAGGAATTATGTACTGTTGGGTAATCAGCATTAATCACCTCGCAATGGAATCGCCTTGTAGAGCTCAATCAACAGCGTACCACAGGCTGATTCAGCCTTATAATTTATTGAAAGTGCTGAGAAAGTGTCCCACGGGTCACACTTCAGCTGGGCCCGCTTCCTGAAAGGCCGATTAGCGCTAATCCACGGTTAAAATTTTGTTCCATTCTTGTATTTTACCTCCCCTCAGTATGTATTGGTTAGAGTAACATTTTGTGCTATCATTACTGTATCTCGCAGTGAAGGCTCAACAGTATTTTGTAAGCTTGAGTAGCATGTTCTTAGAGAAGAAAACTTTACATAATTTGGCTTAATCCTGGGTTAAAGTTAACCACCTTTCGAGGAACCTGGCCCTGGGTTCCAATCACAAAATCAAGGGTTAAAACCACCGTGCACTGCAAATACAAACAGTACCAAAGTTAGTACTTCTCAGTAGCTTTCATACTTACGGTCGCACTGTAGGATACCATCCAGTCGTATTGTACTGGCCCGGGTTTTTCAAAGTTGGGTTAAGATAACGCAGGGTTAGTGTGAAATATGATTTCAGATACGAAAGCTTCAAAAAAAGCTACAATTTGATGATGGATGCTCTAAAAAAAGATAGAGAAAATTATCTCAGAAAATCCTTTTGAGCAAAAGAAAAAGAATCCCAGGTCAAAATTTAACCGCGGGTTAGCACCAGTCGACCACAAAGGATCTCTGTTCAAACGCTTCTTTAACGCTGGGAGAAATATTGTGTGGCGATAAGTTGTGTTCTGTTACGTAACGCTCAGTTTGACTTTCGTTTCCTTCTTTCGTTTCTTTCCTTTTTTTTGTGGCCCTCTTCCAGGCCGGATGTCTTCATAACAAAGAAGTAGCTGCTGTTGTGACAAAATTAATGGCGTTTCTCCATCATTTCTGCGCCGAGAGTCCGGATCATGCTTTTTCAATCCTTCACAAGCGAGCTCCGTTATTTCAGTAAGTAGCACATTTAATTCATGGCCTGTGAGTAGACTAAAAGAGGTGTGTTTAACCGATCTGTTTCTTGTAGACTGATCTCTGTGCTACAAGATCTGATCTCCACCTTCATATCATTACGCTCTAAAACATAAAAAGCTCTCGTAAGTTAACAAGAAATTCGCCTCTTTCAAATGTGTGGGAGAACCATTGCCCGCTTCGGGTAGCAATAAGAGCTTCGATTGGTCAATGGTTGCGTCGGAAACCATCACATTATCATGATAAAAAGTGACCGTTAACGCATTCCTTTGAACAAAGGTACAGACCTCCAGGCTTGGGTGAACAAAATACAGTGATTTGTATTGTCCACCCAAGCTGCGCCTCAACCTCGTTTCACTGCGAGTGTTTACTGGAGCAGAATACAGGAAATACAGGTCTAATGGTTACCTAAACGAATCTAGAAGTTCAAGAGTGAAATTAATACTGGACTTCTACGCAGTATTACACTCTAAGTCTATTTTTTTGTTTGTTTGTTTTCTTTCAATCCGTTTGGCAGCAATTGTGAGAAACCGTTTCACGGGTTTTAAGTAAAACCACTCTTTTGCTGAAAACTGATGCTTAGCGTCTCAAAAATAATCATACGTCTTTGGTGAAGAGGTTAACATCAAAAATCGTTTACACAAGGGTACCTGAGGCTTCTGTTGCAAGTTGTTCATATCGCCACTTTTCTTCTAAATTTGACAATTGCACCTGTGATTCTCAGGGACCTGTTACAAGATTTCCCTGCCCTCCCCTCCCTCCAGTGTGTTGTTAGCGCGATGTCACTTACCTGGACTCCGCACTACGAGGATCAATTGACACCAGTTACCACTCAGGAGGCCTCAGATGAGGGCGCCTCCACGAGCATCCAACCCAAGATCCGGTCCATTATCACACCGCCCGAGAATGTCACGTGGTCAACTGCGCAGCTCGCTCCTTTTGTACAACGGCTTGCCCCTGGCCAACCAGTTGAAGGTAGAGTGTTTTAAATTGTGTTTACAATAAAGATAATAATTAACAATAATAATAATATATGTTCTTAAGCGAGGGTAAACTCCTTAGCTAAAGTGCTGTTATCAACTGAAAGAGTTTTGACCTCTTCTTGTTTTTAATCACAGACGTGTCGAAGGTTCTTGTTGATTTAGACGAAACCTCTAAACGAAGAGTGGACATTTTAGAACATTTTGTGGTGAGTATTTTTCCTTGTCTCGTACCGCTTGGCATATTCTGTTCCCAAGATGGATATAAAGAAATGATTTAGCCTTCTTGCTCTAAATTGTGACCATTCTTCCAAAAACAGATACGGATGAATCCTGATTTTTTTCGTTAAATATTCATCCAAAATATTTCTCCGTTTCTGATCCATATCAGCCAGTTATTATTATTTATGAAAAAAAAAAACGAGTCAGCATTTGCCACATTTGGAAACCTACGGTTTTGCATGTCCGTTATATCACACCCCGCCTACTCCAACAACTGTGTTTATCATTACGGTTTTTACGTGAAAATTCCTCCAAATTACATTTTATTCTTTCGTTGTTGTTGTATTTCTTCACAGTGTACGATTAAATATTTTGGTCTGAAGTACTAGTTGTTTTTTGTAGCCCCATTTGATTCGACTTCTCTCAGATGCTACGAGCAGCCATAGGACCCAGGCCCACACACTTCTCCTGCGACATATTCGACAGAGTCCTGGGTAAGCTAATGTATTTCTCTACTAATGTATTGCGGGCGACAAGAGGAGCCCGCAATCCTAAACTCCAGGTTGTTATTACGCATGCGTCGCATGTATATAGCCAGCATTCATTTGGACTTCAACTTAGAATGAATGGAACGCAGAGAACGCAATTTGATCACGCGCGTTTGGACCTTCTATCACCCGTTATCTGACCACGCGTGTTTTGACTATCTGTCACGTGAAACCTATGCAAAGTACAGCGATGCAGCAAAAGCGTTTTGACATTCGATCGTTGTCGCCCACACTCCGTAACCTTTGGTTATTACTAGTTAGTATAACGTGTTTTTGTGTTCTAGGAATATTTCATAAAAGTATGTATTATTTTTTTATGTTTTCATGTTTTTAGGTATTGCGTTTTACTATTTTTAATAATGTAGTAAAGAAAAGCCAATTTTTCAACTAATTGAGCTTTTTCGGTGCTTCTTTTCACTGTCACAGAACTGCTCACAAGTTTGTGGACGCGTACATGGATTGTCTGAACAGCTCAGAGCCTGAGGTAGTTTTGACTGCTGCAAAATTCCTACCCGAATTTGTTGTTCTGGACAATGGTAAGTAGACCCTTAATTATAATCTGATATTTTCCAGCTTGTGAACTGACGGCTGGCCACCCCAGCTATTCCAGAAATCATTTCGCTTAAAGCTTGGTACCATTCTCCCTGTAGTTTGTGGAGTAAAAAATAGGCCATATCCGAGTTGCAAAAACCTTCAATTTCAAAATGAGGACAAGTGCACAACCTTTCTTGTGAAAATGAATGGTATTTCCATGAGAATGAAAAATCATTTCTATATAAAAGGCTGAGCACTTAACCTCGTTTTGATGCAGAGGCCCGGAAGAACTCGGAAATGGCCTAGCGTTTGCAATTCGTCAGGTTCACACCGGCAAGGAGACTATCAGTTGGATAATTCATGAATTATATTTACAGTGAAATTAACTCTCTTTATAATTATGGATAAACATTGGCATCATCAGGGTCTTCTTCGCTTGCTTTAGTTTGGGACTGCTAACTTATTGTTCGCCATTCATTAGTTTCACACCTCATGAGGTCCATTACCCGGGGGGTACTCCCTATAATGGCCTAAACAGGGAGGTTTCACCCGTAAGGGGTACTTTTTTGAGGCCTTCAGAGGTATATGAAAAGAGGGATTTAACTATCTGAAGTGTATGAAAGGGTAGGAGAACCTGTCATTGTGATCTCTAACAGGGCTAACAGACCCATTTTATGGCGACAAGAAAACTCCCTTGTTAAGTGATTTATTCATATATACGTCATACTGGCATGAGGACTGCACCACTTTTTTCCTTGGAGACGCCCCCTCCCTTCTGATATTAGGGAGCTTAAGCAGCGACGTTTTTGAGCGACGCACGTCAACCGGAAGTGAGGTATTTTCCCTCTTAACATGCCTTGATGATATAAAATTGGTACTCCTTAGCTTCTTTACTGTTATAGAGGCGATTTGACTGAAAATTTGCGCGAAACCACCGTCAAAAAATGAAAAAAGGCCACTTCCGGTTGACGGGCGTCGCTCAAAAACGTTGTTGCTTAAGCTCCCTATTAAAAAAGAGACGGTGCGTTTACAGCATTTAAAAGGGATGCAAAGATCTAAACTAGTTACGTGAAAGGGCACCATTTATCATAAGAAGGTATACGAAAAGGGTACCTTTGCTATCAAAAATGGTATATACAAGGGTAAGGGGTTGGACTGCGGGGCGGAACCTCCCGGTTTAAAACTTTGTTGTGCATACCCCCTTCCTCGGGAGGGAACTTTTACCACTAGCTGATAGGCAAAGGCATTTTTGAGCGACGCGCGTCAACCGGAAGTGAGGCTTTTTCCCTTTTAACCCTTAAAACCCTGATATCAAAATCCAAATTCTCATTTGTTGTCCCTGTATGTTTTCAACAGAAGCAGTGGGCAGAATTTGTTGAAGTATCAATTAGATTCATCTTGTGTGATCAGGCCCTCAATTCTCATGACCACTGTGTTTATAAAGCAGTGATATTAAAGGAGAAATTTGACGCTGATCACTCTTAGGGCTTAAAGGGTTAATATGCCCTTACGTTACCAAATTTGTGTCGCTAAGTGTCTTTACTCTTGTAGATGCGATTTGCTCGAAAATGTGGACAAAACCTCGGCCCAGAAAGTCCAGTTGCGGTTGACGTCCATCGGTCAAAAACGTCCTTTGCTTAAGCTCCCTAATAAAGGGCTGTTTACAGGATGATTTCGTCCATTTTATTCGAAGTGTTTTTTTTTTTTAGACTGTTCACAGTCCCCTGTTTTTCAGTAAAATCGTCGAGATCGGGCTCTTACCAGTACGGGCGGCCAACTTGGTTTCATATGTTCCGACTCTAGCCTGGCGAGGAGTTTCAAATCTCCTTATGGGGCGGGGGACGGTTTGGGAGGAGGTTAGCCTGCTACACAGCCGACTCTAAAAACGGCTGTGTAGCAGACTAGGAGAAGGCAAGAATAAATATCAACCCCGACGTCCGCCCCCCTCGGTACAGATGAAACCAAGATGGCCGCCCGTACATGTAAGCGCTCGATCCTGACGATCTTACAAAAAAAATAGGGGACTGTGAATAGTCCATGGTATTTTAAGCACCGTTTTTATCGATAAGTGTACGTGCCTCGCTTGTAAAGACAAACGGTACACTAAAGTTCAACTATGCATCATCGAATTACCGAGAACTTGGCTGCGGTAGATTGCGCTGAAATCGTCGTCTGTTAACACGCGCGATTTTGGGTTGCAACCCAGTGCGTAGGTCAACTTTCACGTCGCGTAACAATCGCCGGTGTGAACGGCTCTCTCATGTTCTACTGAGTTTTCGTTTTTGTTTCTAGAACACTCCGACTCGTTACTCCAAAAGATGTTTTCTCTGGCAGTGTACGAGGCCCAGGATGTCGGCATCCCCTTGTTGCAAAGTATTCAGCTTCTTAACTTGCACTGAAAAGACTTCTAATAAATTGATGTACAATAACCGCGATTATTTTCGTTTCTTTTTGTTTGTTTCATTGTCTAAATTTTCCGAAAGCAAACGACTTTTTAAATCATTTAAAAGTACTGGAACCTGTGTCAAATGAGAGTGAAAGTAACTTTGACCACTGCGTTGGATTTCACTCCTTTGTGATCAGCCGAGATATCTGTCTTAATAGTTCCTCTCCAGTAGCTTCCTCAGTTTCTCAGGCTTTTCTCTTGCTATGGTACAGTGAAAGATGTAGTTTTTCCTCTTTCCTTTGTGCATTGCATTTCATTCGTTTCTATGATCAGAAGGCTGTCTCAACAACATGCAGTTGTCCAATCAAAAATTTTCAAAGAGAAAATTGAATGAGCTATTATCGCAAATTTAAAGATTTTATTGGTAAAATGCAAACAAACAAACTACCAGTTTGGCAGTCAAGTGCGTTACCAAAAAATGGTCTGATGATCATTCTATCATTTTTCGAGTTTGAATGTGCAGCCGGTCGACTTCAATCTCATTTTCTTTTACCAAAACGCTAGTGAGAAGGTTTGCAGTTGCGTTTATTCGATTGATCGCCAAGGAAGGAGTTGATGACAAAACATCTTAAGAGAGGCTGTACATCCTAGGACGTACAATGCACTGGTTATGACAGTTCAACATAAATTTCTCATAGACCCATAACTATTATCGAGCGAGAGGCGCTGATAAATTGCGCGTATCCAAGAATTTTGTTAGTGCAAGCTGAACGCGACTTAACTCTCTTTTATCTCAAACCAAGGCAGCAAGAAAGTTTACGTTAAAAGAATCAGTTGGAATGTTCGTGACGGTTAACGAGTTCTCAATAATGTTTACAGTTCTCTTTTAGTCAGGTGTACAGGTAACAAATTTCAAAACTCGGGTACTTTTAATATTTATTTTAAGGGGATGTTCAATGCATTCGTGTGACATCAGGTGACATTAAATGTGCACATTGATAAGAATCTTCGTCAGACATTCTATATCAAAAGCGGAAATCAGTATTTAAGTAAATTATACCTCAGATATAACAGATTCAAAGCTTTTCCGTCGTCTGAGACTCGTCTGTAAGAAAACGGTTCTCGCACGCCGTCAAAATGCTTTGAACCTTTGAATTCAAGAACAACTTGTGTTTTCAGTTTCTAGTGTGGCAGTTGACATTTGTAATTATTCCTCCTACTGAAAACTTTGTCTCTTGGTCATCGCAAAGGTCAAGACTTGACTGAATCCAGGGGCGTTTGCTATGGTGATTGAATTTCTGGATTTTAGATCGATTGCTGGTACAGCTCATCTTAGGGAGAAGTTTCCAGAAAAATGGAAACATTTCCAGAGGGTTTCCTTTCTGTAAATGCAACTAAAGTGACGGAATATCCCAAACTAGGTCAGTAGCTCTTCAGACATGTTCTGTGATTGAAGAACAAAACAATAGATGATTCAACACAAACAATAACCCTAACCCTTAAAACAAAAGAAGCCAATACTTAAAGAGGCCAATGAAAATAGATGTCTGGAAGAACTACTGTATTACTCAAACTAGCTCTAAACCACTGTTTATACTGTCCTTTATAGTTCGCCCTTTGTGACTGGTCAGTTGAGTCGGCCGTCTTCTCCTTCGCGCTGATTCGAAGAGGGGTGGGTCAACGCCTTACTAGCCTTGTTTGCTCGGTTACGAAACCGCGGGTTTTAATCAAGATTACATCTTTTCAGCCCATCACCGTTCTGTATTCTCAGTAACAAGCCTATGAATCCGAGGGAAAGTAATTCGGTCAGTAACGCCCAGTGGCCGGAGACTGCTTCAAATTCGCCTAGTAAGAGGTATTTCTCGCCACACGCATCTTGTAACCCGTTTTCGTCCAGTTTTCGCACAACGATGTATTTGAATGAAGACGAAGCCGTTAAGTCCGCGAGGGACTCGGTCTAGTCATTCTAGAACTATTCCATTCCATCCGGTTGTTTTGTGAAAATAGTAAACGCTCCCGGGGAGGCTTTCATTACTGCACGGAATCACTTCTTTTTCTAAAAAAGAAATCTTCTTGTTGATTATGTAACCACAAGGATCACATTCATTTCATCCGCTTCGCTCGCAGTTTATAAGTCATAGTATGACTTGTGTCCACATTCCCATATTTTCATCGCCCTCAAAAATCCTTGCCTGTTTTTTAAAAAGAAAAATATTTCGTGAAGTTAGCATGGCGATGAAAAGAGTCGGCGAAAAGAACATCGATACCACGCAGGTGCAAAGGCAATAGTCATAAGCAAACCAAGCGGGCGATACGTCCGGTCTTTATAATCCATAGTTTTTAGGGGTTTGCCCACTGACAAAACACCATTAACACAGGAATCCAGTGAAATCTTAACATTTATAAATCATAGTTTAAATATAACATCCACACGGGTTTACAATCCTCCATTCTGCACAACGGTTGAAGTTTTCGTGACCGCATCGCTATGGCTTGGTGTTCCAAAAACTCGCTGTCTCGCTTCGCGCCACATGGTTTTACACAAGTCCTGTTGCATTTCGTTAAAAACGTGTTTCTCTACTTCAGGAGCGAGTTTTTTGTAAACCTTTCCTTTTCGCTGCAAGGTTGGCGACTCTTCATTGCATAATCCTTCAGCGACTTGTAATAACATGCTGCTTTGTCGGGCTGCCTCGGTTTTACAGGCCTCTGAAATTCTGACAAAAACATTTTCATTACTGTCTGGCTCTTCCAATTCAAACGAAAAGCTCCTTCCCATTTTTTCCAGTGCTTTTCTGCGAAGCTCTGTTCTTTCTGACTCGCTAAGTAACCTTGTTTCCTCTAGAAAAACCTGCTCGCTGCTTGTCGTTTCATTACGATCCATGCTGTTTGCATGCTCTCGTAACATTTACGTTTTTGCTGCTGTATACACTCCGGAACTTTCAAAACAGAAAACACTAATCTGCATAGTAAGCCGGACTCTTGAACGTCTGTTTTGCCTCTGATTTCCATAACATAATTACATTCTTTTGTTCAATTGATCTTCGTGATATCTATTGAAATATTCTCAGTTCCTTTGAGGGCACCTTCAACCTAGCTTTTCCTCGAGTACGCGATACCGCAAGGCGATCCGGTAATCATAAAATCCAGTTTTGCAGCGGAATTAAAATGTTTTTACCCAAGCAAACACGAATGTTATAAGTATTGTTGATTGCACGATAACGTAATAGTTTTGAACTCTTGTCCCTAGGGTACGCTGAGGACAAAGACGTTGTAATTTCAGAAACAATGTACATTTAGTAATTTAGCTGCAAAGTACTTGGCCTATTTTGTGACAAGTACAAGCTCGCATTCTTTGTTTTCGGCAAGCTTTGATGTTTGAGTGTTAAGAGTGTGTTTTTTGAGTGCGAAATGACAAACTATGCTTTGTGATCGACAGAGCCCTTGTTAATTCGATCTTTACAGTAAGTAGCACTCTATCAACGATAGTCATTTAGGACCTATTGAAAATAGCGATAAACATCCAGTATATTGAAACACCTGCAAATGGTATTTAAATACGGATATCGAGCCCGGCAATTTCTTGGTTTTACTCTGGTAATAGCAGCATTTCACGTTGTTGAATTGAACCGGCAATTTAATGCTTAAAAAAAAACAGTTCAATGATAAATTCAACTAAAATGTTTGGTTACATTGAGCGTCTAGAAAACTAAAAAAACAACGACAGTTATTATTATTATTATTATTATTATTATTATTGTTGTTGTTATTTAACACAAATAACAGCACATTCTGTAATGTTGCGTAACCTCCAGTCAACGATTTTATTTCTCTCAGTGACCTTGAGCTATATTCAAATGTTATCTTCGAGCAAATCTTTATTTGCCTAGCGATACAGCAAACTCAAGAGTTTTATTTCCCTTTTTGATCGATCTACTAGCCTTTTGGTGACACACCAATGCAGTCGATGACAGCTTGTTTAAAAAACGTTTGAAACGGCCAAAGTTGGATCAAGAAAGGTGAGGCCGTCCAAATATAGTAAAGCTGCAAAAGAGTACAATCGATTTTAATCATCGATCAAAGACCAGTTTAAAAAAAACACACACACAGGTGTAAAAAATGTCCCAATTTTATCTTGTTTTGATAGAAGTAAGCTACATTCTGTGCAAACTCTTTGGCGAAATAAGAATTATTTTCAAGTTCCATGTCTACATTTCACTGAGCACTTCTCAGTGTAGGGTTTCCTTGCGCGTATTTAAAAACTCTAAGAAAAAAACATTGCCTAATTTGTACATAAGAAACAACGGGTGGTTAGTATTTTTCTTTTGGCCCAGCGGCAGTGAAAGCAGCACATGCCCAAATCGAAATTTTCCTCTGACAGTGCAGTAGGCTAAGGGCTTTATAAAATACCTTATAAGGATGTGAATAAAATAAGGCTATTTCGCTGTTTGGCCTATCTTTATAAATCACACAACTGGCCTTGATAGTTGGTAATCATATAGGTCAGGTATTTTTTAACGTAAGAATGCTTTATTATGTGACAAACAACCTATTTTTATCCCCCACATAGTGAGTTTAAATGACTGTGATTCTTAGCATGTTTTTTTTTTTTTTAATGCTTGAAGGCTTTCAGGGCCCTCAGACAGGTAAACAGCTAACGTGAACAGTTTTTAATAAAGAAAATAAGAGGATTCCGAGAAATGGTCGATCTTGAAGTATAGTGTGACATGTTTTTCTACTTTTTGTTTTTTGTTCGCTTATATTTGGGAATAAATTATGCCGAAATTTAAACAGGTCACTTTCGAGTTAACAAAATTCATACTTGGCACCAAGGCTGAGGAGAATAAAAAAACGGAGAAGAATTCTTTATCCCTGAATTTTAATACGATTTCTGATGTTTTATACCCCTCAGCCTCGCATCCATGAATGAATTTTAAGAATTCGAAATTTGTTACACCATAGTATTTTTTCCACAGTCTCGAAAGGTACAAAAATACGACATGGTTCTACAAGGCAATGAAAAGGTCACAATGGTGCGATTAAAACTTGAAGAAGCTCGAAAAACAACGTGGTTCTTGTGGAAATATTTCTTTGAAGATCTTGCTTTATGGTGGCTGAAATAGAAGAACCAAAAGAAGAAAAAAAATCTTGTGTAGGTTTAAAGAAAATCCACTCCCATCCAACCCAATAGAATAGGAATGAACTTCGAGAAGTTATTGATAATTTCCGGCGATGGTCTTTGGTAAATTGTCTACAGTAACATTTTCTAATACAGGCTTCAGACAATTTGAAAATAGCTAATACACTTAAAACAGTACTGTCAAAGCTTATAAAGGTTTTAAAATTGTCTCCGGCTCCCTTGACGGTACAGTTAGGCCGAATGCTGCAGCAGTCGACGACAGTGAACAAATCCCTTTCGATTGTGAAGTATTTCCGCGGCACCTCTTTATTGAGCAGGTAACGAGATTAACGAGATCATACTTTTCTTTAATCGCCTTAAAATTTTGTAATCGGCACATTTACAGTATCTACAACTTCCTGTTTTTGTTAATTGTTTTGAAAATGTTTCCGACATACCTATCAGCAAATCTGCCTGCCAGACAAGTGGCATCAAAACAGAAAGACTTCAATTGCCCATTACTGTGCAGTGGCGTCGCTCCTCACTCCCCGTTCTCTCTCTGGTATGGCCACATCTAGCCTCCTCCGCAAGCAACGGACAAAGAGATAGACCACGGGCCTTGGCTCTCTTCTTCTCTCGGAAGAGAGATGAACGTGGCCACGAGTTTGTTACATCACGCTAAAGATTTGATAAAGCGTTTCTGAAAAAAAAGAGGAGACTAACATGCACACACGCTGACGGTGCTGAAAACTTACTCTCAAAATACGTGAAGTGTTTCTGAGCTCAGTCATTGATATCTAATTCTCTTCACTCGAAATGAAACTCCTGGCGCCCGCCATTTTTGCTGCGTGGCATAATTCCATGACGACAATTTGTTGAGTTCTTCTTAACCCGTGAATGGAATGAAATGTAAGATGAAGATGATGTAAACTACGGAAATACAATCAACAAATTGGCCTGCTCGCAATGAATGGGTCTTCATAGCTCAATAGGTAGAGCACTGCAGCGCTAACGCAGATGCCAAGGGTCCAAATCCTGTTAAAGTCCCGAAAAGTTTTTGGGTAAATTTGCAAATGCTTGCATTGCAAGTGCAACTGAGACGATCATATCTTCATTTAGATTTGTATTTCCGCAGTTCACCTCATCTTCATTCCTTACAGAAATGGCCACCACTTTAAAATATTCAGTATCCGAGTGGCTCGGTTAACTATGCTAATTTTGTATTGATCGATGTTCGAATGTAGGGAACAAACCAATCCCGTTAAATTGTTCTTTTCTTTTAAGATCGATCTAAATACTAGGCTTGCTCTGCAATTCTATTTCCCCGCAAAAAGCTTATCAAGGTCAGATAAACCTCCCAGATGCTGGTTATGATAGTGCACTCTTCAAGTGCAAGAGCCCATTCGTTGATAACTCACTGTTAATTATGCATTTAACGCATAGAAAGCTTTTTTTTTTTTTTTTATTTTATTTTTTTTTTTTTTCATCAAAATCGGTTTAGCGTAGCGTAAGAGTCTCACACGCGAGACTCGCGCAAGCCTCACACGCCCTTAGGGGTGACATCACAGCTTGCATCAAAATTTAGCTAATAGGAATTGCCCGTGCCTGGGAGAAGCGGGTAATTGGAATGAATAGAGCGTTTTCAGTCACGTGTCCAGCATCTATGCAAATTTATTGGAACAAAAGAAAACGTTTGCATAAGAAAAGAGTTCAACTCCCACAGGATTGTCTAGGTACACCAACATGGCCGCCGTTTCATTGTTTTGGAACACCAATATGGCCGCCGTGACGTCATGTGAAAACGCTCTATATAACGTATGCAAAACGGACAGTCCGTAGTTTTTACCCTCTCTCTCCACAGTCTCCCTCTCCGTTTTCAGCCTCGCTCCAGACCTTTTGTTTGACTGCGTACTATAATTACGCAAAAATGTGGACTGTTTTCAGTCTATTTAACACAAGATTTAAAGCAAAAAGAAACTGTGCTGTAATTGTCTATAGGTCAGCATTAGCTTGGCTTCCTACTATATCCCCACTCCCGTCGCCCTTTCCGCTCCTTCGGAACTTCTACAACTCGGGCTTGAAATGAAAAAAATGGCTGGCTAAGCCCCTGAAAACAATTCTAAAGTGTACCGAAAGTCCAAATGTTGGACGAAAGGAGGCGCGGACGAGTAAAAATAAAACTAGGAAACAACGAAAGACAAAAAAAGGAAAAAGATAACCAGTTGGGAGAAATGACTCGATACTGGGTGTTAAATATAAAAGTTCCGTTTTATTACATCTCCATAAATGACCAAAATACACTCTAAACAGAATTTTTCTTAAACATTTTCTTACATAATTACACTTCCATTTTTATTTAAGTTTTTTCAGAACTTGAGTGTGTAATAGCACTAAGAAAGCGTATGTAGTATAAAAACTAAAGGGAGTTCAATTGAAAAAGGAAAACACTTTCCTTAGATCTATAAATGCAAGTACTAAGTATATATACAATGCTATAAAACGTGATTTGCTTTCTTTAATCTTTTAAAAAACTAATTTCAATCATAAAATCTTAACTGATAATGCTTCTATTGTCAACTTTCCCTCTCGATGGCACGCAAAATTGGTGTTAAATCAAGGATGGCTTCGAGCAAATTTCGAGGTACGCTGATTTCTTTTATAGCGTATCCTAGAGTCGTCAGGGAGACCAATTCTTCCCCTCTGTTCTCACGCAATTTGATATTTTCACAGATTCTTTCTAATGCACCTGTAACCTGGGTAATTGTAGAGAGAGGAGAAACGTTTTTCTCAAAATATAACATCTTTTTGCTTCCGTAAAGTTTTTCTAAGGTGAAACCTCCATTGCTGCAACATGCTCTTTGGCTTTAAGCCGCAGCGAAAGAAGACTTGAATCGTTTCGAATTTCCAAATTCTCAGCTTCGTTTTTAACCTCCTCTGGGCCTGACGTTGCTGAGTCGGTGGACTTTGGTGAGCACGAACCGTTAGGACTGGGCGCTAGTGGTGTGATTGCGCTTGGAAGCGAGGCAAAGTGAAGTGCTGCTACTTGCTGTCGTGCGCATGTCCAGAAGTCGGTGTTGTAATACTCGTACGGGAATAGACTGTAAGGTTCGAATCCGCCGCAGTAACGCGCCAGATGACTAGGGTATCCCAAGCCGAAGATTGTTGGAACATCGTGACGGCGCTTTCGCTGTTGCTTACGCCATTTCGCTCTTCTGTTCTGGAACCAGATCTGTTTTTAAACAAAACAAAGATTCAGTGATTGTCCGGGGAAACACAACGTGTGGGATTGTCTGTCTGTGGGGGTTGGTCAAATAATTAAAATCGAGGTTTAAATAAAAAGCTTGAATGTCTTGACAAAGTCTATAAAAGAGCAGATTTCAAAACCTATGCGGGGTTTCAAGTTGGTAGACTTCTCGTCAAATGCATATGTAAAATTCCGTGTCAGGTCTGAGTGTGTCCTGAGACTTACAGCACTTACTCATACCCCGTATTAGGTAACTGAATTTACTACCCCGAAAGATATCAATAAATTCATATTGCTTCTGGGTGTCCTTAGAGCCAATTTGGGTCACATCATTTTCTAACAGCTTTTCAGCAAGACACTTAATCACCCCGCGTCACTTAAAGGCAAAGTTAAAGATACCGCATTTAAGACCAACAAAAATGTCTCCTGACCTGAACTTGGGCTTCTGATAAGCCTGTGCTTTTCGAAAGGTCAGATCTGGCAGCCACATCAGGGTAGTGATTAAGAAGAAATACTCTTTCCATCTGGTAAATCTGGGACTTATCAAAGGTTGCTCGGTATCTCTTTTCACTGTCTTCTGCCCCTGCATTCAGGTTCCTCTTGATCCTCTTTGATTGTCTTTCGGCCTTCTCTGATTTCTTTACATTTTTGTTGCTGGGTCCTTGCTTATCTGTTGATATGAAAGAGACTTGAATCATGAACATTTATAGCAAAAAATCTTTTTCACTTTATCTCTTGTTTGCCTCATTAGGTTATGTGGAATTGAATCGAATTGAAATTCACTCTTCAAAAGTTAAACCCAGAAGGGTTTGATTTACAATGGACTCGTTTCTTCTTTAGTTTATCCATGTCTTTTAGACTATGCCCAAAGTATACTTAACTTGGTTGTCGAATAAGGGCGTGTTCGTTTGACCGTATTCCGTAATAACAATAAATGGACGGAATAAACTCTAGAAATCATTTATTTTGGCGTTCATTGCATCGCAATATCTAGAAATCTCGTTGAAATAAAATATTCCGCTGTATGTAGCGTTTAAGTGGTCCAAAAATTACGACACAAGAGATTTGCAACAAAACTTTTGTAGCGTCTTCTTATTCCGAAATACGATCAATACAACGCACTCCAATTATTTCCAATAATCATAAGTTTAGCAACAGCGTAACACATATTTGCCTACATTTGTAATGAAGAGTACGCTTGACTGCATACCTAGTTACTGATCACAATTTTCCCAGCAGATGAGGAGACAACAAAGGCTTCATGTTTTTGGTCTGGTCTTTCTTTAATTTTTTGGCCTCTTAATTTTTATTTTATTGAAGGCTGTTGATTATAATTCCCGGGAGAGTGCTTCGCGTTAATTAGTCCCGCCCTACTAATGAGCTAATATTTGGGAACAAAGTGTGTTGTTGTCTTGTCCTACGTTTAAATTTGTGCCCCAAAATATTTCACCTCCTGAAAATCTCTTTTATTTACAAGCTAAGTGGATCAAAGGTTTCAAAATTATTTCTTCGGCCAGTTTATCTTTCGAGTAATGCGATGAGCTAAAGCCAAGACGGTACGACTTTTAGTCCTTGCACGGGTTTTTTCATTCTATCAAATATTATGAATCTTATACTACTTTTTTTTTCTTTTTTGCTTCTCTGGGTGCTTGTAATCACAAGATAAGAATGGTTTTATCAGATATTCTTCCGTTTCGATCCTTTGTTATACATCATGTCAAGGGAGTTTTAGCCAATCGAGACCTTTCAATGTGATATTGTCTTGTACTACTCTGAATAGGTGGGTAAAATTCATATTTAAATATAAACTTTCAAACGAAAGCAATTCAGAGATCTTCTATGGCACGATCGATCATGCAGTCGGAGATCTGATAATCACTTTTCAGAGTGTGGAAGAGCTGTTTTATGAAGCAGTGGTTTTTAGTGGCTCCGTTAGCGTTCTAAGGAGTTTTAGCAAGTGTCCATAATAACTTGCACTAAGGGGGAACAAGTTACCTTTGGTTTAACCTTTAACAAATATATATTTTTAGTTGTTATATCGGCATAGGAACTTTGTCATTTGTCCATAAGTCCGTTAGAATCCATGTTGCCAAAGACTTCAAAATTAAGGCATCGATGTGTTTTATTACTTGTCTTGGTAAGATTTCGAACACTGCGATAAGTGATTTCACATTTTGTCATTCTTTTTGAAGCCTGTTCAAACGGTAGAAATCGTGAAATTCTAGACTTGCCTTTAAGGTGGCCCGAACCTATTTATATGCGTGTTAGTTATGTTTTTGATTTGCGTTTTTCAGAATGAAAGATTCAACCGATTTCTTGTAGGTATAAAAACCTTTGAGACATCAGAAAATGTTTTATGGAGTAAAATGTTAAACGTTTGGGTAAAGTAACGAACAAAAAGTCGTTCTCTCTCACCTGTATTTTCCGAAAGGTTTAACTGATGTCTATTGTCAGAGTTTTCTGGTTGTTCGGCTTGTGCTCGATCGAAGCCAAGAAGATTTGAGATTGAAAATCCTGCTTTAGCTTGCTCGGAATCCATTGCCTGATTGTTTCTTTTTTTCGCACGCTTGGGAAGAATCTTTGACTCTGAAATAGCAAAACGTGTTTGAAAAGGATTGCTAGTCTGTGTGAAAAGCTAACGAGTGAGCCACATTTATTGGCTTGCTCCGGCTCCAATATCACCTTTTGTGCAAGAGTCCTTCAACAGCATTAAATCAATTAACAGGGATTTGAATGAAAAGGCATTGTTACAGATGTGGCATAATTGTTGGCTTTTCACTTTGTTCAATAGCGTGGTCGTGCCTAACGAGAAAAGCCGTTCATTTTTGTAGTGTTCCTAACTTGATATAGGCGGAGCCGGGAATCAAATCGTTGCAATCAACCAATTAAGTCGAAAAAACGTCACACAGGACTGGCTGCAAATGGCAGTAATTAACAATTCTTTAAGTTCTTTTGATTAGAGCATTAGCACATGGCTGTTGGTCAAGGTGCCAATAAACTCAATAGCCAGTTCATTTACTACAGCCAACACAGTGAGGCTAGTTCCGGTTCAAAACCAAGCTACATTTCTCGCGCTTGCACAGAATTGCCTCATATCCTTAGCAGGAAGTTTGTGTTTCTAATTTGATTTTAACGAGGTGTTCATTGGAAAAACCCAGCTAATGCCAAAAACGTGAGCTGAATTATAAATTTATAATCGTTACTTGGGTAACAATTTTTCAGTTTTTTTTTCTGCAAACGTTGCATAATAGTTCTTGCAGCTTTTTCAAGCATCTATAATGCCCTTACAAACGAAGCAGTTTTTAAACGGCTTGTCTACAAGTATATGTGCTGCAACTTTGGTATGAGTATATTTTTGTAGAAAATTGTATTTTCTCTTTCTTCACCAAGGTAAAAATTCCTTCTATAGTTTGGATCATCCAGAAAAATCGACATTTTATCAACCGGTTGATTCCTGTTTATGCTAAGGAATGTATGGGGAAAAAATTCACAAAAATTGGCGTGGTTACCGTTTGATACAGTTTTAATCAAATTATCAAGTTTACTAACTCAATATTGAACCTTGCTTAAATTTTTTTCTTGGTGAGTGACGTGATAATCTTCAACGGGTTATGGAATAAAGTGAGGACAGCATTGCCTTCATGGGGGTTTTACTGAGCTACTTTTAAAATTTTCTCGTTTATCTATCAAACAGCGCAGAGGCGACTGAGAAAACTTGTTGCATTGAAGTAAAGAATATTTGGATTTTTATTGTGATTTTTCCAGCCATTTCCGCGCAAAGCAACCGAGTTTTGGCCAGGATTGGATATTCCACGGGAACTGAGAAATTTTAAAGTTACAGTGTGCTTTATTCATGAGCATTTTCCATGGTATTGGCACAATAAAAACAAGGTTTTCAATTTCATCTTTGCACTCTTCAATTGGAAACATATATTACGATAGGCAATACCACAAGAAATAACTCCTCAGCGAAAAGATAAATACATCAATCCATTCTCCAAGGCAGAAACAAAACAAAACATGATGGAAGGAGACACTTTTTAACCATTCTTTTTTTGACATGGTACCTATGACTTTTTAAAAGATTCAGTCCATTTTACCCATCCAATCTAAATTTAAATCTCTGGACAATATGATGTTAAGTCAAAGATGAACTTTTAACCATTCTTTTTTTTGACCACCACTGGGAGAGAAAGGGTACAGTGGCATAAAATTTGAGGACATGGTAACACAAATAAGGAGAACTTTTATAGACACTTCAAAAAAAAAATAGCCTTTACTACAAAAGTCGGACCATCTGTCTTTAAAATTTAACTGAGGGTCGGACCAGAAAAAAGTAACGGGTTTCTCGACGTACAATCCAGTGCTGCTATAAACTTCAGAGCCAGCCATTTGGCACTTCGGAAGAGATATTGCCAGTTTGACTGGGAATGGCCCTAGGTTTATTACGTGGTGATATCACTCACAAATGAACAAGAATGATCTCGTTTATACTCAGCTTCAGCTATAAGAAGTCATTTTCATGAAACACTGGAAAAAATTAAGACGAAGAAGAGAGTGGATCTAACATTTCTCGCTTATCTACAGTCACCAGTTTTTACAAGGCGTGATTTTAGCCTAACGAGCAACCTATAGTCAAACAAAAGCAATAATAGAAAAAGTTATTATCAGTGGTAAGGTTTTCTAATTGCTCTCTTATTTGTATTGTGAACTGCAAACTAAAGTAATTACACTTGACCTTTCTAACAACAAACGCTGCGTCTAATAGCGTACCGTAACGAAATGGCCACAGGTCGAAGCAAACATGGAAGGCCGGTCCAAAGCGCGTGAAACAAGTTGAAGGGAGCTGCTACAAGAGCTTTATTTTTTATCATTATTTTTGTACTTGGTGGGACAGTAACAGTAGAAGAAGTTAGGGGAAATATTAATGCGTAATGCAAGTACAATAGTAACTATTATTCACGTGCTAATTTGGATGATGAATTTGATATTTAAACACTACTATATGCTTGTGGTAACTGTGATAATGAGAAGGGAAGCTCTGACGTCACAGCGTCTACGATGAAGCAACAGTCACAAGTGTGAATCAGCGGAAATGCTCCCCGATTACAAAGTTAATAATTCAGATCGTTAGCAAAAGTGTAATAGTATAATCTATAATCCAACTGTTACCTACTATAATATTTTAGATATTCACATTTTAATATCTTTATTTTCAGACTTACAATTTGGCATTTAAAGTTGGTGTCAAAATTTTCCTTGAAATTTAATTTTCTATTCTATAGATATGAAATGACTTTTTAAAGAGTTTCTATTAACTATTGACCAAACTTTGTTTAAAAGCTAGGAATTGGTCTTCAATTTTGTTTTAGAAAAAGAAATGTGTGTTAACTTCAAGGATTGAATTATCTACTTTAATCTGTTTATTAACAGCCAGTTATGATTTTTCGAGATAGGAGTAGCTGAGCAATAATCTACTACTTCCTGCTTTAAAAACTTCATTGTAAATTCTTCCAGAGAGCCCCATATTCAGTTCAGTTCAGTTCGTTTTCATTTAGCCAAAATATAATACAATACAGGAGTACATATAGGAATGGTAAGGTTGCAAGGGAGCCCAGAAGAAACCAGAAGGCTTATGAAGTCAAGGCTCCTCAGTCACAAAGAAGTAAGTAAAAAGAAATCCGCAGAGTGATACGTTAAAAATAGGAACTACACAGAGACGGAGTTAACTCATGAATTCAGTAACAAGATAGAAAAAAGTTTTTAACTCTGGATTGCAACTAATATAAGGAGGGGGAATCGTGAATGTAAACTGTGGTTGTTTAGTGTATGTTGTGTTGCCAAGCACTTATTATGAACTAAAGAGGATGGGGAATAGTCACTTTGGTCACTAAAACGGACTTTGAAGGAATGTAGATCAAGCTTGTTGGGCTTTTTCGGTTGGTGATCAGATTTAGTTGTCCTTCGCGCTTTGCTTTGCTCACAAATGACATAACTGTGACTTTTCATTGACCGATGGTTGAACATTTTAGGCATTCTTATTTTAGTCTGTTGTGGTTAGCCATGGCTGTCCACGGCACAGTACAGAAAACGTGAAAGGTTGTCCTAACTTTCTGTCGAAACCCCGTCAAAAAGTGCGAACGTTTACCGGCTTGGATCGAGGATATTCTGAATTTTGAGAACGAGATGGTTAAAATAACATTTTAGCTTTGAAATACTTTTCTTAGCTATACTCAAATTTCTTTCCGACGTTTAACCGATGTGAAGGCCAAAAGTATTAGGGAAAAAACCCTCAACTAGTACAATTATCTTTTTAATTTTCGGGAGCGTTTTGCCTCCCCACTGAGATCTTTACTTTCAAATTCTTGGTGGGGATGTGCCGCCCGTTTCTCCAGATTTTGACCCTATTTCAAACCAAAAAATGTAATTTTCCACACCCGTTTTCAGACCTGGTCTTTAGGCAAAAATTATGTTATCATTACTTAGATTAGGGTGTAAAACAAAACAAAAATGCAAATCCATTTCTAATTCGCATATTTCTCTTTCTTTCTTACTCATTTGGAATTGGAACGATCAATACCTTCATGCTCTACCGTAGTTCCCTCGAGAACCATACACGATTCCAGACCAAAATGGGCAAAGTTTATACCCGTTTTCAGACCAAAACGGCGCAAAAACCCTACCCGTTGGGGCGGCACATACCTGTATGGCTTGTATAAGAGAGTAGCCCCCCCCGGGGGGTCTTAAGATGTGATTTCAGGGGGAAAGAAGTCATGCAAAGATCTTGTCAAAAACATAGACGTTTACCATCAGTCGTTGGTAATCTAACCTTCAGTAAACATTTTGTTTAGTTTGAGAAAGTTAATATTTTAGCCGGATTCTAAAATCGTAGTGCCGTGATCAGTATTGGCATGCCGAACGCACGTGTCTCAGATCATACCTTGAAAACGGCCGTCTAGCAGGCTTAGCAGCTGTGTTAGTCTACCCTGCATAGCAGGCAATTCGGCGCGAGTTTGTCTAGAAAGTTGAGCCGATCTTCCATTCTTTTCCTCTCGTTCCAACTTTCAAGCAATAACTGAACTGGAAACGGTTTCTACCCTGGCCAAGATTAGTCTCGTTCTAATACAGGTGTGCAAACTGCAATGTTGTAGGTTATAAGTATGAAAAGCGTTCCAAAATTCACTGGAGAAATTGAGGCAGGGTTATCGCAACACACTGACACCATACCATACCTAACTGCTCTCTTGTCTTCCTGTCGCTAATGACTTAGACTCCATTTCACTGGCATTGTTTCTGATTGTTAAGATTTTGCGAGCAGTTAGCAAGTTCCATTGTGTTCCGGAAAGTATTTATCAACTTTTGGCTTAACCAATATATCATTACAGTGATAAACAAAAGACCGGGAAAGTTTGGGGCGTGATAATGTGTTTTGTTTTAGATTTTATTTTACCGTTCTTAGTTGAGGCCTAACTGTATTCCACTGATCACGGAAAAAGTACAGAAATGACATTCTCTTATTTACAAATCCGAATGACAAGACATCAAAGCGATATTGAATGCAAATTTTTAAAACTAGCTCAGCGAACCGGAATCCGGCGAGTAATCAAGTGCTTAAAAGGCTTATTAAATATGCTGATGAAGCTTGTGTTCCTCGGTTAGCATTAGGTAACATCGGCTGAAGTCAGATTGTTTCTTCAACTTAAGTCCAACTTTACTGTGTAATATAAAAGTGAAATAGAAAAACTCCACTGTGATACTTTGAACCCGGGTCACTTGCTTTATAGCCTACGTCCATATCCACTACACCATCGAGGACTAGCTGCCAATTCCAGTAATTTTTAAAATATACATGTTCTTATATATGCCATACCCCATTACAATATTTGAAAGCTAACCGTTTTCAGCTCAGTGCTTAACCCTAATCACTGCAGACCAGTGCTTAACTCTATACTGTGTTCTCTCCATAACTGGAGCTCTGTAGTTTTGGTTTCTTCAGCTATTCTAGCCTCATTCTACATTCCAGTCTCGTTCCATTATGGAAAAAATACGTTGTGTAAAATTCATAAGGTGTCCAATCTGGCTTCACTCGATGTTATCTAACGCTAACCGTGTTCCTCCTTACTTTTACGCTGCGCGCGTGGGATCTTGGGAACATTGCACTGCAGAGGTTTGCGTCCTTCCCGTGGCACCTTGCCCTCTCTGCCCAGTGACCTCTGGGGACAGGACATGTAATTTCTTCGCGCGCTTTTACAGGGAATAAAGGCGCGCGTGTTTGAGAACCGCTGTAAACAAAGACAACACAATCAGTTTGCTATGACAAGTAAACAGGTGGTTTTTTTCCTCATTTCTATCGACGTGGTGATATGTTGCGCAGCATATCCATGATAGCGCGTCGAATGTGTCTCATCTTCCAGGAGTAAATCAGAGGATTCAGAGAGGAATTGAGGAACACTAGAGTGTGGGTATATTTTATCAACTGCCATGTTACGTTATTGTAATCAGAATTTTCCAAAATTATTCGTATACACGAGCTTGGTAGATGACAAGCCAAAAACACAAGGTAAGCATAAAATGGACCAATTGCACCTTTCCTTAACTTCGCAGTATTCGTCATATTTTCAACCCTAGTCTGTGTAGGCTGTACTTGCAGAATTTTATTTTGTTTGCTGTGATACAGTACGGCCAAATAAATCTTGATATAAAACAGGGCCGCGGCTAAGTAACAAACACTTTCAACGACTATTCCAGTGATGGAAACGACAATATACCGAGTGTGTTGGAAAACAGCCGTTGTCATGGAAAGAATGGCACTGAACACCCAAACCGAGATCACCACGGCAACAAGGCGCTTGTGAGTAACAAGTTCTTGATATCTCAGATGAAGATGAACAGCCAAGAATCTGTCTGCCGCTAGAGCCGCAGCACCAAAGAAAGAGGCATAACCGAAAAAAGTTATAGTGACGATGGAAACCTTGGATGTGATCTCGATAATTTGAGTTTCAGTATTTCCTTGCTGAAATACCATGGCAAGAAATAGAATGTACAAAGGTTGAACCAGTAAGCCAACACCAAGATCAGAAACAGCCAGACTCAGAAGCAATGTCCTCAAAGGCTTCGGCAAAGTCTTAGAAGATTTCCTTAACGCGAGTAAGGTTACAGAGTTCAGCGCGGTGGCTGTGTAACTTAAAAAGGCGTTCAAGACGCAGTTAACAATGATGGCCGAACGCAAGTCATCAGCTTTCAGTGTCATCATTAAAAGAAGCAAGAGCCCTGGAACCTGAGACTGAAGTTTGGCTAGCCAAAGAATAAAACAATAAAAGATTAACAACTAGGCTGTTAGCTTTTCATTAGAGAGCTAGACTGCAAATCCAGATTAGGTTTTAGACCATGATGTTCTACTGTCCAAGTTTGGCAACTTAATTGCTCTTGAATTTTTTGAATATATCGAGTTGATGTATGATCTTTCTCTTCCTTCTTGCACCGTGTTGCTCTTAAATTCCGATCCCTGAATTCATTTCGTTTGGAAGCACAAACCAGATCAGATAAAATTGATCTCTCGCTTTTATCCAGTCAGATAACAGGTGTTTCAGCACGATTTAGATTATGGAAATTCACATTGTCAATACCTGTTTTAAACAATTATCTGTCAGGAAACTATATCCGGCATAGAAACTCTTCCAATGATACGAAGTCTTTTAAAAGATTGCAACTTGTAATTGCCTTGGCGAGAAAAGGCTATTTTCTAAATCACGGAAGGAGCAAGGCAAATGTTCATTTTTACTTCGTCATCCTTCCATTCTAAATTAAAAATATCAATCTTAATGAGTTTTCATTTTTGAGACATAGAAGTAGTTGTTTAACTTACCTTTAATTTAAAGGGAAAAAAGCAGTTTGAGGTGTGTTCGTTTTGCAATACTGAGAGCGTGTTTGATTCTCAAAGACTTTGCGTGGGCACCAGAGAAAGCAGCGGTCACCTATATATTTTGAGTCTTTCCTACCTGAACATGAATATCATAGTACTTGTATAAGAACAAGACGCTGTAAATACATTCACTTGGGCAAAAGAGAGGAAAAACTAAAAATAAACGAATAAGAATATCATGGTTCAGGTTGTCACAGCAAATAAAGAAAACAAAACTAAAGCAAAGAAAGCAAGAGATAACACCAATTACGAGAATTCCAACTGATTGTACAGTTCCCTCAAGAGAAAAACCCAGTGCGATTCTCACTTCTCGGTGATGAATGAATATGAATTATTGTACTCAGGGGCGGATAGAGGATTTGTGATAGGGGGAGGGGGAGGGCTAGAGATATAGCATAAAGTGGCAATATGGGCGCGATAGCGCCCATCAGGACTGCGAACGGCGCACTTTTCGAGGGAGTTTCGGTCGCATGCTCCTCCGGGAAAATTTTTGAGACTGAAGTTATCTGAGATGCAACCTAGTGCGTTCTAGACGCTTAAATTTAGCAAATGCCTGGCTTCGATAATGAAGATGTAATGCTGAAATATTTAATAAACCACGGGTGTGGTTTTGGTCAAAGAAGTAATATAACACTTTATGCTGCTAGCAGGGGCAGAAGCGATTGCGGGGAGAGCACAACCTCCCGGCAAAGGCGGCAGCACTGTCTCCCTGAAAAATTGTCAAATCCATTTTGTTGAGACGGATAGTACTGCATGCATTCTGGGAGCTTTGGGCATTTGCGACTAAAAATGGCTTCAAACACAGCTTCTTTTCTTATTAACAATGCACGGTAAAGAAAATATATTTAAGTAACAAAGGTCGAAGTACCATCCGACACACGTTTACAAAAGAAAAAAACTTCCCTGACAAAAGGGGGGGCCGTGGCCTCCTGGGCCCACCCCTAAATCTGCCCTTGGTACGTAAGTAACTGTTTGTCTTGAAGTTTGATACACATCTTTTAAAGTATAGAGTTCATAGAAGTGTATTAAAACGTGTGTACACTTCCCCACGACGAGTATAGCATTACTTTCGTTTTGGGATACAATCGTGCGCTTTTTATTAATTTCGTTCAAAAGCTCTTATTGGATTGCGGAAAAATATTAATTGTCGCCGTCTCCCAAGGGACAGTCTAAACTGCGATCAGGGGTCCTTCTCCCCTTTTGTTTGGGAGACGAAAAAACACCTCCTGATCGCAGGTTAGGGAGAGTCAGAAAGCCTTGACTAAGTATACTACATTTACCTTATTGGTAATTTATTTAATTTTGCCACTAATCCACAATCGCGAAAAGCGCAGAATTAAAGACCGGCGAATAAAAATGCCCGCGAAATTTAATACCCATATAAAAAATTCAAATCACAGGAAAAAAAAGAAAAACATTTTAAAAAGTCTACAACATGCACTTTACATAATATTAGTGTCGACGAAAACCGACAAGTTATTAGCTGGTTTTCCGGCCATTCCGTGACTGTGTCTTCTGTTGTGAAATGACGTTAATATGCGTCAATATGCCTTGTACACTGCGAGCAGTCTCTCTTTTACTCGAAAATCTGTGAGGGAGTGGGACATTTGAGTATTCGAGCAGCAAAGCCACGAGAAGCGTGTTGAGCGTGTCGTGTCGTACTGGCGCTCGCAAAAGACGATGCTCGTAGCCGCCGCTCGAATATTCACATATCCATCCCACTCCTTCACAGATATTCGAGCTAAAGGGAGACTTGGCTCGCAGTCTTGCTCGACAAAAAGCGACCATGGCTCCTTCTGTTATAATTTATTGGTCAGGAATAACAATAACGAGTTTACTGCGAAAATAGATGAGCTGGAAACAACAACGCGTGGCCTGAACGACAAAAGAAAAAATTCTAAGACAGGATTAGCATCGGTTCCGATGGAAACTCCTTCGATAAACGGATGTGAGTCAATTCAAAAAATTGAAATGTAAAAGCTTCTGCCGACATGATAATGGCGCCCATGTCGTCCTCTTCAGTGTAAGTTCCGCGTGCTGTCAGTCTATTCCATAAAATCACCCGAAGACCAAAAGACCATCATCGGGCGGCCGAAAACGGACAATGACTGCGATAGACAAAACAACGGCCTTAGCGATGCTTCTTGGAGCTTTTATATTTTTTGTGATCGTTTTCTTCTTGATATTTGGCTGCGTGCTGTGTCTTACAAGATTTAGAAAGAAGCAAGAAGATCAGGAAATTCTGATGGACTCTGCAATGAGCCCTGTTGAATTTAATGACGCCGAGGAGGACACGACGGACGATGAGTTAGCCCCTCGTCGCGGCCGTCGTTATAAGTGCAACAGTGCTAACAACCAAGTATTCGAAATGGAGGATTTTCATTGCAGCGAAAGAAATGATCATGAAGAATCGTCCGCTGGATCGCTTCAGGATGTTCGGCTTTGAGAAGTGAAAAACGTGTCAGAGATGATCAAAGCCAGCGAGGCGCTTTTCAACCGACTACCTGATGAAACCTTTAAAGCAAGTAGAAATAGAGCCTTTTTTCAATTTTTTGAACAATATATAGGCGAAGAGAATTTGTACTTAGAACCAGTGGAATCCTGATTCTTCGAACAACGTTGGGGAAAGCCGATTGGTTCGAATTTGATTTCGGGAGGTTAGAAATATCGGGGGTAAAATAACCAGTGTTTACTGGTGAAGGGCGGTTTGGTTTGGTTTGAATTACCTGGAATTTCGAAAAACCGAGCTTACGAGAATTGGGAATCTACTCAGCGTAGTTATCAAAATGAGACGTGCGCGCGAAACGTTTTTGAGCTTCATTCGTCCATTTTGAAACGTTGCTTACGTTGCGTAACCCATCTTTGCGATGAGATGCCCTCTCCTACAGTAGAATGTTCAACTCTTTGAAGGAAATCACTTTCAGATCGTTAGTTTTGGCATATTTTAAGCGCTCTATGACTAAAAATGATTATTTTTGCATAAATTTGGGTCTTACGTTTAAACTCAGTAGTTTTCTAAATCATCTTTGATCAATTCGGTCTTTCTCTCGTTCGTCGAGTTTTTAGCACCTTTGCGTATTTTATTTTATTTTTTTTTTTTGCTTTTTGCACGATCATATATCCCTTTGATTTCATCGTCTTTGTAAAAATTGACATATATAAGGTAATGGCTTGTTAAAGATTGCCAATCATTTTCTGGGGATTTTCTCCTCCAGAGATCTCGCCGTTTTGCTTATACAATGATTATTTAGTGAAAACCGTTCACATTTCTACCATGAATAAGAAGAATCAACGTAACATAGAATACACCAATTTTAATATCGGTTAGCTGTGATATTTTGAAATGTGAAAATAATTAAAAACTGTAAAATCTGCATGTTCCTCGGCGGTTTTCACACTCCTCCCATGCATGATGTTTTAGCAGAGGTCAGTTAAGCAGTTTAGCAAGTAGAACTTAATCACTGCAGCGAATTGTTGCAAGGATTTGCGGTTGCTATTTTTCCAAGCTTTTTAAGATCAGAGTCACAATTTTTTTTTTTACTTTCCCAAAAAAAACGCGACTTAGACGTTGCAATGAGTCTTTTATTTTGCCTAACAGCTATTTCTTTAAGGCAATTTTAAAAGCCACCGTTTAGTCAAATTTCGAATGTTTTGCTTTTAGTGCATCTAAAACGTAGGATGAAACTTACTTAATCTGATTAGCATTAGAAGAGGAAATCATCTCCATCTTAAAATAATACATGTTATTTTTTTTCTGAAATGACGTAAATCAGAGCATTGATTATTGGAAATAAAATTCTTGGGTATCTGAATGTTTGGCTTGTTTGATTTTCATTCTGTCACTTTTTCTTTTTAAATAATTGTAGTACAAAGACCCGCGTTTTATAAGTTTCAGCTTATGCCATGTCTGTCTGTGTACCTTTCCTATCAAGCAAGTGTTAATTTGGTGTTTTTTCCTACCGCCAACCGCCAATATATAAATGTATACACCGCACAATTGTAAGGTCAGTTTAAAATGTAAACCACGTCACATACAGCGTGTCAAATTCTCGTCCTTGCCGAATGTTTTTTTTATACCCATGGGGACTTACCATCTCGCTGTTAAGCTCGAAATTTATATTTCTTAGACTATTCAGTCTCTTGTGAAAGAGTCAGTTTGTATAAGATACTGTAGATATTCTTGATTAACTTCAAAAGCACCGCCTCGTTTTCGCGACTTCGCCATTAAGTGGATTTTGCCAAAGACGTAGGCTGTAAACAGTAGCATTCAATGTAACACCAGCTGTCCTTGACTCGGCGTTCGTTTCTCTCACGTCTTCTGTTTTCGCCTTTGTCTTCTGTTCATCATAGCAATTGGTTGTAGCTAGATTAAAACTTCCTGTCAAAGAATGGTGACTTCTATATCTTCTTTTCTCAGTGTTTGTCGTACATTAAATGAAGAGGTTTTACAGTGATCGTTTTGTACCGCAGGTGCAGAAATGCTCGTCATGTTCGACTCTGTAAATACATGTAACCGGTCCACGCTTAACTGGTTTTGTTGCTGGTTTGCTTCGGTGTGAATAATTTCAATGGCTTTTACGAGGCATGCTCTTCGGAGGAAATAATATAGCAGAAAGAAGAGTGCGACGAGGAAAATCAGTAAGAAAATTCCACATACCACAAGAAAAGATACCGACGTTTTGGACGCCATGCACTGGTGGGTCACGAAAAAAAAGCCCTTAAAGTTAGACCGCAGTTGCGCATGCTCAGGACAGTTGAATTGTGATCCTGTTTATGGTGATAACGAACAACCTCTTCCCCAGGGTCTCGTTTTCCGAAAATGAAAAGATCCTGGGGACAAGGTTGATCCTGTCAGCGACGAGACTTGTCCGCATGGATTACGAGGATGAACGATCATTTTTCACAACGCTCATCCCCACAATCAAAATAATTATCATATTATATTAAAATCGCAAGAAGACGATAATAGACCGCTAAAGGAAACACTTTATAATTATTATAATTATTATAATTATTATTATATGTATCCTCTCACGGACAAGCAACTTAAAAATTTATAATATTTGTCCCCCTAGCAATCGGCTCTTGCCCCCAGATTCGATTCCATCCCAGCAACCTCCCCGACCACGTAGCCTGATGACTCTGTGTAAAAGAACAGATGTTATGTTACTGCGGTAAAAGCCGCCAATTTATACCACGTGACCAGGTGTTTTCCCGTATTTGTCCTCTACTGTTCATGCCAGTGTTATTTATCCATGAGAATTTTTTGCGACAGTTCACTTTTATCTGCTCATTTCATAATTTAAGAAACTGTCAACTTAAATCTGACGTTTGCCGAAAGCCGTAAGCGTGAATCTAAATCACCCTAGTGCTACAATATAAGTTCAAAACTGGACGAAGTTAAGTTCAGACTCGTTTGAAATACATGTAATTGACGCATTGCAGGTTTCTAATCTGATAACAGTTTTCATTTGACATTATAAAAAGCAGTTTCCCCATTGCTTTGGATTTGTACAGTGAAACCTCTATAAAGCAGGCACCCTTTATTAAGGCGACAGTAGCCAAAGTCCCCAATTTAATTTTTTCCCCTTATTTACTGTAAATGAAACCTTTATTAAACGGACACCTCTATTAAGCGGACGCGGACATCAGTAAAGTGGATGCAATGTGTAATATTCATGGGCTGGTCATTCTTGTAATGCAACTGCGCATGTGCAAAACTTGCCCCAAAGTATAAGAGGTCCGCAACCTAGTATAATACACGATGGTCATTTCTCTTTTCACAAATGTTGATCAATTCTGATTCCACCTTCCAACAAGCCAGATACCTCAAAGTCCAAAAATTTCCACCCACAAATTTGCCGATTATACAATCAAAACTGTGATTTGCAAAAGATGTATTAATGTGCGTTAACATTGTTGAATACTCAAGGAGAAACGAAATCGGAAATACAGCAAGTACTGACACGAATGTCTAGTTAACAATTATTCCTCGAGCCCGAATGGGCTCTGAGCGGGCTATTGACTCAGAGGCCGTGAGGGCGAGAGGAATAATTGTTTTAGTAAAATCCAGCTAGTTGGTCAAAAATATCGAGAATAAAAAAATTTTAGCAAGTTAAAGCTAGATTTTAATCCTTTTTTGCCGCCAAAAAGGCCGCGCTTTTCGCTACTAGTGGGCTATAACATATAGCCTAGTAGTAGCTCAACCAATCAGAACGCAGCATTGATAATAGACCACTAGCTGGATTTTACTAATATACAATATTTCCTTTCGTTGGCCATTTTAAGTATCTTTTCAAAAGTTAGAACAAAATCAATCACGTCGATGAGAATTAACCCACTGATCGGTTTTACAGTATGTAGTTGTTTTCTTATTTGGTTTTGTTTGTATAGACTTTGTTTTATACTTCAGGAACAATCCAGGTTTAAAGTATTTTGGCTATTTGGTCCGAAGGATTTAACGCAGACGTATATATTGTGGTACACCCTGGGAGTATTCCAAAAGTTTTCACAGTTCATATGACGTTCTCCATCGAAACCTGTATTTGGTGGACACTGTGCTATTTATGCAGGTTTCACTGCATCCTTACGCGCCGTCAGTGGCTTAAACGTTTGGCGCCCCTTGCCTTCATGATAAAAGACTTTAGGGTTGGTTTAAATGATGTTTAACAAAACTTCGTTCTAAGTCCACTTTATTTGGGTCACCCCTGCCCCTCCCCAGACTACCGCGCAACTCGCTTCACTTACCGATTTTTTTCGCCCTTTTTCCCTAAGGAGGAGCCCCTCGG